ATAGAGAAAATTCAAGTTATCCGGATATTCCTCCAATACGCTATTTATTACGTGCAACGCCTCGGAATACTGTTTATGCGCAGACAAAAGTAACGCGAATAAATGCAACGACGGAATGTGTTCTGCCCGTAAATTTAGAGCGATCTTCACGTGCACAATAGCGTCGGTTATCTGTCGGTTTATCGCGTATTCGTGAGCCAAGTAGTACTCGGCTAGATGATCGTTTGGATCGCACTGTTGCGCTCTGTTAAAAAATAATTTTTTATTACAAAGAAAAATCTACGAGAACGAATCTCTTTTTAATCATGTTTTGCGTTGGGTGGTGGTGCATACTTTTGAAAGCAATCCAACGCGGTATTCGTATGATGCACCTTATCTTGCTTCACGATCGTATTCGCAGAGAGCATACTGTGACCGATTCCGATATACAAATGACATCTGGATTGCATTCCCTGTGGACTCGCTGTCTCTCGTTGAAGAGCTTTTTGGCTCCATTCGATACCTTCGCTTATCTGCTCAAATCAATTTGAAATTTTTTTTTAGATTCTTTTAGATCTTACAAGTAAATGGATGCGAGAATAGAAAAGATATTTACCATATTCAATTGTTCGTAGCACAGTCTTGCGGCTAATAAGCAGGGCATTACTTTTTGAGGCGACAATCTCGCGACTACTTTCAAAACTTTATACGCGTGCATATATCTTCCCATACTTATCAAGCATAATGCATATTGCGTCCATACATGTGCCTCCTCGTGAGAGAATTTCATCGCTCTTTCGAAAGACTGTTGAGAGACAATGAATGACGATAAGTCTTACGATGAAACAACAATGTAAAAATAAGATATTTGATAAAAAAGAAAAAAAAAGTCTTAACCTCGTGCAAAAGTTCCACTTGACTCCATCTAACGACGACGACTGTGAGCAGGTCATAAACAGCGGTGGCATTTTCGAACGCGTGTATCCGGGCTTCTTTGAATTCGGGCGATTGGCTGAGAACGGCGTCTCTCACCGCCATCGCCTCGCTGATCAATAATAATAGAATTGTTTCTTCGTATTCGTTTCGCGGAACGAACATATTCGGTCCCGCGTACTTCTTTGGTTTCCATGGCGAATCCGATGACGAGTGATGATTTGTCCGTCTGCTCGCAGCAACTGTAATCAACATCGATAGTATTTCCTTTTTAACGGAAATGAGACTTTTCGTTATATTTACCGTACCCGTTGTGTCGCCTTGTCCCTCCGGTGGTTTGTAATCGGCGCCGCTTATACCGCGCAGTAATACCTCCGCCAACTGTCTCGTCAGCGTTACCCGCAGACTTTGCGTGGCTGTAGATTCAACAGCGGATAAAACTTCCCTGAAACAAGTGAGAGAGATTATAAATCTACACAAAGCTATGGAAAAAATAATGTTAATGAAAATAATGTTAATAAATATTGTATTATAAACGCAAGTTTTTTTTTAAATTAAGATTTATAAATCCTATAAAATGACTTTTATATAAGAATTATATTACAAATTGCATAATTTATATGCACCTGTAACGATTAATGGCCGCTTGTATGTTGCCGGTTTGGACGTAGAGTACTGGCGCTCTTTGCAACGCAGTCTCCAAGATAGGACCGATATGCTTTGTGGTGCTAACTGGAGACTGAGAGGAATATGTACCTGTATAGATAATATAACGTTAAAAAATAAAAGTCACTCGCTATTTATAAACTTGAGCCTATCAATTACCTGTATTATTTGTGCTTATGGTGGAAATACCATTTTGTTGTTGCATAGCTATTTTGTCCTGCTCTTGCAAATACACTAGCGTCAAGTCGCCAGAAATCTCGTAACACTTTATTATCTGCTCATGCCATTCTGCAATCTTGTATTTCGATTTGGAGTTTGGTGGTAGCCTTTCAAGACAGAGACCTGACACAAACAACAGTATGGAGTATCAATAAAAAAATACTGATACAATGTATAGAAAATAGATTTGATATAAAATTAAAATTTGTAGTCTGTAGTGCTAAAAAATGATATTTCACAAAACTTATTTATAATTATAATTTCATTGTTTTGCCATTAATAAAGACTCTCTCTCTCTCTATACTTGCTTCCCATATAAATCTCTGCGACAATGAATTCAATTGCATTTGTTAGAAAAATAAATAGATAATACTAATAATAAATTTCGGAAGAAATAAGAATGAAATTACTTATTTGAAATATATTTTTTTTGTAATTCTCTCTATAAGAATCAAGAGTGCGCAAATAAAGTAACATGCTGCTACATTCTTGTATAAATCTAGCCAAAGCATATACAAGCAGACAATTTTGTATCTTAAACAGAATTATATAAAGTATTATAAGTGTAATATATGTGATATGCACTAAATAAATTACTAAATAAGTATAAGCAAAACAAAGCAAATAAGCATACAAACCTTTGGTAGCATATGATTCTGCTATAATGCGCAGTCTTCGGCAGGACAAATGTTTGCCTGTGTCTAAAGTAAATCTTTCTTTCTCTAAATCATACACGGATAGTAATAAATGAATATACTAGATAATAAGAAATTTACGAATTAAACAAATGTGTCTAATTTGTTATTTGTAAAATTAGTAGTGCATAAACATACGTTAACAGAAGGAAAATATATGCAATAGAACTGTTCAAATATATAGCTTCAAATTCTAATATCTATTATGAATCTATGCTTAATATTACACATAAAGAACAATGTATCTCTAACTATATAACTATGAAACTTAAAACCTACTATTAAAGGAGAAAACGGAGAAGACTATAAAAAGCAAGCTGTTAATGTGTACTTTTCAATTATTACACTAAAACATACTACACTATTGTCAGAAAAAGGAAAGGAACTATAATAGTTATCAATTGCAAACCTTTAATTGCATATGATTCTGCTATAATACGTAAACTTCGACAAGGTAATTGCTTTTCTGTGAGTGTGTCTAGTTCAGCTTGCTGATAGTGATGAAGCGCATCTTCATACATTCCCATTGCATAATGAAGTTTTCCAAGTAGCAAGTGAGCGTCCAATACAACCAAAGCCTGGAATATATTATAATTAAAGGAAAAACTTTATATTACATATATACATATATACAACTAATTTTTTTTGTTTTCTGATGTTTCTTTCTTATTTTAACATTACAATACCTGTTTATCTTTTTCGTTAGCAGCTAATATCAAGTACTTTCGTGTTTCCACCAATCCATTTCGAGCTTTACTAATATTGGCATCTATTGGTGGAGTTTGTTCCAAGAAACTCTCCAATCTTCCCTCTCCGCATAAGAAGTTTGCTAAACATTCTGTAATGCAAAATAAAATTATTACATGATTTTCCTCTATGTTTACATGACTATGTTTAAACATTAAATAAAGTTTATAATAATAAAATTTATTGATTTATTGACAGATATTTATTGACATTCAAGGAAAACATCTGAAAAAATATTTAGCAAGATTTATTAATTTTGTCACGATAAAAATTGTACATTTTACACAGAAATCAATTTCTTTTCATTTTTACAACGCAAAAGACTAATTACAAGCATGATGATGCAGAAATATTGTTATTGAAGATACGTAACACTCTGGATATAATTAAATAGAGAAAAAGTGCGACATTTATGCAAACTATGCTGTGTTGTCCTTGATCTTTACACGATGGTGACATGTTTTTTTTTGCCTCCAAGAGAGCGCGAACGGAAGTGGCAGAATGTCATTGAAGAAAGGATAACCTTTCGCGAGGATGAGTGGGAGGAACGTGTTGTCGGCGAATTCTCACAAAATCGCAGAAAGAAGGAGACAGAGAATATTTTACCGTTGCTGGGATACTGCACTTTTAGATGTTCCGCCAGCTCTATAACCTTCTTCCAGTTACCCTCTTCACGATTCCGATCGATCTCGGACTCTATACGGAGGGTGTGACCCTTCTTGCTCGTCATCGTGATCTACGAGCGCGGATGAGCACGAGTCAGCTGGCAACCTGGACCTCAATCAGCGGCGATATATTGATCATCAGTGATACTTCTCGGTACGCGATCACCACGAACGGTCATGACTGTCGCACGCGGCCACCTGATCTGAACGTATATATGTACATTCGTATGTATATCGTATACATATGTATGACAGCTGCGGCTTACCTCTCCGCCGACACGTGCGCGTCAAAAACAGTGACAAGCCAGTGACGAACTGTCACAAACGTCAAATGGGCCCTTCTTTTCCCCACTCGAGATCCGACCGAATGTAGAATTGCGTATAAAAATTCTTATCCACAGAGAAATCAGCCAATCACGTGTGTGTACATGCAATACACGTGAGGCAACATCCTTTATTTTAGGCTCGTGATTGGCGGATTCTCCATGTATACATTTCGCGCGGCCATATAAATCGTGCGATACATTTTTAAAGTCTATTCAGTGCAATCGTGTTATGGATAACGCCTAGAAAACTCAATCAATTTTAATATATACAATAATTTTGGTTGCGCCCAAAAGTCTACTTATGTCAAAGCAGAGTAACATTTGATTAATTAATTAAAAGATTCCTTTGGTCTGATCGGTTAATCAAACGCTACTCGTAAATTTTCAAAGACAAATATATTTTATACTATACATTTGATCAGTCGATTTAGCTTACAAATGTATATAAGTCTATTTTTATACCCTCTATTTTCTTTTTTTTCCAAAACAAATATTTATCAATATTGTTAATATTTGAAAACTAGTTTAATTATTAAGATAGCCCTTCAAATGCGTCGAGTATTTTCTATGTATTTGATTATTTCGGAAATGCAAAAAAATAGACTTAATAACAATATTATATTGTATTTTCTTGCATGTTTCTCTTCAAATAATTTAACAAAGATATATATTTTATCTTTTTTTATCACATATTTATCTTAAATATTAAAATTTAAAATAGTATATACAATATATATATATTATATATATATATATATATATATATATATGACAGATATAAAATATATAAAAGAAATTATCCTTTCCTGTTACAAATACTACAATTTTTTTCGAGTTATTATATTAAGTAATTTTCCATAACGTTCTCTCCATTTTGCTCGCACATCAGCTATGTTATGCTGTGAATAGATAAAAAAATGTATATCTTCTTTAAAAATACATTTTAAATTAAATATACGTGAAAATATACATATGTAAAACCTGTAATATGTGTACACCCTGTTGTGTTAATACAATCAGTTCCTTTATTCCATCATTTGTTATATCCATGTAACTTATAGAATGCACGGGAGCGTCGAACAATTTCCTGGCAGTTAATTCCCATGCATTATTTGTCAATGCGAAAATTAAAACTTCTTGACCGTACGTGCCGAGTAATATTTCGTTTTGGCCATCCATATTTATGTCTGCTATGCAGCAACACAAAACACAATCCGACGATTCGCTACCGCTCAATATTACGTCCCGTTTCATGCCATGTTCTAAAATATTCCTGGTAAAAAGAAAAACGAGTACTTGTATCTTAATACTTTGTAATGTATAAATTACTTACTCAAAAACAACAGCGTTACTTGTACTTGAAATAACAATGTTTAATTTGGGGATGTCATCCTCAGGAATACATTTCTCAGCTTTGGCTAGAATTTTTGATAATTTTATTCTCTCCAGAATTATATATCAATATTAAATATAAATGTGTGTCTTGAAGTATTTACTATTGGCATTTATAAATGCTGGTTTACAGACGAAATTTTGATGTGGAAATATTATTACACTAGGTACAGGCTTATCATATCTCAATAGCCAGCTTTGAGAAACTTGTAGATCCATCATGTTTATCACGGAAATTTTGACTAGACCACATTCACAACCTACAGCGGTGACTCTCCTACATTAATATTTTAATTGCGTATTAGATTATATATAAAATATTATTGAGGTATAGGATTGAAATAATTTTCGTTCATAATACGAACCGCTTATAATTGTCATAATAATAAATATTAATCCATAACGCGATTGCTTGGAGATCATGCAACTCTGGGAAATATTTTTCAATGGAGGACTCACTGTAAACATGACTTAATTTATCTTCTCTTATCATGTGAATTTTGTAATCACTTCCAGATATTAACCAGACCACCTAGAAATTTTTAATTCCATTATTATTAAAGCATGAATATTACAATTTTTCTAATTTATTGTAATTGTATAAATATATTAAGCAACTTATTGATAAGAAAAAAATAAGTAATATTGTCTTATTAATTTACCTCACGTGTAAAATTTTGTTGCGGTAAAACGGTATGATATAAATGATAAGGAGTATATGATAGTTCTACCATAAGACAATTTTGAGCTGTAGCTTCAATGGAGCTACCTTCGTCTCCTTCACCATCTATCGCACCCTCTGTATATATGTTTAGATATCTCTCGATTGTATCTGTGCTTGTTTTCATAATTGTTATTCCTATTACAAAACTTTCTCCCGTGTCTGATTTATTGTAAGCATCAATAGAGATAATTTCTGCACCACCTGGAACAAATAAAAAATAGAGTTTATTATTCCAAATATAGTGTATCCAATAAAAAAAAGGACATCTACAAGTATATAATAATTTACATACTGGGAATGTAAGTAAATAGTAGTTCCTTTACCATAGGCCTCAGAAATTCCGTCATTTGATGATATTCACAAGAATAAATCTTTCTTTTCAAGGATGCAACTAATAATTTGTTGGAACTACTGGGAGAACACAGTTTGGTCATGGAATAAATGTTTCCCTGCGATGCCAGGGGAAACCAATGGGCATCTATGAGATTACTCATCATCTCGTAAGCTGTTGGAAGAAAAAGTATTATAGCTCACAATGAGAATAAATATTCGTAGAAGAAAAAGAAATATTTATCTCAAATATACACCCAAAAGAGGTTATATTTATTATAGTCGATCATCGTATATATATTTATCGAGAACTTGCTTTTCATATCATGTTGCTCTTTTGCAATCACACTAATTAGTCCTGTGTCATTTTGAAATTCTCGACTCCCCCAAAATTCAACTCATTCAATATACTAAATTACACACTGATTTACACGCGATATATATCGTGAGGAGGTGGGAGAGAAATGTGTCATGTCTTTTTTCTATTCGATGACATAAGAATCACGACGGTACCCTTCCAAATGCGTGTTGATCTTTGATCCCCACCGGTCTCCACATGAGGTCTCACACAGAGATTACGTTCCACTTGGTGATCGCAAGGCTCGAGGAGTCATCCTTTATCCTTGTTGCTCGCCGAAAGTTAAACGAAGACGGATAGTGCTCGGGAGCGTTGCAATCACCAAGTGGAACGTGGTCAGAGAATATGGAAAAAAAATTTCGCAACCGCGTCTCCCACAATCGCTACGCCTTGGTCAGCCTTGGGTGAGCCGCGGTGCGATGACGTGATCCGTGAAAGTGGGTGTGTCCGGGATGGCTCAGTATTAGTATGTCAGTATCTCGCAATCGGTAACCGGCATTCGTACAGATCGGATCGTTCTACTTCCATTCATCGATTCGAGTTTTCCCACCGATCCTGAAAACCTGAGCTTAGGGAGACTAGGAGAGACCTACGAGCATTTCTGACTCGTCCTGTCACGTCGTCGTAATCAGGTAATGTAATCTCTCCCTCACGTTCTAATTTCGTTCATATTCTCTTTGATCAATTATCAGTTTAAAGACCGTTGTCTCTCGAGTTCTCGATGACAGATTGCCGGGTTCATGTTCACCTTCTGGCACGAAATATTGTGAATCTTCGTATTTATTGTTGAAACTTTTTTTTTCGCCCGTGTATTTTTTGCTCGAAATTGAATTCGATCGAATCATACCGACTTTGGATCGCTATTTTGTCCTGTTGTACCGATTACGCCAACTTACGTGAAATGTCAAATCGGCAATTAGCTATTCAGCGAACGTCGATGGTCGGGTGACGCATTCGTTCTTCACTTACCGTACTCATTATCATTCTTATTTCACAGAAAATCTCGTGGAATTTTCTTCCGATCGCTGCATCGAGAAAAGGAAAGAAACAATGTCGCAACAACAATATTATCCGTTCAAGGTATACAAATTACGTCTTGGTTGTCGAGCGATAGACTCACTCAAGAGCAATAATTAGTAATATCAATCTATTTTCAAAACATGTACTGTCAATCATGTGTATTTGTAACGTTAGTCTAGTTTTGCAAGTCACTTCTATCAAGGTGATGACTAATCGCGCAAAAAGTGAAATTTTTCTTATTAATAAATTAAAAAATTTATAATCATATGCTTCTTTTTACATAGCTTTCAATTAAAAATAAATTAAAAATAAATTAAATATAAATTAAATAAATCAAATGTAATCTTAATAGTTATTTATGCGTTGAATAATATTCTACTTAAAATGGATGCATTTATAAAAATGATATAAAAGATTTTAAATTAAATTTCAATTATGACATCAATATGCATTACGTTGTTCCAGTGCACTCCGACTGTTTACCCTGCTGAACCGTTCGACGCAAACGCTGATGCTGCTATCTTGCGTAAGGCAATGAAAGGTTTTGGTACGGATGAAAAGGCAATTATTGATGTGCTCACAAAAAGAGGCATAGTACAAAGACTGGAGATTGCGGAGGCGTTTAAGACTCTCTATGGAAAGGATCTGATTAGCGATCTGAAGAGCGAATTGACTGGTAAATTGGAGGATATCATTGTTGCTCTCATGACCCCATTGCCGCATTACTATGCCAAAGAGCTGCACGATGCAGTGAGTGGCATGGGTACGGATGAGGAAGCAATCGTTGAGATTCTGTGTACTCTCAGTAACTACGGTATCCGTACAATCGCTGCATTTTACGAGAATTGTAAGATTTTGATTTTTTATTATGCATGTTTATAATCTATGTCTACAATCTTGTTAATTAATTAATGAACATACTTACAAACAGTGTACAGCAAAACGCTTGAAAGTGATCTGAAGGGAGATACATCTGGTCATTTTAAGAGATTACTGGTATCTCTTGTGCAGGCAAACAGGGATGAAAATCAAGGAATTGATCATGCCCAAGCTGCTGCTGATGCTCAAGCATTATATGAAGCTGGTATGTGATAGTAATTTCTGTTATCTAGTAACCTGTAATTTAAAATTCTCTCAATGTATTGTATAATATAATGTATAATTTCTAAACTTGAACTCTTTCATGCAGGTGAAAAGAATTGGGGAACAGATGAATCACAATTCAATGCGATTTTAGTAACGCGTAGTTATCAGCAACTGCGACAAACGTTTATCGAGTATGAGAAAATGTCAGGGCATGACATAGAGGTTGCCATAAAGAAGGAATTTTCTGGCAATATCGAGAAAGGTCTACTTGGAATAGGTAAGTTTTCCAATAAACGCATATTAATTACTATGTAATTATATATTAATTTCTATATAGAAACTATAATTATAAATGTGCAATGTTCACATTTATATGTATGAATCATTCACAGTTACTAATTTTATAATGTGACTAGTCCTTATGTTTCTTACAAGCAGAAATGTAATATATAAAATTAATAGAATTAAGAGAAACAATCGAGAGGAACGTTTTTTTTTCGACGTTTTCTTTTTAGTTGTGCTTAGATGAGAATAATTATGCGTTTCAGTGCAAATACGAGCAAGCGGTTGAAATAGCAGTTTCATATGAGGAAAACAATAAGCCCAAATGCACTATGGAATATCGATAATCCCGTGATAATATAAAACGATATTACGAGTCAAGTTTTCGTGAAATGTATATCTGCCCTCCTCTCGCATACATTTTTATCATTTTTTGCGAGTTCTTATAAAATGATCGAAACATATTTTCACAAGGCAGAGGCAAGTCACTACACTAGGATTTTACATATATAGCTTTTATCTGCCTATTTGTAGAAAGTTATTGCTGTGTGATTATTGCTGACATTGCCGGCTAATTTTTATAGAATTAGATATTTTTGAACACATACATCACTATATATGGCAGATCTTAGCGACATGTAAAATGTAGTAGGCGTCACCCAAATTCTTTTTTATCTCACACTCTGTTTTCCATTCAATAGCGTCTTCTTTTACATCTACATATGATACTTTCTAAATACTGATTTTATTATAAAGATAAGAATTTTTATCATTATACAACAATTATTAAAAGAGCATAATTTAAATAAATTCTGTAAAATGCATGAAAATGTGTAAACACACTTATGAGATGTCCCTACATCATAAATGTCCCCTGATATGCCCTGCATGTGGCAATAACATATAAAAAATATTTGTATTTCTTATATCTATATAACACTTTATATACAAATACAATAGTTATATAAGATCTGAATTCAGTACCATATAAATGTAGTATATTTTGCAGCATGGAAACGTTCCCTTGTGTTAATTCACTCCATGCGATTTCTTTATATATTTTTCATTAATATCAATTTAATTTATAATATTATAAATCACATTGTAATTTTTGATTGACAGTGAAATGTGTGAAGTCAAAGGTTGGATTCTTTGCTGAGCGTTTGTACGCTAGTATGCATGGTATAGGCACGAAGGATCGAACACTGATCCGTATCATTGTATCTCGAAGTGAAATTGATTTGGGAGATATTAAAAAGGCATTTGAAGAACGCTATGGAAAGTCACTGGAAAGCTGGATAGCTGTAAGTGTATTTTCTAGATTATGTTTCTTTCCAAAAAAAGTTCTTTATATTATCCGAATTTTGCTATTTGTAAAAAATTAGTTGTACTTGATTATTGTATTAATAAAAATATCTATTATAGGGAGACACTTCTGGAGATTACAAGAAAGCACTTCTTTCTTTGGTTTCTACATAATTCTGATGTAGTAATTAAGACTTACATACTTTGTCCTATTTATGCACAGTAATTGTATCTATAAAAAGCGATTTTATATATGCCCACACGAATTTTAGCTTAATATTGCTTGATATACTAATAATGAATTAGAGAGAAGAAATTGTAATTTTTTTCAAATATTACTTTTGTAGTATTTTTTGTATGTGCATAAAACCTCTATTGTATTATATAAGTTAATGAAATATTTGAATATTCTGCCTTCCAATCTTGTTCATAAAATAATTACATGCTTTTAATATTTAATTATGTTTTATACATTTTTATTTTTATCAAGAAAGAATTTATATAAAGAAATAATTTAAAGAATCTCATAAGTTATATGGAAATAGAATGAAAAATAAAATCAAAGAAAATATTCTATACTTTGTATTTTCCCTTGTGTCATAAAAAGATACGTGTCACAAATCAACAAGTTTCAAATATTAAATAACGAACTTGTAAATAATACATTTCACAAAAAAATAAAATATTTAATATATGCTTTTCTCAAACTAAGTTTCTTTACTCTAATGTAATTAAAAATTTTGCATTACTGAAGATTACAAACATATATAGTCAAAATTATATATTACAGGTAAATGTTTGCAAAGTAAATTTCAGCATTTTTTTCGCTAATATATTGCCTGTACGTAATTACACTTTTTCTTATTTAAAATGAAAAAGTGGAAGAAAAACATCTTGCACATGTAATATTAGAATAGTAATGAGAATTAAGAGAAAAGTTTCTTAATATTTTGATTCTCTCCATTATAATTTGTATATATATTAGCAAACTTATAGTTACTTTGTACTGTATCAATTGCACATGTAATTAAATAATCCTCGTTTTATTTTTTTCTTTGCACTACTTTCTGTTATATCATCACGTATCAATATGTATATATATATACATATATATATATATATATATATATATATATATATATATAAAGTTTATGCAATTTTCATTTCGTGATGATTTGGATGGCAAACATGAAGTATGCTATGACAATAAAACGTATGTTACGATAAAATTGTGTCTGCTAAAAAAATTTACTACATTTATCTTTTACTTTTCATTCACTTCTTTTAGTCGAACACTTCTTCGAGGAGCTAGAAATGAAAAGAAATTGATTCAGTATACATCTCATAAGTATTATATTAGATATAATAATAAAGGAAATAAAGTAGAACCTTCATTATCCAGAATTAATAAATAGACGAAAATTCCTGTGTATGTTGTGTGTAGTAGATATTAAATACGTAGAATCAAATTTCTAGATATTTTAGAAAGAAGAGGAAATTTTATTATAAAAAAAATTGTTGTTTACATATATGAGCTGTTCACAGGTTAAAGTGATTAACTCCACTTTTTGAATTTGTTTAAATTTTAGTGTTAAAGCACTTGATTGATCAAATGTTTTGGCACTAAAATTTTAATAAGATGGCTCATATATACCTGCTTCATTTATTTTTATAAAAAGATTATAAAAAAATGAATCAATATAAAACCTATAGACATATATAATAATTGTAATAATTATATACATTAATTATATATTATGAATATATGATTATGTAATATATATAAATAAAAAGAATCTTTCCCCTCCAATAAATAAATCTCAGGAATCTGTCGGTAAATTGGAAAGCAGAAATTGTAGCAGATAACTACAATCAATTCTTGCTCTTAATTAAGTCTGCGCTAAGCTTAAAGTTTCAGATATGGTAATATACATGACAATACATATCCATAATAAAAATCGAATAAAATCTGTCGAACGCAAATTTTGCTTTTTACTGTTAATTTATATTAAACTGTACCTATGATTTTTACCATCAATGTGTCTTCATTTTACTAGCGAATTTTTGCTACATTGCTAAAAATCAGCAACACACACATATGAAAATTCTGCATAAAATTTTTCCATTGAGAAAACCTGTAAATATTTTACAATATATGTTCTCAATCGATTTGCCTGAGATAATATAAAGAAGATAATTTTCTTTCTTCAAACTTTTTATCTCAAGTTGCAAAACTCGAATTTGATTAATCTAAAAGTAATAGTATATTCATTTTTCGACAATAATAGAAATATTTCTTTTTTCTTCAGTTTTAAAAACATCATGCATATTATCATTAATTAAAAAATTCCTAAAAATACACAATTTTGTGAAAACAATTTTTTTAATCTTTCACTAGAATCTTTCAATTTAAATTATAAATTTTGATAAATATATATCTTATATATATCAGATACATACATACATTTTTATATATACATATACATATATACAGGGTTGGGCAAAAGTCCGGAAACGGTCAAATATCTCGAAAAGGATCAACTATAGCGAAAAATTGTAAATAGCAAAGTTGTAGGGCTTAAAAAAATGTACCTAATGATGACTAAAAATTTTACTTTGAGTGGAGGACGAAGATCATATAAAAGTCAAATTGAATTTTTTAAATGGGACCCCCTATTTTTCATTACATATTCTTGTAGCTTATCTCGAGAGCTTTCGAAAACACTATAATTAAGTACCTTTTCATTAAGTACTTTTTGAGTTATAAGGCTTGAAATAATTTCTTAATTTTACATAAACCATAAAATATCTAGTAAACCATTCATTTTTTGATTATCTTACCTTGATACTTTTATGTACAAAATAATGAGAGGAATCAATTGGTGTAAAGAAAACACATAGTTGTTGCATGGAATTGTTAATTGCAAATTACATATTTTTTCTTAGAAACAACTATGTGTTTTCTTTACACCAATTGATTCCTCTCATTATTTTGTACATAAAAGTATGAAGGTAAGATAATCGAAAAATGAATGGTTTACTAGATATTTTATGGTTTATGTAAAATTAAGAAATTATTTCAAGCCTTATAACTCAAAAAGTACTTAATGAAAAGGTACTTAATTATAGTGTTTTCGAAAGCTCTCGAGATAAGCTACAAGAATATGTAATGAAAAATAGGGGGTCCCATTTAAAAAATTCAATTTGACTTTTATATGATCTTCGTCCTCCACTCAAAGTAAAAATTTTAGTCATCATTAGGTACATTTTTTTAAGCCCTACAACTTTGCTATTTACAATTTTTCGCTATAGTTGATCCTTTTCGAGATATTTGACCGTTTCCGGACTTTTGCCCAACCCTGTATATATATATATATTTATTTGTGATGTGAAATATATTTTAAAATAAAACATATCTCTATGAAGTAAATATTGTAGGAAATACTTCTGTTTCAAGCAAAGAGAAAGATTCTACAAGAAGATATTTACAAATTATAGATAGTTGAAAATTTCATGTATATATGTATAACTATATATATATACATATATATATATATAAAACTCTATGTTAATTAATGAAAAATATTAAAGTAAATATCATTTATGTAGAGGACAGTTATTATATTGCACAAAAAATCGATATCTATCATATATTCAATTCAATGTATATTTAATTTATTATTTTTAAAAAGTCTTTTGAAAAATAATATTGTCAATACATAGTCGGTCGAATAAATTGTTAATTTAATTACTGTTAGATAATTGCCCATAGTTAAAGAAGATAACAAAATGTATATAAACATAATAATTAAATATACAATATTCGGATATCAGAATGGTTCTAGAGTATTTCAATTTGCTGTGATCTTTAAAATATTAAAAGGAATTATTAACCTGATTCAGTAGAATCAATTTTTCTTGGCCTTCCTCTAAGTTTATTAGAAAGAGATTGATAGTATGACGGGTTAAACATTGCAGGCATTTTCTTAAATTGTCTTATGGCTGGTGTTGTTAACATAGTATCAATGAGAGGCCATGGTGTTTTAGGTACAGTTTGCAACATTGCAGATTGACAAACTGTATGTAAATCGAAAACATTTTTCCTGAAAAAAAAAATATCTTCAAAATATACACCCTTATTGATATTGAACTTTATATTTTGATGCATATATATTATTCTATTTTTTAATGGACTAAGGTATTATTATATTCATTATACTAACCCAGGTTCTTCAACTTGCTTATAAATATATGCAAATGGTCCTCTCTGTGGAACGTGACGCATAATATATTGACCAGGCGTCAAGGATGATAATCCTTCAATTATATTATGCAGAATACTTAAAGAATCTTCTATTTTAGTATTATAAAGTCTTCTCATCTCATTGCTCAATGATGCTGTAGTGTGTTTTTCTATTTGTATTATTTCTGAACTATCTACTTCAATCCTGACTCTACCTAATATAGTTCCTGGTCTAAATATCAACGATGCCCACTGATGTGATAATTCTTCAAATGTTACAGCTTCGGCTCCGAGTCCTAACTGATGCTCCATTTTTGGCGTTAATATTACATGTTGTGTTTTATTTGGCAATACCTGGCAAAAATAAATTGTTACTTTTATATTTTATAATTTGAAATTGATTATTAATTAATGAACTTTTAATAATTAATATAGTGTAAATGATATTATGTTAAAGTGATGTCCTTACCTCTGTGCCATCAGTTTTCGTACGAACCAACATCTGATATTCCTTCACATCATGTTTCCCTAATTCTTGGTTCAGAGATTCTGTTGGCCCTATTGTGAAAAGTTTGTACATTACATTTGTTTTAATATTATTTGTCTCATTGCCACTTGTTAAATCATCCGAATTTTCCGATTTTTGCTCATCTGAGGGTTCATACAATTCTTCTTCATAGATTTTAAGGTAATCATTAAATTCAGCACTACATTCTAAATCCATATTGCCTAAATCAGAATGAATTGTAATATTTTCGGATTTATTCTCCTTTGTATGTTGCATTCTAAAATAATAATTATGATATATTCTTTATATTCAAAATTTGTTATACATTATTATTATATCTTACAACTCACTTTTCGTTGAACACTTCATTATTAGCATCAACAAAATAATGCCTGAGAATATATTTGTATACCCAAGTGTTCTGTTGCGGTATTGTAGCAATGTTAGGCGGTATTCTTTTATCAATGTAGACAACATTTTTTCCATTATGCGATTTAACTACTATTGGTATAATCCATGAATTCAAGTAACATGAATCAAAGTTTAATAGACATTTCAGGCCGCTAGATGAGATAACAAAATCCGCTTTAGTTTTTATCGCAAAATTCTCGCAATATATATCGTCGCTCACAGGAAATCTGAAATGTTGCGTCACATTGTTAGTGGCGCATTGATACTTGTTGAGTAACATTGTATAATTTGTGTTTAATATAAATGGTCGATTTAACTTTGGCCACGTCACCTTGGAAAATGATCCCTGGAAATAATAATAGGAATGATAATATAACTATCTAAATTTAATTTATATTTAATTAAATGACAATTTATGCCTAATTAAATGACAATTGTGCTATAACTCACTAAGTGATGCAAACAAGATATAAACTTTATTTCAATGCTTTTATTGAATGTGGAATTAATTTTTTGCACTGAAAGTGGTATATTTTTAGATTCAATATAATATCTAGGTAGTTTTTGAAACTTTTCCATCTTTGTGCTCCATTTAGATGTTATAAATCTGCTATATTTAATTGGCCAATTGAAACTATCATTCCACTTGCTTTTGGCAAAGTTTAAAAATTCCTTCTGTTCTTCAAGTATTTTTTCTTTTAATGCCTAGAAAAGGTTGATTTAGAAGCAAAAGTACGCAATAAAATTCAAACTATATTCATAATTAAAAGTTATTTAAAAATTAATTAAAACTTAATCATCTTAAGCATCTTGTTTTTTTATTTGAATTCTATTTAAAAATAAAGAATATTGTTAAGAAAAATTTAAAATAAATAATGTCTATCTTTACACACTATGTAAGATTCCAAATCTAATTGTTCTTCCTTGCTCAACCCCTTTTGTTCATTGTTGTATAATTTCAATAAAGCACGAAGACACATACTATGTTGAATCTTAGTTAAACAAGATCTTTTAGGAAAATTGAATGGTAATTTCCTTATGCCAGGCACATATGGATTTTTCTCTTGTGTTTGTTTACAATCAGAATCAATATTTTTTAATTTTCTTTTCCTGTTTCTTTTTTTATCATTGGTTTTTTGCTCCTCTTCTTCCTCTGTATCAGTGAGAGGATCTTCAGCAAGATATTTTTTTATCAATTCCATATTAACATTAGCATAATCTTGTTCGATATCTTCAAATGGATCTCTAAACTCATCTCTCATGATCCTGTGCATTGCACTTTCACGCTCTAATCTCTCATCCTCGATGAATACATCATCTATCATGTCTTCTAATGCAGAATTCCTAAAATAATGTTATTACATTTGTCATATTTAATGCAGGATGTATGTGATGCATATATTACAATCATTTAATCATGAAATTATGTACAAATCATACATATATTCAAATCATACAAATTATATCATAAACAGAGGAATAATTTCTTTAATTCTGTGTGACATTTCAGTGTTTATACAAACCAATCGATCTCTTTGAATCTCTCCATATTCAAAGAATATTCTTCGTTCGCGTGTGACTCGCTAAATTAATGTATCAAATCTAAAATCGTCAGAGATGTTCCGAAACAATATATGAACAAGACTATTCACTATTCATGTTTTTGCAACAATTTTTTATTTATTGTGACTGACTTATGGGCAATTATATAGTTCCACGTGTCGGCTTGACAAAAGATAAAATATTTTTCTATAACATATAATTAAATATGTGTTTATTCGCACTAAACGTGCAACATGTTAACTGCAATATTCTTTTCCTTTTTATGAAACGCATGTCATATGTCATATTATTGTGCGTTCGAAAATCTTATCCTTGGAATAAAGTAAAGTTTAGTTGACCAATCAAGATAAGAGGAACGAAGATCTCTTTGTCCTGATTGGTCAATTAAATGCTACTCTACCTCTCGAGTAAGATTTTCGAACATACCCGAAATATAGAGATTATGCAAAGGTGCACGTGAAAAACATATCTATTTCGTTGAAAAAAATATTCATATATATGTATAAATTAAAATTCTTTCATTCTAGAAAATCTGCTTTCGTTCTAATAAACGCGAATTATTTCGAATAAGGATCGATCGCTGCGAGCGGTTGTCTCTTATCTTTTGATCCGAGTTAACGTCAAATATAATAAAAGCAATTTTGATATAAAATGAATTTAGGAAGAATGGCTAATATTAACATTTTTCGCAAAGTCCGGCAGCTTGGTAAGTTTTATTCGAGATCTGCGACAGTTTCAAACGCGCGTCTGCTTTATTTCGTGAATTGGATAGAATTTTCCTTACACAACCTCAAAATGCTTTTACATAATCTCTCTCATAATAAGCAGAAAATGTAAAAAAAATTTCAATCAATGGATATATATATTTTTTAAATGTTTTAATTACGTGTAATAAAATGTTTTATTGTAAATTAAGATTAATTTTTTATTATAAATTAATTATAATATATTTATTATAAATACTACATTTTACTTAGCAACACACAATATAATACTAGATATATAAATAAATTTTTCACGCTATTTTTTATGAAATTTGATATTAACAGAATTATACATGTAATACATTTTAATCATGAAGGTAATCTTCATTATTTTCATCCAAGTTCTGAATCGATACAAATTTTTTCATGAATTCGTCAAGCCATTTTTTATTTCTTTTGATAATTCTAAATTTTAGAAATATCTGTTAAACAAGACATGCTATTTCAATTGGAATAAATTCTAAAAGTACCTTCAGTTGAATATCAGGTAGGGCAAAAGAACCTAATCAAATTCCAATAATATATCTTTGATCAATTTTGCCACACGAGACCAAGCATTATCATGCAAGAATTTAATTAAACAGTAATCTTTTCATGTAAAAAGTCGTTTTTTTTCTTCCCAATTTATTGTTTAAATGAAATAACTGAATATTAGCAATCTCCAATTACTGTTTTGTCAAGTTTAAGTAATTCATAGCAATTCATATCCTATTTATTATAAATTTGTAATCTACTACTTATCTGAAAGATAGAAGAAAGTATTGATAAATAATTATTTTTCTAATTAAATTATATCTGTATAATTTGTTAATAAACATTGAAAACATAAAAAATAAACATAAAAATAAAAACTTATTTATATATCTAATATATATTAAAAAAACAATTAAATGTAAAATTAAATTTATATACCAATTACAAATGATTTTATTGCAGAGATGTTGATTAAACCTGGTAGTTTACTCCAGACCTACAGATGTAATCCAATGCACTTCCCCAAATCTACTTCAAGTCTTACAAATTTGAATCGTAGCACAACACCTAATGCAAGCAATTATACAAAATGTCGTGTCTTGTCCAAGGTTGATAGCAAAATTTTCTAAAAGAAATAAGAGTAAGTACATATTTATATAAAACACACTTTATTTTGTTTTATTCTTTCCAGTTACCTGTACAATCAACAGTTAGTGTGACTCGTGCAGCAAGCACTCATGGTGATCATGTACGCTTGTGGTTGATGGAAAGAATAGTGTCTGCATCTTTCTTGTCACTAGTACCTGCTGCTCTGCTCTTTGAAAGCAAATTTATTGAAATAATATTGGCAGCTGCAATTGTCATGCATACACATTGGTAATTAATTTTCTCTTATAATGTTAATTTTGTGCTGTTTTTAATATTTTCTATGAATTTCTTGCATATTGTAAGATAGAAAATTGGAGAGAATAAATTTATTACAGGGGATTGGAGGCTATTGTAATCGATTATGTACGGCCTGCTGTGGTAGGACCAGTAGCTCCAAAAATAGCATTCTTAATGTTAAATCTACTTTCCATCGCAACTCTTGCTGGTCTGTTTGTGTTAATTTACAATGGTCCTGGTATTGTAAACATCATTAAACAAGGTTGGGCAATAGGTAAAGACAAAGAAAAACAAAGATCTAATTAGATGTTATCATTAAAATACAGAAATAACTTGTTTATATTAGTATATGAAGAATTTTTCAAAAGAGATAGTAGTTTGTAAATTATTCGGGAATAAATTATTTACTATAACAACATGTATTATGCTTTATTTCTTTGCTATTTGTATTATAATTGCAGTTTAGAATATATATAATATATATATAATGGGCTAAAGGAATTTATTGCACATTAATATTTCTTACAAGTCAATAACAACCAATATTTCTCATTATTGTCATTAATGTGTATATAATAAGTAGACGAATAGATAATGCTTCGATTGGTCATAATAGATAAGCCAAGTGAGTTTTATTTGCCAGCAACCTTGTCTATAAAAGTAGCCAGTTTCACATCCCTTTGTGACAAGCCATTTACATCATGAGAAGATAAAGTAATATTCACTTTATTATAAACATTGAACCATTCAGGATGATGATCCATCTTCTCAGCCTGTAAGGCCACTCTTGTCATAAATCCAAAAGCCTAAAAATTAGAACATAACGTAATGAAACAAATGTAATGATTGTATATAAATATCATCAAATACATACAACATACCTCATTAAAATTCTTAAATACAAACTCCTTATAGATTGCATCTCTATCCGACTGAACAGTCCATCCTGATGAGAGCAAAGGATTCAAATTCTGCTCTCTTTCCTCTGGTGTAAGCTTACTCTAATAAAGATTAATACACAGTCAAACAGTTATCAAACACAGTCATCAGTTATCACAAACTAAATTATCAATATATGATATACATTCTCTTATAAAATTATAGTCAAATGTGATTTTATTTTATGCGATTATTCACATCGTGAGATTGTTGCGATCATCAGTCGTCGTATAATTATGTTTTCATGCGCAATAAATTTTTTATATACATATTCATATGCGAGAATATAAGATTTGTGTAACAAGTGGTCGGCTAGATTTGTATCACTTTCACCATCAAATAATTCATTCAGACAAATAAATTAAAAACATTTTTAACTGCTCGAGATTCTCTCGCTATTCGATTTAAATATTCTTTTTCAATTGAAAAATTCTAATGAAGTGCTTACCATTTTTGTTCTCTTCGAAGTAGCGGCAGATAAATCTCTATGTTTCACCACTATGCGCGATATGCACTTTCGAATGTGATTCCCTCCCCTTCCCTCTATCGCTCGCACGGTCAATAAGGCTATCATGTCGAAAGCTTGTTATTCCGTATGTATAATTTCAAGATATTGGATTCTTGTTTGGGAAAGCGTAATTAACACTTTGTTATTTCGGAGCAAGTTAGAAAATCTATGCGTAACGATAAACCCCCAATTTCTGAATGCTCCTCTAACCTCTTCCTCAACTACTAAAATTTATATTGGTTTCAGAGACCAGATATAATATATACGGAGTTGATAAAAGTAACGTGCAATTTTGAAAAAAAAATTCTTTAAATACTTAAAAATTAATTCATTAAATACATTTGAATAAAACCTCTCATTGTAATTTTAACAAAATTCTCTTATTTTCAAAATTCTTCCAAGATGTATAAAATGCAAATATGTATATATATATATTTCATGTATTTACATAGTTCATCAAACATTAACATAATGTCTGTGCAAAATGTTCATCAACATCATAAATATTGAGACGTTAAACAAATAAAATTGTATCGTCAATTATGTTGAAATAAATTTTGTATAACAAAATTATTGATTGGATTTTCTTGAGTTTTTTCCTCTCTTAATAAAAGATACTGGAGAAGGTAATGGAACTTTAAGCATAATGATATTTTTATCCTTTTTAGAAGACACTGCTCCAATAACTTTCACAAAATTCAGCAGTTTCTTGAGACCGGTTTTCCTTTTCATTATAACTCGAAACTGTTCAAGATCCAATTCAAAGTTCCATATCATCAGTGCAAGGATCAAGCAGTGTATAAGGCCTTTATCTTTCATAATATTTGGTCTCGTTCTGTAAAAGAAAATTTTTGAAAATTTCTTTTCTTATAATTGGTGCATGTGATCGAAACTTACCGTCCATTCGTGCTGGGCACGCTATATGTGTCAATGATGTGTTGATTCACTTCTTCAGAAATTGGACATACGACAACATCGCGTTTCTTCACATCCTTTAATAATAAGTCGCACCATGCATTGATCATTTCAATATAGAGTAAGAGAGCAACCTTATTTACATTATCTGGATCCGATTGAATAAATTTCAAAGTATTCTTAAAAAATGTACTTTTCCTATATGATCAGAAATATATAAGTAATTATATAATAGCATTGTATATTTGAATACACATACACAGAGAGATATAGAAAAATAGATTACAAAACTTGTAAAGAAACTTAAATTACCCTTCTTCATTAAAATCTCCATTAAGAACTTCCATTGCATACTCATATAACATTTCTAGTTTACTTTTTGGGATAATGTCGTCTATATTGTATACATCTTTGACATTAGTCGCATCCCTGTTACATGTTGGTAATAGTGTATTTGAGATACAGTCATCAGTTGGAACTGATAAATCTAGCCTGTCAATTTCAATATCTGCCAGAAGATAAAAACAAGACAGTAAGATTTTGTATGAAATATAAATATTAAATATAATATTACTGATTAGATGCTTTTTAAATGACGGTATATATGTAGGTACATATTGACATAAAATTTAGTTATATAATAATAAAAAGAATTACTCACTTGACACTGTGTTTTCAAGTTGTTCTTTGATAGAATTAACATCCATTTTTATTTTTTCGAACTGCTCAGTTCTACGTTTGACTTTCTTCGATCCAAATTGTTTATTCAATGTAACAATCTTTTCATCTATATTGTCCTTGTTATCTTCAAAATCAGGCTTTTCAAGTACTGGGGTTACCTGCCATCGTTCTGCTTCAAATAAACGTACTTTGCCTGTTTTCTTATTATGGAGTACTAACATCGTTCGTGTCGATTCCTTTTCAACATCTGGTCTGTAACCTTTATATACAATCTGTCCATTTGATAAGGCCAAAACAGTTTTATCTTTCCTTTGATCATGAAATAAGCCACATGATATCTCTTTGTCCTCTTCATCTTTAAGCTTACCATTCTGAAAATTTACTATAGGACAAAACTTTTATTTATATTTATAAAAAAACCCATCTGAATGCTTTTTTTCTCTCTCTCTCTCTCAAATCATTGACAATTATTTAAATAATTAAACGAGGGCTAAAATGATGATATTTTGAATTTAATTATAATTATTATAATACATATATATATACAAAATGTGATATTAACATAAGCATAAATTCTAAATTGATGTTAGTGAATTGAAAAAAATTTATGGCTAACATTCTAATTTGTAATTATTATTAGATATAATAAATCGGAATAGAAACGACGCTATTATTTAAGTATAACGCAACGCATGTCTATCTTACCAATAATTGGTTGGATTTTGTTAGGTTGCACAATGACATCTTCGATAACTGCTTTGAATCGCTTCATTTTTTATTTAATTAGATGCTTCATTAAAAGATTCTCCACGCGCTTTGTATAGGTTATGTTATCGTCGCACTTCCATCGCGGTATTTTTCCGACGCATGTGCGCTATGCTTTACATACGCATGCGCAGATGCGCGTCTAATCACGTGACGCGTGGTCACGTGTGATTGCGCGTATTTACAAATAGATTTTTATATTTCCTACAGATTTTTTCAAATGGGTTCGATGGGCTCGGATATAATTAAAGAATGATGATTATGATGATGATGAGGATGATTATGATGATGATGATTTACTAATTTAAGCATTAAAATCCTCGAAAAACACAAATTTTGCAAAATATTTTAAATATTTCCTCCGTTATATAAAATATAAAAAATTCCAATGTTTCACTCTAATACAGTAAATTTTTTTTACATTATATTTTATTATAGTTTTTATAATAGTATAATGTACGTTTTGATGATTAATGCTCTATATAATACAATTATATATAACAATTAATTAAAATATTATTAACGGATTTTCAACTATCCAGGTTTAATATTATGTATCTGTTATGTATGACTTTTGCAGAAAATATATGTTGTACTTATTATATCTTTTAATATTCTTCTTTTAATATTTTCCATATAAACTTATGACTTATAAAATTTCATGCGGATGGATCTGTCGGAACCGATCCTCTCGCGATTCGACGTATTATGCATAGTAAAAGACGAAGTCGATCCCATGCAAGATTGTCATCTGGCCAAATTTGTCGTTAATTCGCATATTAAACATCATTCGAAAAGCCCAGCAAGAACACAGGGCAAATATTTTATGTATTATAACATACATGTATATATTTTTACACACACATACATTTACACGCACGCGGAATATTAATTTTAATTATAGAAATAATTATTTATAAATATTATTTATTATTTATAAATTTTTTTAATTTGCAGATTACTTAAACGATTATTTATTAAATAATTAATATATCGTGGAATTTTTCATTATTGCTAATTATTTGGATTCCATTATTTTATATTATATTTATTTTACTACTCTTTTTCAAAGCCAGATTCTTCAATGTAATTTTTAGTTTTGCATTTCAAAAGCTTGATTTCTAGAGAGCTAAATAAATAAATGAAAATGATATTGAGAAGAAGAAAACACACATATATATACATAAATAAATAGTAATATATTGAAAGAAATATATAACATATTAATATATTAGTATATTTAAATCATAAATTATTATTAATAATAAATTATTTATACTAATATTGTTTTATTTGTATTACCTCGTTTTTCTTGGATATTTCTTATTTAAAATTTGATAATTGCGTAAATTAGCAAAAAAGTACTACAAAAGTAAAATAAACTGCTGTGAGCAAGAAGTATTATTAAATTATTTTTTTTTAATTTATCTTTTCAATTTTCTCTCTTAAAATTTTATTAATCATCTAAAAGTACTGTGTTAATATAATAAATTTATAAACACACATTATATATCATCACATAAACATTTTTTCTACATATAAATACATAATTATTAATTAGATTTGATACTAACTTCTAAATCTGATATTAAAAAATATCTAGTCAGGTTTAGAGTAATTAAAAAATACAAAGAGATGAGTTTGAAAATACTTTAATACTTAAATATATATACAATGTGTAAATAAGCATTTATACCATACTAATCTACAATTTTATTTCCCAATGCAACTATATACCAACATTAAGTGTCTCCCTTTCTTCATAAGTTATATCTAAAATTATCGTAGAAAAATAATATATATATATTTATAATGTACCGTTATATTATTATACAGTTATAAAAATTATATTATTATACAGTTATAAAAAGTTACTTTGTTACAAGTATTGTTAAAAATATTACAAAAAAAATATTAGAATCTTTTAGAAAATTTACACAATTAAAAAAATTATAATACACTTGGAAAAAGAATAATACTTGTTTACACCATAACTTTTTTGAAAAATTAGTTAGGAAAAATTAGATAGGAAGCGTGAGAAACGTGTTTGTTGATTTATAGTTTATTATTTATGTTTTGAACTTTTAGGTATTCCTAAATTTTTAAATATGCATTTTAATGATGTGTCTTCTGTATTACTCAATGAATAAGTTATATTCATCGATTTCTTCGAACGTACTATTAATAGTTTTTATCCATTCATTTATTCGTTTCTCATTTTCTTTTGCGGACTTTGTAGATTTTTTTTTCTTTATATGATGTTTCACGTTTTTTTTCTCCTCTTTTTCTTCTTCACCACTATCTTCTGAAAGGTCGAAATTTACGGCTCGTTTTCTTTTGTATGAATGCTGAGGTGGCTGTAATATTTTAAATGTCAATTAATAGTGATATATGATAGTGAATAGTGAATAGTGAGATATCATATGATAAATGTAAAAAATATATTGCTACACTATTAATAATATAAATACCTTCGAAAAATGCGAGGGCTCTAAATCCATGAATAAAGGAATTTCAGTTCCAAAATTTGATAGTCTCTCTGTTTCAGACAAGACATCAAATGTGTCAGAAAAATTGAGAAAATTTACAACATTTTTATCTTCTTGCTTCTCTGTAAGTGATTTGTCAACTTCAACATGCTCTTGATTTGATGCTTGTTTGTTGTCATTAATATCCGGTTTTGTTTGCAATAAGTTCTTTATTTCTCCCAGCGAAATTCTAGCAGGTACTGCAGGTGCTTGTACAACATGTTTGTTTGTATTTATCGCCTGAACATTTTCTGAAGTTTGATTAGTTGGAAGATTCTTTCGAATTATATTGTGTTTTTTGTGGAAAGTCGTTTTCTTTTTCTTTTCTTTTTCTCTTCCACATTTATTTTTTTTATTCATCTCCATATTTTCTTTATCTTCTTCAATATTTTCTTTATTTTTAATATTTTCTTTATTTATTTCTATATTTTCTTTATTCATTTCCATATTTTCCTTATTATTTTCCAATCTTAACTTTGGCGTACTTTGAATAAAATGTTTAGATCGAGAAAACATTGGTAATGTCGGAGGTCGCCAAGGACTTCCCAGATCCAAGGTACTTGTCTTCAAGATAGGAGACAGAGATTTAGTCAATAATGAACAATTCAACGTGTTATTTTGTTGCTTTATCGAGGTTTTATTATCAAATATATTTTTTGGCCGAAAGGGCTCAATATTGGGTGATGATTTAATGACTGTAATATTATCTGCATTTTCGACAGATATAATTTTTGGTATCTTCTTTTCTATATTTTCCTCCATTGATTCTCTTCCCCCTTGAATATCTGTATTTATGTTTGATGATGCAATTTTACTCATAGTATCTTCCTTTACTGATTCTTCTACTATCTGAATATTTGTATCTGTTCTTGGTACCTCAGTTTTTTTATCTTCCTTTGTCGATTCTGTAACTATTAATCCTATTGCAGAATCTGAAGGATTATTTTGCGTAGGCTTCATAGGATTCGTACTAAGTTCAAAAGATTTATTTTCTTGATTGTTAATTATTTTCGATTGTATAGTAACCTTTTTACGTGTAGTCTTCTTAGTTGTCTTGTCTTTCTTTTTGTTAATTTTTTTCTTCTGTTTTTTCTTAGTAGTTTTCTCTCTTGTATCATTAATATCAAACATAAAATCATATACATCATTCTTATTTTCTACAGATTTCTCAAAAGACTTCATGGCTTTGTATACAGGTACTTTTTTATTGTCTTTCAAATTTAACTTTTCTATTATTACCGAACTGTCTCGCTGCTTTAATGGAATATATTGCTGCAGCAATTTTGAATCTTCACAGTAATTTTTTTTATTCCGACGGGAACGCAAGCGTCTTGATAATGGCAGACTGTTATTTGCAGATATATTTGTTTTTGATACATGTAAACTTTTATCTTTTGCACTAATATTAATCTTTTGTGAACTTTTATTGGTAGTAATGATTTTTTTAGATCTGAGTTTTCTAGATGCAGCTTTTGAAGATGGTTCACGAGAATTCAGACGAGAAGAACGTGTAGATACTCCAGTTGTAGACATTATGATTTCTGGAAACATAATAATTATTTATTTATTATATATTATATATTCCTAATACACAATATATTTATTTATTATTTTTGATATATAATCTTATAGCAAATTTAATTTATTGCATTTTAGTGTATATTAAGTGCTATTTAGATTAAATATAATTTGGGAAATTCTTTAGTTATTATATCAATTTCAATATTAATCAAATAGAGAATTGAATAAATGTCTTAGAACTTATATCTGAAGATGATTTTTCTAATTTATATTAACAAAAAATTTATATTGCTATTTATATTAACATGAAAATAATAATTTGATATAATTATTATCTTACATAATTGATTAAATATTGCATTCATGCTTATATAATAAATATTTTTCTTGTCTACTTAGATTGACATTGCAGCGTATCTCCAGATATATAAACTCTATGAGTGTACATCAATGCATGCAACCAAATTCATTATTACTTTATGAGAAATTTTGATAAAAAATATGAGAAACTTTGAAAAAATTATTAAAGATATTAATATTAACATAAAACTTAATTATATATTTCTTAATAAAATAAAGGTTAGAATTTATTGCGGTAAAAAAAAAAGTATATAAAGATTCTAATTTTTTCCCATACAGTGTATATAATATTTTACATATACGTAGAGATTATTTTACATATACGCGACATAATACAATTCTCGTTATAAACGATACTAAATTAACTTTTCTTCTTTTTAATACAAAAAAACATCTTATGACGTATGTCAACTTCCAGCGGTAATGAGAGGGAGATGTTGAATACGAATTGTAAATCAGAACTATATGTTTGTCGAGCACGTTTGATTGTGGAAATTTAATAAAAACGTACCACGTTATTACACTCCGTATAGGTGACAGATATATAAGCTCATCAAACAAAGACGTAAATTTTTTGACAGCGTAACTACGCAAAAGCATCACAACGTACTTACATAAAAAGCGTCGATGTCACGATTGCCAACTTGAGAAGCAAACTTGTCCAGTGATCAGATGAGCAACTAGCCGTAATCACAATTGACCAATCAGAGCAAAGCAATTTGTCGGTCGGCTACTCTGATTGGTCAATTCCAACCGCAACCAAGCCCGCAGCCCGTACGTTTGTTCTTTTTGCTAGGAACTTTCAGGAATTTTTTGCGCTCGAAACGAGACAAATCATGGACGTAAGAAATACTGGACAGAGCATAAAGTACTCTTTTAGACGAGGGATGTGAAATCTGAGGGGTAAGGGGTTTATTGTCGCGGCCATCTTAGATGCATCAGATTTAGCGTCTATTTTCACGTCGCACGGTAAATCGAATAAAATATGAGAGATTCCGTGAAATCATCTATCATCTGAAATCGCTGTGTTATTCCGAATCATTTTTGAATATTAAGAAATTCAAAAATATCACACTCCGTGAAATTAATATCCGTCGCCATCTTACATGCCTCATATTCCGTTGCAGTAGACATTTCTTTCCCCTCACCCTTTGAGCTTCACCCCCGCAGCAATACACTCTGTCCAGTATTTCTTACGTCCATGGGATTGTGGAACTGGGCCTTAAGGCGTAAGACTTAAGAAATTGATCAATCACAGTCAAGTATTAAGAGAATATTCGACTGTGATTGGTCAATTTCTTTTCTTCCCGCTCTTTGCGGTTTCCTAAAGATTTCTGCGATTAAAATGAAATTACAGAGTGAGAAAGAGAATTGTTTTTTTATATATATTAGCTATTTGAATGTAACTATATAAAGTATTGAAGGGATAGAAAACGACAGATCTACATCGAATAAGCAAGAATAAATTTTGGTAACCCATTAGCTCTACTTATTCTGTAAAAAGCAACTTCTAACCTATTTGAAGAAAATGTCTGATGAAAAATCGACAGTGCAAGAATTTAAGTTAGATCCGGATTGTGAATTGAGATTTGAAGTAGAAAGTAAGAATGAAAAAGTTACATTGGAGGTAATATAATTTTTTTTTAATTTAACTTATAAATTTCTTTAATTAGCGAAATTTATCTAGAATTGTATAATTGCAGTTAAAAAGTGGCCTGGCAGAAGTATTTGGGACAGAATTGGTAAAGGGTAAAAAGTACGAATTCATTGCTGGTGCAAAAGTTGCGATTTATACTTGGCAAGGTTGCACTGTTGAGTTAGTTGGAAAAACTGATGTTAGTTATGTTGCAAAAGAGACACCTATGGGTTTGTATCTCAATTGCCATGCAGCGATGGAAAGGATGAGAGAGACTGCAGAAAAGGATGACACTAGAGGTCCAATAACGATGGTTGTGGGCCCCTGTGATGTAGGAAAGTCCACACTTTGTAGAATATTGCTGAATTATGCTGTAAGAATGGGCAGAAGACCGATTTTCGTTGATCTCGATGTTGGCCAGGGACATATAGCGATTCCTGGTACTGTGGGTGCTCTGTTGGTGGAACGGCCGTCTAATGTAGTAGAAGGATTCAGCCAACAAGCCCCGCTGGTTTTTCATTTTGGACACAAAACACCGCAAGCCAATGTGACATTGTACAATTTACTCGTCACTCGTTTGGCAGAGGTTTGCTCGGATAGGCTACAAGCTAATAAAAAGGCTAAAGCCTCTGGCATTGTTATAAACACATGTGGCTGGGTTAAAGGGGACGGTTACAAATTGCTCACACATGCTGCGCAAGCATTTGAAGTGGATGCGATCCTTGTACTAGATCAGGAGAGACTCTATAATGAACTGGTGAGAGATATGCCAGACTTTGTGAAAGTAGTTTTTCTACCGAAGAGCGGTGGAGTTGTCGAAAGGAGTCAAGCACAGAGGACTGAAGCGAGAGATCAGGGCGTCAGGGAGTATTTTTATGGCTCTCGAACTCCTCTATATCCACACAGTTTCGAGGTGAAATGGAGCGAGGCAAGGCTATATAAGATCGGGGCACCCGTTTTACCGGCTTCCTGCATGCCATTGGGTATGAAGGCAGAAGATAATTTGACAAAATTAGTGGCCGTTACGCCGGGACCTAGTTTGTTGCATCATCTTTTGTCTGTCTCATTTGCTGATTCTCCCGAGGATGATGTTGTGCAGACTAACGTCGCCGGATTTGTCTGCGTGTTAGTATACAATTTATTATAAAAATTTTATGTTATAAAATTCCATATTTTATATTTGTTGTTATTAATACTAATTATTATTATTATTATGCACATAATTTTTTCTTATGCACAAAAATATATTATTTATTACATTATTATTATTATTATTATTACATTTGCAGAACCAATGTGGATGTCGAGAGGCAAACGTTCACTGTACTCAGCCCACAACCTAGACCACTGCCGAATACAGTCTTGTTATTATCAGACATACAATTTATGGACAGTCATTAGCAACTAGACAATTTATTATCAATTAGTAAATGTAAAAATGTATAAAAATATGAGTAATAATCAAAGAAAATTTTTTTACAATATTAGAAACGTTTAAGATAATATAAAGAATAATTTACTCATACACACACACACACACAAATGTAATATTTTTTGTAAAATATATATACATTTATAAGAATTTATATTATTAATTATCTGTGTATGTTGTGATCACATACACAAATACAAATCACATATACAAATTAATCTCATTATTGCGAAGAAAGATCAAAAGTTAAAAAATACATAATTGAAATAGCCTTTATAAATTTATCATTTTCATAATATATGATTTGTATCAATTGATTTATATATCCATCTCCCTTCTAAAAAAGTGATAATAAAATTAATAATGTAGAAAAAAACTACAGATGTAAGGAAATATTGAAAAGATAATTGATTTAAAAGATTAAACATTGATTAACTGATTTTTGTTCATTGTTGACAATTATTAAAGTTAAAAATCGACGCGTATGTGTACTTGTTGTATGTGTGCATAGGTATGTATATGTATGTGCAGAGGTATGTATATATGGCATAGATATGTATGTATATGTATATGCATATATATATATATGTATATATTCGTACATACTTGTGCAGTTCGATCCGGCCGCGTGCGTTTTCAAGAATGAAACGAGTACAAAGCGGTTTTCCATTGAGCAGAAAATTATAAAAAAAATATGATGTTTATTGATTCTCAAAGAACTTGCGCCTCGTTTGCATTGAAGTAACAAATTGCGTTGGTAAGTGATGACAATGGACCAACCTCAAAGCGAACGCTGTAACAGATATGTTAATTTCTTAACATGACTTTGTGTCATACGTAACTACGGATTTGAATTAAATGCGAAAATTAAACCAGAAATTTTCACATTGGCGATGATATAATACTTAAGTGAAATAGAGAAGCATTATCGTTACAGCTGTTGACGCTTTAAAAGTCACATGTATGTTTTGTCATTTTTTCCGCGTTAATCTATTCATTTGGAAACTAGATAAATAATAAATAAATAATAAAATATATAAATAATAATTTTTACATGAATCTCAACTTTTATCAGTTTTTATTAATTATAAATTTATTTTAGAACAAAGAAAGTTTTATTAATTAAGATACTTTTCTGTTACTTGTTTTGTATTTGTAGTTTGTATATATTGTGTGCGAGTGTCTACAATCTATAAATATTATATTATAATTCATGGATTTTTATTAATTTATTGATATTTATTTTTTATATAGATTTTATATATAGCTTTTAAAAGGTAAACATGCGTCGAGCACGTATTAAAGCTTTGGCCAGTGTGCCAATTCGAAAGAACCCTGTACAAGATACAGCAGCTCCTGCTGATGGAAGTGAGCTGTTTGATAAAGAACAAAAAAAGGAAGATGCATCTAAGCCAGAGTATGAACCAGAAGTTATCAAAGATGTCGCGGAAGTAAAGAAACAGACAGAAGAAAGTATATCTTCTGATACTGAAGTGTTGGAACAAAAAGTCATTAAAGAAAATGCAAAGATATTAGAAGAGACTAGTAAGAAAGAACAAATAAAACCTAGTTTTGTAGAGCCAGAACCAATCGTAGTTAAAAAATCAGATTCTCAAGAATCATGTTCTCAAAAAAAACCAAATTCTCAAGAACTATGTGCTCAAATAAAACCAAGTTCTCAAGAATTATGTGCTCAAGTAAAACCAGATTCTCAAGAATTATCCAATCAAATAAATGACAAGCCTGAAAAATCTATTGATCATTTGGTTCAGAAGACTGTCCCACTGCCAGATACACCATCGACAGGAATAGATATAAGTAAGGTTTATGTAAAATCATTAAAAAATTTATATACTGGAAAACACTTAAAAATATTTTATCACAGTTTGATTTTTCTATTAAAATATGTTATAATTTTTCTGTTACTTACATTTTGTACATAAATTTTGAAATATATATTTTTTTCAGCTTCTCCTACAAAAAATCGTCTATGTTTTATGAGACCTGTACCAAGATTAGACACTGGTGGTAGAGTAAGAAAGAATAGCATACAAGGAAGTGGTGCAAGTGCGAGCGAATCCGAGGATGAGCATGGCAAAAGAACAGTATCCGTTGTGCCGAGTCGCATACGGAATGATTCTATTTGTTCCATACAGAGCAATAAGGAAAGTAGTACTGCTGACAATCAAAATATCTATCCGAAAATTAAAGCGATGCAGAAGAGACGCATGCAAATTTCGGAATCGGCGAGAAAGCTAGCCGAAGCGAGAAGGGAATTCTTATTGAAACATGAAAATAAAACGCCCGATAAAAGTCAGATGAAAATGTATGATTTTATATATTATAATCCTGTAACGAATCCTATGAAATCGAAAGATCAACAAAGAATAATTGCAGCACAGTAAGTATATTGAATTATAATGATAAAGTACAAAACATTATCTATATATCGATACTCTATAAATTTAATTTCATTTTTTGTCCAGACCGATAGAAATGCAGGAAGAAGAAGAACAGGAAGATGATCCGATGAGAAAGATTCCTGCGCCGCAAGTGAAAGTCGGTCCTGATGGTCAGTTGATAATAGACGAACAGAGTACAACGATACAACACACAGATGCAAAAAGAGTTAGAGAAATAATGTCGAAAGATATTATTATTGAAGAGGGTGTTTGCAATAATGGTGGTTTCTATACGAAGCATAAGAGAAGCAAGGATTGGCCAAAATGGGAAACGCTTAAATTTTATAGAGTCTTGAACGTAGTTGGTACAGATTTTCTTTTGATGCAGACTCTATTTCCAAATAGGACTAGACAAGAAATTAAACAAAAGTACAAGAAAGAAGAAAGAGTTAATCGCCCGTTGATCGAAAAAGCTCTGAAATATCATCAAGAGTTTGACACTGAAATGTTAGAGGAACAATTAGGTATGTTCTCTTTCTCTCTTGTAATGTTTGTTATATTTTATTTTTATTAATAATATTGAATTATTAACATTCGACTGCATTATTCAGATATTGACTTAGTATAGTTTTATAATTACCTGTATATATGCTCCTGGACAAAATTAATGCATAATTTTTTTTCACTTTTTCTTTAAAAGCTGATATTTAAATTTTAACGAAAAATTTTAAAGAAAAAGTGAAAAGAAAATTATGCGTTAATTTTGTCGAGGAGTATATAAAAAAATTTTATACACATATAGTACACAATGTAACAATTGAGTAAACAATTACAATTTTCATTGGAGTTTTTGAACTTTAATCATAATATTAAAAATTTACTCTACTTTTATATAGAGCAAATGTTTATTTATTTACTTTATGTGTATATTGATCTGTTGTATTCTGTTTTTTGGAATTTATTTGATTTGTTTGGTTAAAAATCAGAAATTTATTTGTAGCAATGTTACAAAAACTAGAAAATATTCAAAACACACCTGAAAAAAATGAAAAAACAACGGAAAAAGTTAAAAATGGTCAAAATATAACTAAGGCAGCGAAAAAACGCAAGCATCGTGAGTACATTGTAATTTTAATCTTATTTTGAAACGATATTTATATAAAACAAGATATTAATAATCAACAAGATGTATTAATAATCAGAAAACATTTTATATAGATTATTGAAAAATGTAGTCAACCAAACTAGCCAGAAATTTAATTTATTAATACGATGTTTCGATCATATGGTTGTGGTCCTTATCAAGTACATACTACAAAGATTATAAATTGATAAATTAATTGACAGTTACAATATATAACACGCTCAACAAATTAAAATGTAACAATGTTAGTATACCGAAGCCATAAATCAGGAGACCGGCATAGACGATGATCTTATAAATTGCACAAATCACATTAACAAAAACGTTATTTATTAAAAAGATTTAAATTAGAAAGAAATTGATGCGTCCGTGAGAGACTTCGTCAAGAGACTAAAAACAAACGCTATGAGACGGGACTATGTGACCTTTATTATTTTATCGTAAATATTATTTAAATTATCTGTGTCTTTCTGTAGGTTGATTAAATTATTATTAAATTTTTTGATGAAAAACATCTCAGCAATTTCTCTCTTTCGAACATATTTACTAATTTGATAAGTGTCAAATACTAATTTGATCGAGTCATGATTTGTATCGCCTTCTGAAAAATAACGGTTTTAACGTCGTCTACAAAATAACTAAAAAACTAAATAATTTAATTAGACGCGGTAAAGATAATTTACATAATGATAAGACAGGTGTTGTATATAAATTAAATTGTAAAGATTGCAATTTGTCATACATCGGGCAAACAAAAAGACATTTACGTACGCGATTAAAAGAACATTGCAACAATATAAAGTTACATGAATCTAATCATTCGGTCATTAGCAAACATAGATTAGAATCTAGACACGATTTTGACTGGTCGAAACCTAATATTTTGCATAACGAAAAATATGTTCGAAAGAGAGAAATTGCTGTGATGTTTTTCATCAAAAAATTTAATAATAATTTAATCAACCTACAGAAAGACACAGATAATTTAAATAATATTTACGATAAAATAATAAAGGTCACATAGTCCCGTCTCATAGCGTTTGTTTTTAGTCTCTTGACGAAGTCTCTCACGGACGCATCAATTTCTCTCTAATTTAAATCTTTTTAATAAATAACGTTTTTGTTAATGTAATTTGTGCAATTTATAAGATCATCGTCTATCGCCGGTCTCCTGATTTATGGCTTCGGTATACTAACATTGTTACATTTTAATTTGTTGAGCGTGTTATATATTGAAACTGTCAATTAATTTATCAATTTATAATCTTTGCAGTATGTACTTGATAAGGACCACAACCATATGGTCGAAACGTCGTATTAATAAATTAAATTTTTGGCTAGTTTGGTCGACTACATTTTTCAATAATCTTTTGATTATTCGACTAGCGATATTAAGATATTTATTAATTTTATATAGATGTATATTTAGAGTAAATTAATTCACACAACAAATTGTTACAGGATTGGTGGCGAAAAGTATTGGGGAGTGTGAAGCATTCTTAACGTCGAATGCTATTAATGATGAAGAAGCTGAAGATGCAATGATATCGACAAGTGATGAAATTGATGTTGAAATAAATAGCGAAATGGGTGACACTCATCAAATAAGAAAGGGAAGCAAAATGCGAAAAAGACGATTGGATGATAAATCTGATGATTCTGATGATAACAGCGCAAGCGATTTCAATAGCGATTCGGATAGTTCTCCAGAGATTTATCGAATCCGGCCGACTAGATCTGGTAGACAACCGAAGAAGTTAAAAAAGTTGCAAGCGCCCGATGTCAATAAACTTAATACGCCTAATATTAATACGGAATCTGACAGTGACGCTGAAAACAAATCGTCAATAGTTGATAACGAGGTGATACCATCACATGTAGCCGTTGAAGTTACAGAGGTTGCAAATACTTCAAATGAGGGCGGCGAAAGCGCAGAAACATCATGTCCTGAAAATATTACGAGCGTAATACCAAATATAAATCAAATGGAACCAGGATCTTTGGTAATCGTATCGAAGGAATCTGCAGAAGAACCTGGAAACACTATTTTGCAAGTTTATATGGTTAGTTCCAATGTTGATAACACATCGACCGAAGATTCTACGGACCAGAAGAATCTATTGAAACCTTTAACGACAGTAACTAGTGAGTCAGAAACGGTTAAACAGATGACTGAATTTAATGAATTTATGGCAGATCAGCAGAATCTATCGGAACATTTAACGAAAGTTAAACCGGAAATTGCTAAACCGACGAAATCTGAAATTGATGAAAATTTTGAAAAATGATCTTTTGCATTTATACTTAGTTATATAATTCAATTTTAGATAGCATTAAAAAATAACACGTATCTTCAATTTGTTGGGATTGAATATTAATTTATATATAGATTAGAGAAAAATATAAAAAAAGACTGCAAAAAAATGTGCAAAAGAAGACATTTTGTTATACGTTTATAAACTTTTTTTTTAATTATAAGTAAAACTTTTTTTGCAATATTATTTATATAAAATGGTTCTCTAAGGATGAATTTACTTCTCCCGACAAATCGAAGGTGATTTATTGTGATAAGAATTGCGCAATACATATATGCACATTTACTCCTTTAATATTTACTTTTTTATCAAAAGACAATTTCCGTTTTTTATTAAAAGAAAATTTATATTTATATATAAATATTCAATTTTAATAACAGTATTGGAGCATTTCATGTTATGAGCAGAGTCCGTTTTCCCCACTCCAAGTGCATGCTAGCGGCCGAGTGCCGCGAAAAGCAGTATCATCTATGCCGGTCTAGTGATGGTAGCAAAGAGGGCACCGTCGCATAGAGAAAAAAAAATATATATATATTAACATAGAATATATGTTTATTTGATATTATGCATAATATATAAAATAATATAATAAAAGAATATATATATATAATATAATATAAAATATAAAATAATATAATTATTTTTTTTCTACGCTACAGTGCTCTCTTTGCTACCATCATTAGGTCGGCATAAACGATACTGCTTTTCGCGGCACACGACCACTGACATGCACTTGGAGTGGGGAAAACGAACTAAGATCCGGACTCTGCTTATGAATGATCAACATTGTATGTGTATAATACTAAAGGTAGTATGTATACAATACTAAAGGTAGAATATGCGAGTTTTCCAATACAATTTTTGCTTTTATTGTAATCTCATCTGTCTATTGAATCAATTGTATGTAATGTTCTTATCCAGCATGATTCTTTCATTACTTATACCACAACCACAGTGGATTAAGAAAGTCAGTTAGACAAAGCGCAGGATACATTTCTATTTTGCAAGTGTGTATGTATGTATGTATGTATGTATGTATGTATGTATATTATATGTATATTGTATATATACATTTGTACAATTGTATATATACATATATATGTATAAAACTTTATAATAAAAATAAAATTTGAGATCTCGATGACTTCATTCACATGTATAAAATTCAGTAAATGAAACACATTTTTTGTTTTACAACACAATTATAAATAGATCTTATCGAACTATATTAAGAAAGAAAGAATTTTGCTATTGTATGTTATTTTTTCCAGCTAATGTTTTGAGCGTCGGTTCTAGTATATATAAAGCTCAGTAGTCAATATACTGCCATGACACAATGTATATAATGTAAAAATTACATTATTGATTATCAATTAATAATTATGACTTTATAGCAACGAAGTTGCTGCAAAGAATACAAATTGCAATTATCTTAAATAAAATATTGAACAATTGAAATAAGTATGTATGAATTTATTTCTGCAATGAAAAAATTATGTTGTGCCTGAAAAGAGCAGATATCTTGATCATTTTCAATATTTTCTTAGAATTAATAGAAAATATTTTATAATTTAAATATTTAAAAGTGAGATATATTTCCGTATTATAATATATATAAAAATCCGTGAAGAGGTATCATATATCTTTATTAATCATTAATAGCACAATTCTATAGTATCACATGGAATCCACTTTGAACTTTCCAAGGCATCCCATAAATTATAATCTTGTTCAATTATTTCTCTATTTGCTTTGTCAATATCAATGGGGACTGAATGCTCTATAAAAGAGAAAAGACATACATAAAGTATGTTAAATTAAAATATCTCAAGTTTACATTAAAAAAAAAAAATTATAAAGAAATAAATGGTACCGATTAATTCTAATTCATCTTCCTCAGGTTTCTGATCAGATACATAGTTATTATAAGCATCTGATGTTGGTTCGCTTTCATAATAGCCTTGTTGCCAAGCGCTGTAACTATTCCAATATGATGACGTATCATAGTAATTATACGCCTCTGAATTCATGTTTGATGCTGGATACTCAGAAGTTGATTGTGGTGGTGTTGAACTAAAAAATGATGAAAAAAATATTTCTTATAAATGACTCTTTCTCTTTATAGTGTAATATTAAAGACAAGTATTTTTCTGATTGATAATAATGATAAGAAAAGCAAAATTTATCTTTTAAAGTATATTATTGACATCACAATATAATTCTTATGTAATTAACTTGCCCAGATATTTTATTCCAGGGTCTAGGTACAGCATTGCAGATTTTTAGAGATTTTGTTCCAAGTCCTCTGTAACCATTCATAGTGATTAGGCTATTCTTCTGTTCTTCTTCGTTCGCGAATCTAACAAAGCCATAGCCTTTACTGAATCCCGAGCTATCCAATATAACTTTAGCTGTTCTGATTGAATTATATTTTGCGGCAAATGCTCTGTATAAAGAGTAATCATCTACATCGGTGGATAAATCGCCTACCCAAATGCTGAATTCCCTCTCAGCGGCAGGTTTCCCTGTAGTGCTGGCGTGATTTAAACGAAACCGTACAGGCTGCAAAATGTCAATATTGGAATAATCAATTATATATATACATTTATATATTGTAATGTATGTATGTATTTATATATCACAATATATTTACGGGATTTGAACCGGGTATGACTTTGCCGTTTAATTTGTGCATGGCATCGAGCGCCATTTCGTCAGTTGGAAAATGTACAAAGCAGTATCCTGCGGGCTCGCCTGTATACCGATTTCGCATTACTTTTACCGTCTGCGGCTGTTCGCCCATTTTGTGGAACGCGTTCATGATGAAGCTTTCAGTCATGTACGGCTCCAGCTAAAATGAAATAATTGTTAATAATCGCGTTTATATTCACTTGTTTTCAATCATGCATCAAATGATACAATCTGTTAAATAATTTACTCACGCCACCCATCCACAGCTGACACAGCACCATTGGTCCTGACATTTTATTTTACTCTCAATGAATTAATTTTCATCAACTGTTCTATCGAATAAGAGAAAAACGTGAAAGTTTATATATGTTGTTTATCCAGGTGTTATTTTTCTGTTCTTCGTACACGTTTAGTATGGAAATCCTAAAGACACCGCATCATTTATGTACAATCACAACACTTTGCCGAGTGAGTAGAACCGACAAGATGTTTTCTGTAAACAAAATTAAAATTGAAACACAAACAGACCAACTGACCGCCGCAAGTAGCGAGAGGTTATATTGTTGACAAGCGGAAAAAAGCACAAAACACATACCACATGAGATGACAAGACTCAAAACAATCACGATGCTTGAATATCCAGATGCGTTCGATGCGAACCGGCCATTGGCCGCGTTAACGGAGAAAAAGAAATCAAACGTTATTGGCCGCATTCAGAGGACTCAACCGCTAAGTAGCAATCGAATATGATTGGTCTCCACTTTCAGGTCCGACCAATCAGCGTCGAGTTACATCGGAAAATCTAGGAATGTTGCCCAACTGTTGAGTCCGCTGAATGCGGCCATTGGCTCCTACTTTCAGCGCCAGCAAATCAACGTCGAATTTTACAAGAATACGACGCAACAGTCCCGTCGAATCAGCCGCCGAGAGCGCTCGGACCAATCAGGAGGCATGCCTCGATATAACATAGGAACATTACTATTGGTTCCACAGTACCGGGAACGACGTCCGATTGGCCGGCCGTGATCACGCGCGACGTTGCGCTCGCTCGTTACATCGCGACTTCGATGACCGATGGCAACAAAGATGGCGGGCGCGGTAATGCGCGCAGCGATCATGTAACATCGCCGAGGCGCGTTGACGTATGTACATGTACGTCGTGACGAGCGTCCCGCGTAGAGTGCCCGGGCGGACGGCAAGCTGTCGCGACGTGCGTGCGCGTGTCGAGTGTATGCGGAGCACCGCGATTCCGTGGCGTGAGTGCGCGCGCGCGCGCGGGTGCGGGTGCGGGAGTGTGTACGTGTTCGTGCGCGAGCCGCGTTTCTGACACGAGTGCGACGACGAGATATGTCAGAGGCAGCTCCGGAAGCATGAGCGAGGGAGCGGACTCGGTTACGCGAACCCGCGGGGATTCGCTCCAGGCTACCTCGGCGCGCGAGGGCGATGCTCAGCGGACGACCGGGACGGCGACGCCCTCGCCACCGCCGCCACCTTTGCCGCCGCCGCCACCGTCGACGTACACTGGCAGGAGGCCGCGTTTCGGCACCGGTGGCCCTCCGCCGTCGCCGTACATGTGGATCGACGGCCGTCAGCTGCGGAGCGCCCTGGCCTGGACCAACAAATGGCCGATGCGGCCGCCCGATGCTGTCCCGTTACGAGTCAGCTTCCCCGCGAGCGACAATCATCTGGTGACGGGCTACCTGGAGCCCGCCAATCCTTGGCGGCACGGTGAGTATTGTCGTCCTTCCGCGACATATATATCCTTGATCCTTTACCTGGGCTCTTTATCAGATTTAGCGTTATCGACCGTATCTCCTTGGAGTGTACCTCGAAATGCATCGCATCTTGTGTTACTTAGACTTAACTCTTAGATTTCATGATATCTAGCATCGACGATTTAAGTTGAGTAGCTCTCTATGGTTAGCAACCTGTTGTTGACCTTTTTATATAGACTCAGAGGAAGGTAATGTAATTAATCAGGATTAGTGCTGACAAAATCAATGTGAGCAGTTTTTGTTCTAAAGAATTTATAGTATAAAGAACGTTTGGTGCTTTATATAGTACTCAGAGAAGCATGATTTAAATTTTGTTCGTGATTTGTAAATTACTTTAATCAAATCAGTATGTATTGCAGGGTCTCTGACTCGGTACAAATATATATATATATATATAGGTAATTAATCATATGCTGTTATAATGTTGCAGGATATTTTGGTATATATATTTGTGCTCTCAGGATTTCAAGTAAAAAACAATTATCCAATATTATTTAAAATATAGCGTTGCTGTAACTTGCTGTAAAATTTTATATAAATTAATTATTTGTTGAGATCAAGATTGTAAATTTTTTTCAAGGTTTAACAAGACACTTATGGACCATATTAAAAGATGTCTATGGTACAATAAAATGTACAAGCGTATTGAAGAAATATTAATAATAAATTTGTTTAACTGCGCATAATTCTTGTATCAAGTAAATAACCTTAATATTTTTAAGTAAATAACCTTAATATTCTTAAGTAAATAACCTTAATTCTCATTACATGACCAGGATAATAATTGCTTGTTTGTGGAAATATTTTTACAATATTCTAAAGCAATTGGATCATTTGCACAGTTTTTTTATTCGATTATTTAATGCAGTTGTACATCGTTACTATGCTATTAGGTTTTTTTATAGACGCTGTCTCAAGTGAAGGATTTCGCAATGTGAATCTTGTACTAATTATAAGTTTGACGCAATGTTAAAGTCTATCTAGTACAATAATATAGATTAAAACTGTAACAATCATTCTTTTTTCTTATTATAATTAATGTGTGTATGATAAAATATCAAATAAATAAATAAATAATTATATGCCATACATTGTATTATTTATTATACTTCTACATTACTTACTTCTCTTTAATTTTATACACATTTTCTCCGTCTCTTTTATGTATATTATATTTACTTTATTATATACATGAAATGTACTTCATTCTTTCTAAAAAATCTGAAGAATTTACATAATTGAGCAATTATAGATATTTTAAAAATTCCTGAGTGTTTTCTGTTATTCCTATAAATATAATAAATTTAACAAAAATGTTTTTTTGTATATTCTAAATAAAAAATATTTTTCAATATTGGCATGCCCATGTTATAATATCTGTGATACTTTTGATATATCAAGCAATAAAAAGTATTAATTGTTCCCAGCTGAAAATGTGAATCGCGAGGACTTAATCTTCTCATACAAGGAGTCCTGCATACGTCACAACACCAAACCCTTGCCAAACGTTTTAGTTCAGCTCGAGGTAAATGCATTCACTTTTTTACATTACAATTATATACAATTTCATTATATCATGCTATTTCTTCTCTGGCGTAAATCACAACTGATATTAAATTCAGGTGTGAGCATGTTGCAACAAAATAATCTCTCAAAAGGACCGGTTCTATTACATGGAAGTGTGTATCGAGCTTGTTTACTTGAACCAAAAATGCTAAACTGGCTGAAATAAAAACGTGAAGTTTATCTCTTTTACTTTTCTTTCATCATGGCATTTTGTACATGCTATTTGTTCTGGCATTCTCTAGCAATCTAGGAAGACTTTTTCACCAGATAGATTATCAGTGCCTTCTGTAGTGCACGGACATAGCTCTGCTGCTTTGAGGAATGCATTTTTGCAAATTTTATTCGAATTTCGACGTTGAGTCAGCTTTGCAAGAAGAAAAGTTCTCATTCATTTTTATGCACACATGTTTCTTCATGTTTGTTACATAGAACCTGGATGTATCTCAAGATCGGTGCGAGCAACTGAATTTGAAAGGGGAAATCTTGGATCAGGATCATTCTGAGCCATTGGAGGAGATACTGAAGAGAGTACAATTTAATAAGATTAATCTAGAAGGAGCATCTCTGAACGATGAGGTAATTTTATAAAAATACATACATTCTTTGTATCATTGAGTATATTTTTATATATGCATATATAATCTATATTAATATAAACAATTTTTATTATAGAGTTCCGTGATATTATTTGATATGCTTGAATATTACGAGTCTGCAAAACACTTAAATATCTCATTTAATCCGGAAATTGGAGCGCGTGGCTGGCAAGCGTGCTCCCATATGATTAAAAAGGTACACATACAATCAATTTGTTAAATGAGAATTTTTATATACGATCCTATATGTCAAAATTAGTTTACAAATTTTATCTTTATTTTTAACTTGGCTACATTTCAATTCATTACTGCACTGTATAGTAGATAGTGTCACTACATATATATATATGTATACACTGTTATATTTAAAGCAAAATATTAAAAGAGTAATCAATACTGTTCTAATTTTTTAGACTCAATGTTTAGAGCAGCTTGAAGCAAGAGATATACAGTTTAACGAGCAAAATATGAACATTTTGAGTCGTGCATTACGATTAGTTGGTCATCTACATGTTCTCAAATTGGAAAACTGTGGATTGTCGGGCAGAGCAATCGTCATACTTGGTATTTAATTGTATAACAATATTTTTCATTGAGATATTATATCGCGTCTAATAAATATATTATTGAAATTTATCACATTAATCTCGATATTTGTTGACATTAATAATTTTCGAGAATAAAAAAAAAAGAAAAAATGAAACTTATCGAAACATTATGTTACCGTAATTAATAAAATATCAGAAAGTTCTTTGTAATGATTTATATAAATTATGATTGTGTGTTTTGTAACAGTTACAGCCCTAAAAATGAATAGCGGTATACGGGAATTATATTTAGCCGATAACGGGCTTGATTTATATGATGCTATACAGCTTGGATCTCTCTTAAGGATGAACAATCATTTGCAATTGCTCGATATTAGGTATGATTAATTGCTCAATAATAAAAAACAATCATTTATCTTCCATAGCTTTCTTTAGAAAGATAAATGTGAGAATGTGTGTGTATGTACGTGTATATATATAATGTGTGTGTGTGTGTATCCTTTTTTATATATTTTTTTGGCCTCATCTTATATCATTTTTCTCTACAAATTAATTTTTAAATTTATCGAGAAAATCAATAGAAATCGTACGTAGTAAAATATTTTTGTGTGTAGATTGTAGATGTTTGCTTTATATCTGAGAGGGGAGGAGGGGGGCATTATGCTTAAGCGAGTAACGATGTTTTTAGTACAGATTCTCTTTCTTTTGGAAATGTTTTTTTCTTTAGTAATAATAACGTCCAGGATGATGGGGTACGAGACATTTTGGAGGGTCTGATCAATCAAGTGAACGAAGATAAGACCGGCAAGGGACTCAGTATCCTGATATTATGGAACAATCGTTTAACCAAGAACTCGTCACCTTATATCTCGAGGATTATAGTATGTACTATACTATATATAAATTGTATGTATTATACGAATATCTTGTGTCTTTTCATATCATCTTTATTCGATCATAATGTTGACGACAATGGTCACGATAATTTTGTTTGTTTTTTTGTAATATAAACATATAAATTGTTTATAACTCAATGTGCACGATATCTTCTTGCGAGATAATATTTAATATGAATTTAATTATTTTAATTTTTACTGTTATATTTTATTGCATCAATTATTTTTTGTATATTTATTTGTATGTATATGTTGTGTCATTATTAATACATATGTTAAAATAGAAAAATGCTGAAAATAATAGAAAATTCAAATAATAATACAACATTTAAGTATAGCGCGTGAAAATCGAAGAGGGATTTAAAATTATTTGAAATTATCAAGAAAGAGAAATAAATGAAGCAATAAAAGTATGCTGTTTGTATGCTGTAGCTTAACGCGTTTGCTGCCCTATTACGCCCGCAATAATTATGTTCAGGCATTATCGAAAACATTGGAGACTCTGAATATCGGTCAAAATATGCTGACGGACGAGGCACTAAGAATCGTTAAGGAATCACTGAAGCAGAATCGTGTTCTCCTGCAATTGGGCATGCAATCGACAGAACTCACGTGCGAGGGGATAATCACGTTAGCCGAGATCATGGAGATGAATCAAGTTTTGCAAGTAGGCTCTCTGATTATACAATCAATCTGATTAAACTCTACTATGCTGATATTCTACTATGCTCTCTTTTACTTGTGCAGAGAATAGATTTGCGAGATAATAACATAAAATTGCGTGGGATGCATGCTCTTGTGAACGTAATGAAGACAAACAAGACCGTAACGCAGATCGATTTGGACGACAGACCTCGGATAAGAATAGTGAGTTTCATATGATATTTATATACGTGTTCTACAATCCTTTTTACGTTCGTTTAATCAATCTCTTTCTCCTTAACATTTCTAAACGAAGGATGGTCCCTTGAATGAGTACGTGGAACTGATTGTGGAGATTCGCAGTCGCTGCGGCCAAAACGAAGAGCGCCGTCTGCTGGAAGAATCCACCGAGGATGCCGAAAGTCCGCAGTACCCGAGCCTGAACGCGAGCTCCCGTAAGATCTCGCTCACTTGTCAGACACTGCCAAGTCCGTCGTCCGGTCGATCAACGACATCGTTGGCTGCTAACGAGCCGGCGACACGCACTACGCTGGAGCCGGCAAAACGCACCAGCGGTGGCCGTCTGCGATCCCCGGCTCCCAGTCCGATTCCCTCACCTGTAGCTAGTCCGATCCCCAGTCCGTCTCGGAATCGTTTCGTCGTATGCCGAGTGCCGGAAGCATCGCTACGCTCTACCGACTCCTCGGCATCCACTTCACCCGTCACTCCGCCATCCCTCGGCTCCTCTCCGAATTTCTTCTCCGGTGCATCGAGTGGCGGCCCGTCGCGGTTCCGTGTGTCGGTCGTCGAGTCGGCGGGTGCCGGTCGCTCGCCGCCTAAATCTGTTATCGCTTCCACTAGCGGCAGCTCGGTCACGATCGGTTTCAACGTTAAAATCGATGCGGCCGACTCGAACGATTCCGACAACGTAATCGACAAGACAAGCGCCAGCAGTAAAACAGCCGCGTCTGCGTCTGATATGCTTCACGTAGTCCCGTTAGCGAGAGAAACATCCTCCTCGAGCGAAGACATTGCCAAGAACGAAGATCGTTGCAATGAAGAAACGAAGACTTCATCAAGTGAACAGCAAGTTAAAGTACGACTCGAGGTAGGCGAGATTGTTACAGCGACGCCCAAGGGTAAATATGACAAGATGACTGAGATTAAAGAAGAAGAACGGCTAGAAGACCAGAATGATATAATCGGGACATTGCAATCTGAAAAAAACGAGATGGATTATTCCAACGAAAACGAAAACAATCGAAGCAACGTTATGACAATGGATCTCGAGAACGCTGCAATAGCCGACAACGAGGCGATTATAAATCGCAACATTGTGTATACGAGTACAAAGGAACTCCAAGTACCTGCATATCCAAACGAAGATACAATTTCGACTAGTATAGTCGAGGATAAAGAAAATGCGAATGCAATAAAATTATCTTTGGATAACATTTCGGAATTGAACCGAACAACGGAAGAGTTATCCACTTGTATATCGAGATCTTCCGCGAATTCCATTTGGACGGGAACGTCTTCGATTCGCACGACGGAGTCGCATTCACGGGAACAACCGAGCACATCAGTGCAGAAGCACAAATCCAGTCTAGAGAAGCTCTTGTCATTGTTCCAACATCCCGGCCAGTTTTTTTCTGACTCCTCAAGTACCACCAGTGTCATGGACACAAAAAGCTCCCTGCAGGAAAATGTGAGCGGTGTGATGGCATTGGGCGACAAATTGCAGCAGTACCTGAAAGAAGGTCGAACCAAAATCGATGGTTCATGGTCTTCGGAGCATGGATCTCCGTTGAAGAACAAATCGATGGGACTGAATATATCGCAACTGCAGAATTTAACTGGCATATTTGCATCTTTCAAATTCGAGCCACAGGCAAGTCTCGTCGAGCACGGCACCAAGTTCTTCGGTCAAACGAAAACTCAGGATGCGAGGGAGGATATCAAGGAGAAGAATTTAGAAGAATTGATAGAAACCGAAGTTGCAAGAGACGACAACGAGAGAAATTTATCTGATCGAGAGACTAATCAACTTATAAGAAACTATGGCAATCTGATTGAGCAGCATCAAGTGATTAAGAGTGACGAAAATGATTTATTTCATCAAAAACAGAATCAGAGCATAAAGAATGATGAGAAAAACTTAGATAAACAGAATCAGTTTATTGAAAGGAACGAGAATTTGCTTGGTCAAGAAAAAAGTCAAGTTGAAAACGATGAGCAAAAATTATTCAATCAGATCAGCAGGAGCGATGAAAAAGATTCTATCAGTCAAGAAAAGAGTCAAATTTTGATTAATGATGAGAATAAATTATTTGATCGCATGAAAAATCGAACTATAGAAATCGATGAAAGAAATTTAGAGGATCAGAAGAAGGGACAGGAAATTATCAGGAACACTGGTGAAAATGTTAAAGGCAGCGGAGAGATGAATATACAGAGGAGAGATGAGGTTGCGAACAACGATCCAGAAGATGAAAGGCTGCGAAATGACATTGCGAGAAATGACGGGAAAGATTCCGTGAGTATCCGAGATGGCACACGCAATGTTAACGAGGAGAAGGATGTATGTAACGCGGATGACTTAAGAGGGACAGAATCTGACAGGATTAGTGATCGACTGTTACCTGAAAGTGTGCAATCAAAGGATGATTTCGCTAATAATTTAGTATTAGACGACGGTCACGTCGCAACAAGTGCAGCAGTGGTCTTGTCGTCGTTTCCGGCAAGTGAATCTACTGCGTATATAAATGTAAGTTTAACGGATATAGTCGAATATTCTACTCTAGGATTAAGTAACATTGCCGACATATGTATAGAATGTAACGATACGAAACGTTTCGAGGATTTTATCAGCGAGGAAGAGCGTGACGATGCACCGCAGGATTCACCAAAATGTACGGAACGTGATGATGATGCCGAGTGCTTAAAACACGATAATTTGGAGATTTTAGGGAATAATGACGCGAGGTGTTTACAACGTGACGACGCGGTTGAAGAAACGAATGCCGCGATAATAAGGACATGTGATACAATTACGGACAGTATTAATCAGACTAGTGATAGTAGGTTTTTTCCGATTTCTAACGTAGCGTATGATAGTAAGAAAGCCGTAGATAGCGTAAGTATCGCGTCGATCACGACGGACGATGATGTCGACGTGATTAGGCCTGCGTCGGAAAACAGCGGGCTATCGACATCATCGACGTCGTTGTTTACAGGCGCGAGCGTTTACTTAAACGAGGAAGTTACCAATAACACGCACCGAGATCGTCGGTGCGATTTTACGAGGAAAAGAGAAGAGAAGGAAGATCTCCACGATAATGCTTACCGCGATTCCGTTGATCGTGCAACAAGTACAAGTGTAAATATTAAGATAGATCCACACGGAGAATCGGAAACGACGAGTCCACATGGGAGCCAAGAGGCGCCAGAACGACGGTTGTTGATGCCAAATAATATCAACAAACATCGAACTATTCTTGAAGACGCTGCCGAGACCACGTGTCATTCGGGGGACGAACAGGGTAAACAGACGGTCGATCCGATGATTCTCGTCACCCCATCGTCGCACGAGATATCCGTAATAAGTTTGGACAAGTCTGATGCAGAGGAGCTTATCTTTTGCATGACCGACGTCTCCACAGACGGTACATCTATAGAGGACGAGCTGTCACCTCAAGGCATCGCGCCTAGAAGCTCACTGAATAAACTGGCGGAATCGTACTATGAGCTTCCCGCTTCGAGGACCAACGTGTCGACGAGCGGCACGCTTCTGATCGAGAATCCCGGGAGCGTGCACAGGAACAGTCAGGATTCCGGAATCGAGGAGACCGCATTGACAATCGACGATACCGTCGTCGGAATAACGGAGTTGCCGCCGATACCGCCGCCACCGCCGCCACCGCCGCGCAGTAGCCTCCAAGAGAGCGTGGACTCGGGGATCGAGTCGGAGTGTTCGTCGATATGCATCAGAATGGAATCCGCTACCGGAATCAACACGTTGGAGATGGTCGCGACACCGAAGAGGCCCACGCGTGACGATAACGACGACGAGGAGGAATTTGGGGAGTTTGCCTCGGATTTCCTCGCGAGGGAGACGCGACTAGTCGATAGCACGAGTGGCGATGGCGATGGCGACTCGTACCTCAGCGGCGTCAAGTGCACGGTCGTCAATACCATGCGACCCGTTGCCGATGAAGGCGTCGCTCGACCAACAGCGCCGATGATCGCGCACTCCCCCGCGACCGTGCACGGCACCAGGTGAGTGTGTACTTCTAGGGCACCTTCTCCTCTGGGCTTCTTCTGCGGAACTTCCTGCAGAAATCTTAGAATGCGTTACGCGCGCGATTAAAACCTTAAATCTCGGAAACAAGTCTGGTCGTCGACTTACAATATAATCTTAAGAGGAGAAGATGTGTGCGATATTTTGGTAAACTGATAAGAATAAGTAAAGCTTGGATTTTGCCTTCAAAGAACGAGAAATTGCGAAAATAAAAATGTCAAATAATAAATAATTAAATTTAAAAACTCCTACGTCCTATTGGGATAGGTTGTGCATTCTAAGAGTTAATGTGTGGAAGAGGATGTTTCTTTCCCCACTGCTTCGATTCTTCTTGATTTTCCGCTTACTCACTTTTGCAATCGGCGTCAGCTTTTGCACTGGTGCTTTTGCTGGATATATTTAAGGATATATTTAAAAAAAATTAAAAGAATTTTAAATACTTGGCAATTAAACATTTGCGCAACTTGAATAAAGGGTGAAACGACGAGAGATGTGATCTCTTTGTTGTTATTTGGATGGTGATACCGAAATCTGCGGAAACCTTACGAGATTTCCTTATATTTGTATTTCCTTTTAGTTTTTAACGTAGTTTTTTACTTTATGATTTCTTCGTTCATTTCCCTATTGAATTGATCCTTATTCTTTGACAATAGTAATGTTTCTGCTTTATTAACAACAAAACATGAAGACAAAAAGAGAACAAGTCTTTTAAAGCCTTTATGTCATTTCATGTTGTTTTTCTTGATGTATCTTTTGTCGCTACATGTTTTCATCATATTGCATAAATTTCAGTATTAGGTATTATTATAAGTTTAAAAGTGCAATTTTTATAATAAATAATCACAAGTGAATTTATTATTATTCGACTTAATTATATTTTTTGAAAGTTTTCTTGTATAATTTTTTTTCTCATGACAATGTTACGTTTTTGCAGTCCAAAGTAATGAAACGGAAGGAAATGGAGCAGAGGCAGATAATGGTGATGAAGGGAACAAGACAGGCTCAATAGAGTACGATGATGACGACGAAATCGACGAGCTCGAAGAAATGATGAAGCAGCTTGAGCCAAAATATCGACGCTACGCCAACTGGCGAATTTGAATGCTGTTTGAAATTTTTCTTTGCAGAAGATATTTGAAGCAGACGCATGCTTGGCTCCAAGGACCATCGATTCCGTAGATACTTAACATTACGCATCCTTCGTAGCTATATATATAATTTTTGATTCCATGAGATATCATCGAATCTTGATGTTGGATCTTTTGTGTTCTCGAATTCAAAAATTTCTGTTTTTTTAAATTCTAATTTGTCGAAATCTTTCGGTAGAATTTCTTGTAGAATTTACTTTTAAAGATACATCAATTTTTTTAATAAATCGAGAAGATTTAGTTTGACAGATATTTTTTGGGAATAAAAATGACTCCTTTTCAATCATCTTTGCTGGAAATACTTAATGTGTTCATCTGCACAAGAGAACCTTGATAACATGCATTTTTGCGATCAGATTATCATAAATTCTTATCATTATTATGATGTGTCTTTGATTCTCTATCTCATTTACGTGGCATTTTAATATCTCCGGATCTTTGTTACCAGATTTTGAATTCGATAAAGCTTCGTTTTTACAAATATCTATTCCATAGATCCTTGGAATTATCAGAGCACGTCAGAGACAGAATGTATGGAATTAGGGCGCTTTAGTGTAGAGGAAGGATACATGTACTTTTATATATATACATATATATATAAAAGCGAGCGTTGTAAACTTAATTTTTGATTATAATAGATGTCTAATAATGTGTCTTATGTGCTAGCTAGTTTCGTGTCGATCTTTTTTTTATTCCGCGGACAGAAAATAGAAAGGATATAGAGGAAAAAGAGTCAATAAAAATAGAGAGGGAAAATTATGAAAATGTTTAGATAGACGATCGATTCTAGTCTCGAAGACAATCGATCTACTGGAAAATTGTAAAACTTAACGTGCACCTCTGTCTCGTACGACACGTAACGTGCTGGCATCGTGATCGATGTGAAAAAAAGCCAGAGCTTCTTAAATTTACAAATTATGGGACGTCCAAGACTACAGAATCTTTTTTTTCGTCGTCCCTCGAGTCTCTATGAAGATTTTCGTTTGAAGAAACACAATGCGAAGCAAAAGAGGTGTTTCATTGCGATTATATTGAAGATATCCTTTCAATTAGATGCGAAAATGTTAAAAACAATGGTAATTTTTTTCAACATCGATACATTTATAAATAGTTAATAGAGACATTAAAAATTAATTAATTTTCGTCAAATAAATGTATATATTATAAATTATAGAAACCTGTTGAAAGGACATCTAAGACGCGGATAGAACACCTTGTATATAAAATACGAGTAGTGTAAACATTTTCAATGTAACTTTTTACAATTAAATCTTACTTTTGTTGGATGAATTACACAGTGTGAAGTAGATATAATAAAAGAATAAATATTTGTTGCAATTAACGTACTAATCAATGTAGAGAATCATTAGTTACATATTTCCAGATTTTTCGTGGAACGCAATTTAAAGAATACTGACCTAAAAATACATGGCGATTATACCTTAAACAAAATACTTTAACGAATCATTACTTAAATGTACATCACTGTTAACTGAAAAACTATGAAAAACTTCCTGAATGCCTTGCATATATATAGTATCATAGAAAATATGAGAATCAGTAATATAGGTCACTCTTGAAGGAGAAATGTGAAGTCGATTTCTCTGCCGAAAAAATCTATTAGTACAATTGAATTATATAGCGGCATCTAAGATTGAGAAATAAGAGATGCAGCTAGTCGAGCTTTAAGAGTGTAAATAGATTATTTTAATTAATTCATAATCAATTCGAAATCTTATTTGTATATATTGTAATTTGGATTATATATGTATCATATATATAAAATATTTAACGTTAAAAAGTAAAAAAGTTTTTTGAAATTTAAATTTTTTTAAAATCACAATCACACCTCTAGTTTAACGATATAGATTTCTACTGGTTATCATATTCTCTGAGATGTTCTATACATTTATATGTATATTTGTGTGTGCGTGCGTCATGTATATTGGTATGTGTAATGTGTATATTGAATGGAGAAAGCGTGATCAAGAAATATTTGCGATTACTACGAGAAGTGATTGTGTTTTACATCACAGACGATAGATTTCGAAGACTCGAATTTATATTTCGTGAGAGGAATTGAAGTTCTAATTGAAGTTCTAATAATATAAAAAAGCTCCTGTCTATATTTATATATATCAATATAATAAAATAATTTATATTATTTTTTTAAACTTAGAGCTTGAATAAAAAAAAATAATTACTTAACTTAATTACTAGCTTGAATTTATCTACATTAAAGATAAGAGAATCCTTATTGCAATATATACACACTTATATGTGTTTTTTTTATTTATAGATGTCAAGTAGATTTATATACATATAATACTTTTATCTTTAGCAGGATTAAGATTTATTATTTAACTATTTACGTTTTGTATATTCTATTTATTAAAACTTGAATTCGAATATTGCAATCTTTTTCAAACAATTTGTGCCTTTTGATATCACATGTATGTTTCCCTCTATTTTATATCCTTGTAAAACACATTAGAAACAGATTCGAGTCTCTTCGAAAATATCGTCAAAGTTATCACGTTTAGGTAGCTCGTATTGCGATTAAACATGTCGAGATCTATTATTCTTATTATCATTATTATATATATATCCTAAATTATATATATATATATATATATATCTCGTTTGTCGTTATTTACAATACAAATCTCGTTACAAATGTAAATATATATACATACATACATATGTATGTATATGTACAAATATATACATATATATATTTGCCACGTTACTGGTGGCTGATGTTAAAATAGAATGAGATCGTTGCTCCTGCGACGACAATTATAAACCTTCTTGTACCTGTCTCGCGCTGAGCAATAATTGCACGTGCAATTATGGCATTTTTTCTACTCTGCATCCCAATTTGTCGGACTCTAGTAAGTGCAAGTTTTATATATTATACCGACAATAATTATAACAAGCTAAATTTTTGGTATTTCTTTACAAATTCTGAGACCAAGTGAATAATGGGATGCAATTGTACTTATTTACGAATTTTGCATCGACATTTTCATTATTTTTAGTAAATATTTTAAAGTGATATTTTGTGAGTCACTAACAAGCTTTTGGAAAATTAATTAATTCCAGTAAAAAAAATTCGATGAAAAAAAGTGAGTACTATTGAGCGATCTCGTATATTGCGTGCAATTAGAGTGCTTTATCTTGTAAGTCCTACATTGCTAGAATTATCGTAATAATTTTTTTGAAATTAACTACATCTGCACGCGCACTTATTTCCCAGTGAAATGCGAACATTAATCCTGAAACGTGATCACAAGATGATCACAAATGTTGTGACTCAGATCGAAATTGTACAAAAGTGTGAAATCGTACAAAATCAAAAGACGATTCTTCTGCTCCTTTGTTGTTCCCAAGATAAAATATACGTTTGAATAAGACAGAAAAATATTTAAAGCATGCTAAAGAGAAATTTTGTAACGATTTTTCGATTTGAGTATATTTTAATAATACAATTATATATTATAATTATACAGGGGAAAGGAAAGTGTCGAAATTTTGTCTACTCTCGCGTTTTTAATGAATCACTTATCAATTCTTCAACAAATTTAACTGTTTAACGAAAAAGCCATAACATCTTACTAAAGTGAAAAATTTCAAAAAACGATTTTGGTAATTCACACACGTTTTTGAAGAGACGTTATTCGTTTTTGTTTATATCATGGCCTTTTCAGAGCGCGAAGATATTCGAAGGAAAAAACTCGTCAATCATTGACGTTAAAACCTCTCGTTGATCTCTCGTAATTTATAATTTCGTAAATAATGCTTTTAGAGATATAAATGAAGAAATTGCCGATGAATCAACTGTCTTAATTATATCGTATTTTTAAAAAATAGCGTATATCGATTTAAAAAAAAATTAAAATCTATTTGAGACATTTTTTGTTCTTTCTAAATCGATGACTCCTGTTTACGAATTTCTTATTGCTGTTAAAGGGAAGAAAACTGTTAGAGGAGAACTCTGGGAACAATCTTGTTTGATTTCCTAGATTACTCGATATATGTGTGCGTGAATATAAAATGAATGTGTGTCTCTGAATATGTAAATAATTGCACAGAATGATACGTTCTCTAAGAATGTTCTATGGATAAAAAGTAATATATAAAGAAAAAAATTATACACATATATAGCGTTTTTCTTTATATACTACTTTTATACTCTCATATACATATATAAGACAAATTGAGTTTGAGAGATTTTACTGAATCGACGTACGAGAAAAAATAAAGATGATTTAATTATAATGATGGTATCTTAATTTTATTCTAGTGTTTATAAACGTTATTTTTTTATCTTAAATTTATTTATTCAACTGTTCGAAAGCTCTATTCTGATTCTCAGTTCAAATAAATATTGATGATATTTTCATATTTCAGATAAATGAAACTCATGAAATAGTATAAGAATAAACATAAATTGGACAATCATATTTTTAATGTTAAATGCGTAAAAATGCTAATGTAACTCTTGTTCTTATTTTAATTAGTGTAATTTATTATACAAATTTTCTTTTATTTTACAGTTGACTAAAAATTATAGATCAAAGATCTTGTTTTAAATCATCAGATTTTGTTTTAAATAATTGTTTTTTTTAAGTCTATAAATAACTGAAAAAAAAAATTCTTTTCATATAAAAAAAGACATATATACTCTATAAATTAATTAAAGTAATAAATGGGACAGATAATTCTATTGAGAAATCATAGCTCCAAATGAAATCTCCGTTTTTACGTATGTGTTTATTAAAGCTTCCGCAATACAGTTCATTAATCATCGTTTGCACAACCTTATATTTCCCTTTGGAGCGGGCGAGTCATAAAGGATAAACTGCATCTTTTCGTGCCGAAAGTCCGACAAGGAGATGCCGCTCGTTTTCTTTTTTTTAATTTCACAACCTTTTTTTTCACCTTTTTGCGTACTTTCCCGTTGCACGGAGCACACACCGTTCTTTGATCGCACGCCGTTTCCTGACTTTCTACGCGAAATTACAATGCCGGCATTGGAAGATTATCGCTCTCTCTCTGCTATCGACGACGCGATGTGTAATATAATTATATATAAAATAGAATATTTCGGAAATAACGCGCGCATTCACAAGATCTGTACAACCGAAAAATTATACACATTCACCGCATCTTGTATTTATATTCGTTACTTTATATATATGTATATATAATATAATATATATATATATATCTCTCTATGTGTGCACACACACACACACACACACATTTATATAAATGTACATATACATATACTGTATCAATTTTGTGGGTATATACTTAATAATTAATAATACGCTTACAGCGCACTACGTGGATGAGTATTTAGGACAGCGCGATTGAGCGTGCGAATGTGGATTATGATAGATTTCTAAATAGATCCGATCTTGTGCAGATAATAACAAATCAACCTTAATCTTTCACCTTTCAATGATCTTTATAAGGAGGCCCTTAGAATGTACACAAATTCGCGAAGAAAAATCTTTGAAGTTTACATTAGTCTTTTGAAGGAATTTTCAAGCTCGACGTTTACCTCAAAGGAAATTTTGAAAGATCCACGAGCTATCTATCGAAAGATTAAAAGATAGTTTTGAATTATTGGATTTTGGAAGATTGTTGTAATTCCACGAGCAATTTTTTACCCAACGGAAATATCTGTTGGGTCCTTGAAATTTGTTGGTTTCATGAATATTTGGCGTATTTTTTTCCATCACTTTCTTGTTTTATAATGTTACAAGATTTTTAATTCCTACAGAGATCCTGCATTTCGTTAGTTTTTTGCTATTTTCTGTGAATTCTCTCTCGAACTTATATATCTATATAAAAAAGTAGAGAGAAAGAGAGAGAAAGAGAGAAACAACAAATAGCTGTATGGATACTGTGAAACAACAAAAAATCGATTTGCATTGCGCGCAATGACAAGACTTTCGATTCAACAAATTGGTCGCGTCGTATCGTCGATGTGTTTGCTTAATAATCAATCAATGCGTATTTTTTTTCTCTAGTCGAGAGGAGCACTCGTGCAATCTTCCGGCCAATCGATGGCATATACACAGTATATCTAAGCCTCTGCTCATATGCACGCTTCGTTTATACGATGTACAAGAGAAAAAATGCTTAGAGATGGTTTTAGATTTCCACTCCCTTGTTATGCGCAAAAAGTATCGTTACGTTATTCTAGTCCAGAAACGAACACAAGAGAATGAGATAACGAAGAGATGGTTCATTGTTTTCTATGAAATCAAAAATCTCTTGAGCATACAATTTGTTATACATGTTATAATATATTGCATATATTTCATAATCTATTTTAGTCATAGGTTGAGATTTAAATTTTTACGACAATCGTAAAGTGATAAATTTCAAATCATGCAGATATCTGATTCCGAATTCTTGACACTACTTTTTTTTTATTTTATACATCATTTATTCTATTAATTCTATAAATCCTTCATTTTCTTAGATTCTGCATTCTTTTCTAGTCACAGATATTTTTTGTGTATTTAGAGTTTTATACACACTTAAATTAATAAAAATAAAATTCATTAAATTTATTTCAATAAATTCCATTATGTCAATTTTTATCTCTGCATCTTCGTTAAAAATTGTTCAGTTTAGATGTCTGTATTCTTATAAACTTCATATCATCTTAAACTTCATATAAAACAATACGATCTCTGCCTTATCCCATTTACATGCTCTTGCAATGATTACTAAGCACGTCAACGTCGCGCGCACATGCGATATCATTACAACATTCACATTATCTATACATTTTAATATTAATCGTTATCTCTGTCCAAAAACAGTCTATCGAGAGTGTCTTTTCAACCAGTTATAAAAGTTTGTGACACGCGTCTGCAACGTGCTTTTTTTGCACGAATACGTACATTTCTTTCTCGAAAAAAAAAAAAACTTTTATCTTCTCTATTTTTCCTAGTAACTCTTTTTTTATTTCTCCTCCCCCTTCCTCTTACTTATGATAAATAATATATTATTATATTAGGACGTTTTCACACATTCATTCGCTAATCAGTTTTGGCATAGGAACCTTGTTAACGTACGCATCGTCGTTGAGCTCCGTTTCTCTAATCAACAATTCTAATACTGTTTGTTCAGCTGATACAGATACACGCGTGATCGATTTCATGACCTTGCGGATACAGTTGCCACGAATATTCCATGACGCGAGATCATGCCTCGTAAAATGTCTCTACAAAAATGTATATAAAGTTCGAATTAATACGTAATTACAGATTGTTATATATACAAACATGTATACAGTCTCGTCATGGAATGATATACGACAATATATTATATTTAGATTAAATAATCTTACGATCTCTTTTATCCTATTATATTTTATAACTATATGTTACGCAATAATAGAGTTTAAAAAAGTAATAAAAAAAATAAAAGGATTTATCCATTTTCCAGATACACGATACGATTTGTGTATTAATGCATGCATATATAGATCCTTAGATATACAAATTTAGATTCTGAAAATTCTGACGAAAATTCTTGGATACGCGTTTCTCCGGATCGATAGATGCACTCGTATCTGGATCCATAAGATGTTAATTTCACGAATCTTTACATTATTTAAATATCTTTGATTTTATCTACGATTCCGAAGATTTTTGTTTTCGAAAGTCCTCGGATTCGTAATCCAATATATTTATATAATATAAAATTTGCGCATGACGGAATATTAAAATTAATTAGAATTATTTTACATGCCTACATTCGGTAAATTCCACATATATTTCGTATTTATTGTACGGGAAAAGCTTTCGTATAAATTCGTAAATATATTGCTGTGTCTGTTGCCAATTAATAATACGCGTATGCGATGAGATCAATAGCCGCATTCAACGACTTCAAATGGGGATTCAACGCTAGATTTTTTTCATATATTACATAGATTTTTTTCATATATTATATAGATTTTCCGAATATATATATATATATATAATATATATGAAAACCTAGTCGCCCAACTGTTCAATCCACTGAATGCGACCAATAAAAGAGAACAGTTTCCGAATAAAAGCCGATAAAATTATGTGATATATCGGAGATGTTGCAATTAAAGTAAAGTATATTAACGTATTTTGTTAAAGTTTACGTTATAACTCGATTATGTTACATCTTGTATGTTATCTTTAGCGCATTAAAACTGCGTCCTAAAAAGAAGAAATAGCCCATTAAATGGATTATTATACAATTTCTTAGGATCATCAATTAATCCAGACTCTACTATAGCTATTTTAATTCAAGATAGAATGCTCAAACATCGGAAACTCTCATCAACGATGTCCCGGAAGAGTTCAACGATGAAAAGACTGATATTCGTGATGTGGAACTCGAAGATTGTCGAGATCGAGATTCCACTGTGACGCAGGCTCAGTTCGTCGCATGGCTATTTCTACGCCTTAAGAACACTCGGCTGTTGACAGGATAGACTCTGGTTAAGAGTATGAGCGAGCTGCCCAAAGCCAATTTGACAGGTGCTTGGCGACCACCGGGTAACCTAATGAACACCGTGGCTACCGCGGCGACGCTGTCATCGGTGGGTTCGACAGCGACCGGTCTCACATCGCTATGAAAGTTGACATGCTTGCCGCGTCTGCCCTTGCGCTGCGGCGAGCTCGGGCTACACTCGCCGCCATCTCGGTCGTAGATTATCGTTGCCGAGGCGAACGGCCGCTTCGCCATGTGCAGCATTTCGACAACATGACGACGCCGAGCGCGGCGCACGTCCGCCGCCTGTTTCGTTTTCCACGCGACCACGCATGCCGCCAAGAATAGGAAAAAACAGGAGAAGAAACACGAGAAGAAGACGAATAGGTCGATGTGCAGCTGATCTTGTCGAAAGAAAATCATTCCATAGGCGGCGCGGCTATTCAGTTCCGGATTCGACGGTTCGATCGCTCGTAACGCAATGTGGAACTTGGTCTGGCCGAGCTCGTGTTTATCCTGTGGCAATGTCAGCACCAATCGATTTGTCAGATTACGTATCACTAGGAACGTATTTCTTTTGTTGATTGTCAGAAAGGTGGCCAAGTTTTCTGCGTAGCGCTCCATCACGAAATATTGCGGCCCGGTGTTCCACGTTGGTTCCGTGGTGGTACCGTTCACCGCGCCGAAACCGTGAGAATGAAACTCGACGGTTCGGAGCTTACTGTTGAATTGTTCCTCCAACCACGTATCAGAATGATCAGGTCGCCATCTAAATCTGCTATCCAACTCGACCTGTGGATATTATGATAGTGCTTGAACTTTCTTAGATAAAAAGTAATATATAAAAAGAGTTAATAATGAAAAATGGAAAAAAATTGATTCGGCGATTTGTGATAAAAGTGATATTATTTTCCATTGAAAGAATACTTTGTCAATGAAAAGATTAAATAAAAGAAATTAACGTACGTCTTGATATCCGGTCGATGAGTTCAAAGTGACGACAAAGGAATCATCTCGAGGACTCAGGAATAAATCCAAGGCGCCTTGAGTAACATCTACCATCACTCTGATGTCCACATTCATAAATCGAGGCTGTACCATATAGAAAACAGTCTGGCCAGGATTCAAGGGCTTCGGCTTCATTTTGCATTCGTCTGAAATAAGATAACAGTATGCATTAACTTAATCTTTCACACGAGTGCTAGAATGACACAGGATATCAAACAACTTATAATAGAAGAAGAATACGAACCGTAAAATGCTCCACGCAAAACAGAATGTTGCAATTTAAGAAGAATAATTACTAAAGTGTCGAATGTGCATGCGTACATAGATATATATTTTGAAGCGCGAATATTATTTATATATTTCACAACAAGAGAAGAAAAAATAATATAAAAACAAAAGTACCAGTTGCAGTTATCAGATTTATATGTATAAAAAAACTTATTAAATTATCGTCTAGTCATTCTTTTACATTATAGCTATATTATTTATCGTTACACAAACAACTAGTTCTTCATTCTTATATTTTTTACTGTTCTTACCTATCAATTTCGAGTCGAAACACATTTTATTGTCAACCGTGACGGTCTTGTAACACTGATGACCCATCGTCGGCGTGCCAGCGTAGTTCTCCCTGCATTTGCTGCATTGCACCTTCCAGCACGGAGTGCCGCCCGTGTTCGTGCCTTTCATGGGACCGCTGATGCAGGACGGTTCGCTTTCCGTATTGTTACCGCAGTTGCATTTCTCGCCGGTCACAGGGTCGCACGTGAAGCCGTGACCGTGGCATTCGCACGGTCGACATACATCACGCAGATCTTCTGTGCCGCGGAAGAAACCGGTCATGCACTCGCCGCATTTGTCGCCCTTGGTATTGTTGCCGCAATTGATGCATTTGGCCTTGGCCATCGGTCCCTCGCCTATCTGTTTATTCAACATCTCTTCCGACATCTTTTGCACCGCGATTGGATCGGGCACAGTCATACTCTCGTTGATGCAGATTCTCGTGTGTCCGTTGCAGTACTCGAGACACGGCACGCACTGACCATTGTCCGCAGGATTGCCGACAAACAGCGGCAAGCACTTTTCGCATTGGGCCCCCATTGTGTTATTATGACAATGTGTGCAAGAATCGAGCTTGTCCGGTCCGTCACATTTGCTGTGGCCATTACACTGGCACTGGATGGAACAGTTGGCGCCTACGTAACCAAAATCGCAAAGACACGAATCTGGCTCGACGCATGTGCCTCTCACGCAACCCTGCGTGCACATTGGCTCGCAGATCTTTTTACTTAAATCGCTGGTAGTTTCAGTCTTGTATCCGTCTCCGCATTTGCATTCGAAACCCTCTTCCAGATCGAAACACTTCTCGCTCTTCGGTGAACAAGAGTGATGTGCGTTTTCGCACTCGTTTTCTGGCGGACAGCGGACATAGTGCCACGAGAACTCTGGTGTTACGGTCGAGCGGTTAAGTAATGATAACGATGATGACAACGTGATGTTATTGTCTTGCGACTCTAGAAAGTCTGTGGAATGCAATGTCGTGGTGATAATTGACGTTTCGGTCCCCGGGAAATGTTGATGATAGAGCATCTCGCAGGTACCGCCCGCTGGATGATCGGTCGGCGCTTCGAGTGATCCTTCCGTGCATATCCCTTGACCGGTTATGTCAGCAGAATCCAGGGAGCACCAGCCACAGTGCGAGTGTTTCAGGCAGGTACTGCACTGCTTGAAAACCGAGCATGGCTCCGGGCAATGATCCATATCCGCGTTACGCAATACCAAACCACAAACGCCGCCGGCACAGTAAAGTGGTTGGTATGATGGTGAGATGCATTCGTTCAATCGCGTAGACCATCTACATTCGCTCCATCCGCCTTCAGCACCAGTACCTTTCAAGCAGCTCCTACAATCTTTATGTTCGGAACATCTTTTATCGCACTTTGTACTAATCAGCTTGATGCTGGACCGCTCAAAGATATCGACCGGCGCGCAATTCCAGTCGTAGACGGGTTCTGCTGACAATGTTGGTCCCAGCTCGGTTTTCAGCACCTGCCTCGTCCATTCGCAATTGTCAATATCGTTACACTTCTTGCAGTCGCTCGCCGAACATTTGAGTTCCTTGCATTGATTCACACTGGTGACCGATTTGCATGATGACTTATCTGGCCCTTGTGTCTGTTCGTCGCAATCTCGGTCGAATGGGATACATTTAGTTGAGATACCATGCGGACAATTGATGCACCATTTGCAGACCGGCTGGTCTTCTTTGTAATACGGCCATTCCGCCAGACATTCAGTGCAAGTTTTGAAGCTTTGACACTTTCTGGTAGCCATCCAATCCGAGTTGCAGAATATTCCGTTCGATCGTTGCGCTTGAATAACGTTGATGTCACATTTGTCATCACGATTGCTCGAAACTTCGTTCGAGAAGCAGAACGTGTTATTGATGTTATCAATGGTGGTGACGGCGCAAAATGAGCAGCCAAAGTATTTTCTGCATGTGATTTTGTCTTTCCACAGTTTACACAGATCTTCCGGTATGTTGATCAACGTGACGTGACTTTTTATGCCGCCATCGAAGCCACCGACAACGTAAATAGCATTCGATTCCGGATCAGCGTGAGTCATCGCATGAGCGTAAGCCGGGGGTGGCGAACTGCCGATTGTTTCCATATCTCTCGTTATCAAACGTATCCACAGATTGCAGGAATACTTATACGCTATTAGCGAGTCCGAGGTGTTGTGAGGATTTTGTCGGCCACCAAATATCACCATATATTCGTCCGTCGTGACCGCGGAATGCAAAAATCTAGCTTGTGGCAAGCTATTGCCATCGGTAAAATCGTCCTCAAATGGTGGTAATACCGACCACATCCGTGTCTTATAATTCAGAGAGTACAATTTGTTCGAGATGAACGTCCTATTCATTGCGTACGTGTAGCCACCAAAGATGTAGAAGCTATCTGACTTGCTATGATACACCGTAGAATGACCATAAATACCTAGAGGTCCATTCCCATTAGTATCCACTATATCCCAAGTTTCCGTTTCCAGATTAAATTCTCTAACGGTGTCCAGGTATCCGTATTTGGGACTGAAACCACCAATTAGAATCAAACTCTCCGACTCTCCGTCTCTACGAAGAGTCAACGTATGACCGGCTAGCGGTAGCGATTCCTTCTTCTCATCTTGCACGATCTGGCTCCATCGCTGATTCTGCAGACTAAACTTCCAAAAGTCGCTGAGAGTATTGTTCGACAGTCCCTGCACATCCTCGTCTTTCATCGATAGACCACCATACACGTAGATCTGCTGCCTACTATGCACGATTTCAGCGGCGTGAAAGTAACGACCTTGCGGCATGGACGTAGATTCTGAAGTAGACTCGACTGTTACCGGCATCCAGGTGTTGTTTTTTGTATCGAAGAGTCTGATGTCATTCAAGGGTCCGTGACTAAGCGAGTAGCCGCCAAACATCCACAGACTGCCGCGTCGATCGGCCACCAGACTGTGTCCGAAGCGCGGCAACGTTTTTCTCAAATGATCCAGATGATCGGCCAAATATTCCGAGTTAAATAGCTCTGTGAAGATCAACTGATAATCCTTGAGTTGAATGGAACAATCACGACCACCATAATCCGATATGCAAACGCAGCGGCCGTATCCTTTGTCGCAGACACCTTGTTTTTTCGAGGCGGTACAGTTGTTCGGGCATATCTCAACGTCGCAATCGATGCCGACATATCCGGATTTGCAGAGACAGTTACCGTTTCGACATTCGCGATTCCCCGGGCAATTATTACATGTCATCACTATGTAGCTTGCATTGAAGCCTTCGTTGAAGACCTCGTCTAATTGTTTGTAGTGCACCGTCAAAAAGCCGGACTTAGCCTCCACTGTCACCGGATAGTCAGTACTTTCCGTACAGTATACGCCTAGTAATTGGCTCTGGTGACCACCGGTAGATGAGACAAATTCCGGCAGACCATCATACACGTACACGCTGTTCTCCTGGCAACTCACGTTAATGTCCTCAAGAATGGTAAATTGTATTACACTCTGAATCGTCGGTATAGTCGCATCTGACGAAAGATTAACTTCCGGACTGACGATCCAAAGACATTCTCTTGTCGGCGTGTCGCTCGAGTCACCCGCGTAGCTTCTCCAAAGCGAAGATTGGGAATGTCGACTACCAAGACCCTGCTTGCGGTTTTCCACGCCACCCAGCATACCCCGTGACATGCAGCCGTAATAGCACATTCCGCCATCGCGTGGATCGCCGTAATAGCCGCGTTTACAACGCTGGCACTTGTCGCCTTCGGTATTATCACGGCAGAAGCACATCCCGGTCTGTCGATCGCACACGTCGAGCTCAATGTCACCGTGTCCGTTGCAGTCACATTCGCGGCAGCCCAATGGCATTGTTGCGTTCCCATAACTGCCCGCCTTGCATTCCTCGCAGTAGCGCCCGGTGGTCCAATCTTGACACTCGTCGCAAATACCTGGTCCCTAGACATCCAAAGATTAAAATGCTTACACATATATGTATGTGTATATGTACAATTTTTCCGTTTACCTGCATGCACGTGGAATGATTGTAACAGCCGCAGTTGGTTCGACAATCAGGCCCAGTCCAACCGAGGTTGCATTCGCATTTGTAGTCCGGTGCTTCGCTGCAATATCCATTAACACATCTTTCGTAACAAGTTTTGGTACAGTTTTCCTTGCCATCGCCGTTGAAACCGCGCTTGCATTGGCAGCTAAAGCTGCCATGCGTATTGGTGCAAAGTGCGTCGGGATGACAATCGTGAAGACCAAGATCGCATTCGTCTACATCTGGACATTGCGCGTACGCCCAACCGGATTCGTCTGCTTTTAGACTACTGTTTCGATCCTCGTTGATGACCACGCTGCAATTGACATGTGGTTGATTGAAATCACCCTGTACGCATACCCCAGTGATGGGATTTTCCAAGCTGTAGCACCATCCACAACTGAGCGAGTGTAAGCAACTTGAGCAATTTGAATGCCGGCTGCAGCTTTTGCACTGATCGTTGCCAGTCAACGATGAACTGCGTGATGTAACACCCATGAGACCTGCCTGATCCATCCATTCCCGGCACAGGCCGAATTGATACTCAGATGTGTACACGGAGAAGGAAAAGCATTCGCGTGTGGCTTCACACCATACGCACCTACCACGCTCGTCCAGACACTGAGTGCAATTGAAGCGTTGCCGACATGGGATCGGACATTCCTCCAGACTTACCGCAGAGCCTTTCACTCGGCCAATCCGTGCACATTTTGCTTCCTCCGTCCACCATTCGCACAGTTTAGTGCTTACACACGACTCACAAGAAATATAGTTGGAGCAGTTGGCGCATGTCGATGGCGTGATCGTCAAATAATGCCATTCGCGTATCGGTTCGCCCCGCTCGTTCCAATCCACATCTGCCGCACAACTCTCTGTCTCGTTAGCCGAACGCGGTAAACACTGGTAAGTGATGTCACACCAACCACACGAAGAATCCGTTAGACAGTGCAGGCAATTGCTATACTGATGGCAAGAACCATTTTGATACGGCTCTAGATATTCGAATGTAAAGACTTTTGCATTTTCCATTTTTTTATTGTGTGTGATTTCCATTTTACTTGCATGAGGATAGTTGTTTGCAGTCACCGTTCTTTTCGATTCGAAGTTCAACAGATAACGACCTGGTTGTAGCTCCATCGGATGTCCATCCGACCATTTTATTGGTATACATTGCGATGTTTCTGCAGTGAAATTGGCGACCAGCTCCTATAAATAAGTTAAATTATTTTATAGATAATTTAATAAAATTTAAAAAATTGTTAAAATTATTATTAAATTTTTAATTAATTATTTTATTTTTAATTAATCTCAAGTGATAAGAATATTCCAATTTATAATATAAATTTCCTATTGTTATATTTAAATAAAATTTGTATAAAATCACAATTATATTTCGATATTTTTCAGAATATGAACCTTTATACTCGTTAATATGATTAAGATGCTAAGTAGTAAAAACAAAAGATAACTCACCAGCTTATCGGGATCATCGTTTCGCGATACGTGAAGCGTCGCGCTATTGTAACCGATGCAGATTTTCAACTGCTCTGCCGCGCTATCCCAAAAATAATTCGGCGGTCTGAGGAAACCGGTCAATCTAGCAACCATATCGCCACCCAACGCCGTCTCTGTTTTCGCGCCTTGCGACGGCATAAAATCGACCGTGGTCGCATTTACTATAGCAACCGAGTCAGGCTGGCTGTAATTCGCTGGCGGCTTGTATTTGAGGAAGGTTAGACCCGGCCTTCTATCCATCTCTCGACATTCCTCGACCTTGGTAATCTCTGTGCCTTTCGAACCCCACCAGCCTGGTATTTGTGAGGGCGTATCATCCCGCAAACCGCATACGCCATAATTGTCGTCCTTGTGATGACAGCGAGCGTTCTGGACGCACCACGTGCACGTACCTAGATTAAGCTTGTTCGAAACGGATTTCCTGCCGCGAAAATTTGTACCCCAGCCGCCACCGGGTTGACCGTGTATTAAGCAAGAATGACAGTCGCCTAAAGCGGGACAAACTCCTGGACAGCGCGTCGTTTGAAGATTCGTTGTACAATTGCTACCTATTGTACGACCATAACATATCTGTAATATGCAATAAAAAAATTTCATAAAGTGTGAAAAGCGAGAGATGAATATATCAACGCGAGATGGATATATGGAGAATACCTCGTCTGCAGAACACCAGCCGCATTCAGGATTTGCCGCGCACTCCATCAAACTCTTATGTCTTGAACAAATCTGTTCCGGTTCGATATAATCCTCATTTCCCGGCGCCAACATAGGCGGCAAAGTGTATGCGAGAAGATCGGCATTTACGTTGCCGTGATATCCACCGACGAGCAACAGGATATTTCCATTACGTACATCCGCTGCGTGTGCGAATACGCCCTGTTGCTTAGGATAACGAGAATCTAAAAAGCGAAGATCTTATTGTATTAAACGCATAAACACATTTAAATCAATATAAACATATAAATTTATATATCGAATCAATTAAAAATATGTTTTACCTTTATCGTTTAAGCCTAGCACATCGTGGCTCACCCAAGCATGACAACCGAGATGATAAAGATACATTTGATTGTCATAACAGATCTCCTCTTTGTTATGTCTATGAGAATATCCACCGAATACCACTAGATAATTTCCTGTCAAAATATAACATAGTAATAAATATGTGTATGCATCTTAAATTTAAAAAAATGCAAGATAATATGGATTTATAAACGGAAACAAAAATTCGTACATCGTTTAATTTTATATTAAATAAATATAATATTTAAAGACGAAAACATATATATTTTGCATGATTATAGATTTATAAATTACCTATGATATTACACGTGTGAAATGCGCGTTCTCTTGGTACGTATGTATCTCGTAAGTGTGCCCTCGGATAATGAATCTCAGACCAAACTTTTCTGTCAAATTGAAAAACAAACATTCGATCCGATAATTTACTGAAACGGGCAACGCTAGCAACTACACCGCCATATACCAGCAAGGAATTGGTAGCGCGATGGTACACAGTCGAGTGCGCCACCACGCGTACATCGAGTTCCTTACCACCTCGAGGTCGCACCTCTATCCACCTTTCGCTGGTTGCCGTAGAATCCGCTATAATAATATATAACATACAATAGTATTAACACTCTTCAATCTCTTTTAATCACGTGTTTCTACATCTAAACATTTTTTACAAATTTTCATTCGAGAAACTTCAAAGTTCCAATGAAAGTATTATATTGTAAAAAGCTATTCTTATGATATAGCAGAAAAATCTATTTGGGATTTATGTTTGATATTTATCATTTTGTATGAATTACATGTACGAATACATATTGTTAAAATATACATTTTTTGAATTATTCTTTCGTTTTAATCAACTCACATAAATTTAATTTGATTTTATAAAGTCTGGACGAAAATTCTCCATCAAGAGTGCTGCCTCCGAACAAATAGATGTAATCGCCTGCCAGAGTTAAAGTATGTCTTGTGAGTCTGGGCGGATAGAAAGGAGAATTTTTAGCACGTAAAGTCCATGTACGCTTGTTTACATTGTAATGCCACAGTTCATTCGACACAGAACCGTCTTCTTCCGATACTTTTCCTCCATAGATTACAAAACCATCTAAAAATGTAGAAAAATTCCATTTATTAATTACAAATATAATATTAATATTATACTATACTATAGTTAAAAACTACAATTTCACAACTATAATGGCAAGTCATTTAATAGAAAGCAGATTAATTTTTGAATTTAAGTTTTTCTTTCTCAATTTTGTCATTGATGTTTGTAATAAGTAAAATTTATTTGCATAATAAAATTATTTGACGATTTTTTTTGGACTTGAGGAATAAATATTTATAAAAAAATTTTTCAAAAGCTTATTATGTAAATTCAATTTTTATGTGCACTAATGTAAAAAAAAAAGATTTTATCTCTTTATCATTGTACTTTATATTGATTAGCGATATAATAAATTTTAAATGTGTTAATTTCTGTAAAAGTCGTAATGTCCTCTTATCAGTATAGATAAATTATCATCAAATGCTATATGTCGACAGACCTTGATATTTACACGCAGCGTGACCATATCGAGGACCCGGTTTGGGTAACTCATTAATAGTTGGTTCTGTAACTTCCTCTTTCAGTGACTCGCTCGTGGTTAATTTTGGATCTATAAATTCTTGCATGAATATATTATCTTCAGCGGGCCCTGCTACCACCTGTTCCTCCCATTTCGCATTGTCGTTTTGTACGTCTGTTGCATCATGTTCTCGATATAAGTTTTCTAAATTTCTGCGATATCTTTAATAAACAAATATACACCGATAATTTATAAGCTTAACACTGTACAAATAAATAATGTTAAATATTTTACAAAGATTTATAAAAAACATATAAAACTTTATAATAAAGGCTGTATCTTCTTAGAAATTATTTCAATTATAAATTATGACCTGCGATTAAAGGTCTAATTTAAAAAATATGATTTTATTTTCATATACCATATAACTTATTATGTATGTGTATCTTTATAGGAACAAATGTAAAGATAATAAAATTTTTCCGAATTTTACAAAGATAATTTTAAAGGAATTGGAAATTAATGAATGATGATTCATCACTTACTACCTTGTCGACATTTGCGAATATCGTGGTTTTATATTTCGCGGATGCTTTCTCCTGGGATCGTCGTTCCTATCGATCCTAATGGTGCTTCTACTTTTCTCGTTCACCTTAGGCAAGTTCCGGAATTCTCGCGTGCCGTGTTCACGACTGCCGTTAGCGGTCCGATCGAACAGACTGAAAGTATTATTATCCTTGATGCTATAAAGGACTTTCCAGATTAAAGATGACGTCGGTAGGCCATATATCTCCTTGGCGCCAGGATTACGTAATTCGGTAGCGATCAACATAGGATCCAGATATTCGGCGGATACAGCACCTTCTACAAATGCAAGAAGAAAATGTATGGTAATATAAAATTATTATAATTGCTCTTCTGTATACATACTCTGAGTACACAATCAGTAACAGTAATAATATTTAGTACAAATTTTATATACTTTATTTTTATATTTCCACACAATAAAATATTATATGATAATAAAATAATTTTTTCCGCATCAATTATATTACTTTCTCGAATCATATTAGAAAGAACCTTAAAGGGTGCAACATACCACGCACCCTGTAATGTTCTAGTCTTTATATAAAAAATGAATCAAGTTAAAATTCTTTTATATAAAGTTTTTGTTATTGTGTATGATTTATATACTTAATTTATGTACTTACCTAATACATTCCCGTATTCATCTTCCCATTGGCTTGTACTAAACCTGTACACTTCCAAGTCGCTGAGAATATAGTTAAGATCGTAGCCGCCGAAAACGTAAAGTGAATCCGTTTCCTGAACGTAGACTGCCGTATGAGCTGCGCGTGGTCTTAGTCCACTTTCCGAATGAGAAAGCCAATGCCATCTGTATAAATAATTACATTATTTTAGATTTCTTATTCACATATTCATTTCCATTATTCGATATAAATGCAATTTTATAAAATATTAAAAAGAATGTCATTATACATATATACAACTTTATATTATCATACAATTTACATATAATAAAAAAAGAAATATGCAAGCTTACAATTTCGGAAAAACGTACCGATTTCCTTCTGGATGCGTTTTATGCAAAGAACAAGATTGTCCGGAATATCCACTATTGCATTCACATCTTTTTAAGCCGCAGATACCGGCGCCACTGCAATTGTTTGGACAGAGTGCTCGAGAACAGTCTTTACCTCCCCAATCGTTTTCGCAAAAACATGTATTGTTGATGCACTTTCCATGATGAGTGCAATTGTTCGGGCAATCCGTTACTGAAAATTCTGCGTGAAAACCATCTAGGACGTAGTTTGTGTCACTATATAATAATATCAACATCTACAAAGAAAAATATATATTTCTATGACATCTTGCAATAACAATGCTGTTTTATATTTCTTTTATATTTACATTATTATTACTAAGTTTTATATAGTAATGTATTATATTCTGTATATTATAAAAATTTATAAAACTTTTTATATACACTTCACTTTTCATATATAAAACTTCTTATATATACTTCACTTTATATATACTTATATATACTTTATGTAACATTATATCGGTTGATAATATTAATGAGATGCTAAAAACTTGAATCTGCAACATATCATTCGCATTGTTAATGTTGCAGGATATGTACTTACATAACCGGATGATGATGTCACTTGTTGAGGCTCTGTTTTGCCACTAAAGCTACCCAGAAGGGGGGAACGAAAGGAATCTCCATCGTAAACAAATACATAGTCATAGCTGCACTCTGTACCCATAGTCCGGAAACTCAATGTAATAAATTGACGACTATGATTAGCTGTAATAAGAAAAACAAATTATACATAAGTTTTAAAAAAATTTTTGTTATAAGGCATTGTATGTGATCTTATATTATGCATCTTAGATATATTATAAATATCTATATATATCTATATAGAGAGATAAAATAGATCTATAAATCTATATATATATATATATATATATATATATATATATATATATATATATATCTATATATGTATAGAGAGAGACAGAAATAAAGTAGATATTAGAAAAAAAAATAGGACATAAAAAGTAAAAAATATTTAAATGTTCACATTGAGCATTAATATATATGAAAATAATCACACATATTTCATTGAAAGAAATAGTTGGATTTAATATGTCTCCAGCAAAATAAAATTTCACTAACTTTATAATGATTAGATCTTATTTTTAAACTCTCCATACACATTCTTATTTGTACCTTTAATGAGCCACTCGCAGTGGGAATCTTGAGTATAATTTGAACCCATAGGTCCATCGCTGATAATTCCCCATGAGTCTGTGAAGACTTTCCTTGTCTTATCGCACGGCACTTGCTTTGGAGATGGCTGCGGAGCCAGATTGATGCTCCGCAGCAAGCAACTCCATATGAAAATGCATGCTGCGGTGGATATCACCCACCCCATCACAGTGTATTCTCCTCACTGTTGTCGAACAGCACACAGGTCATTATCAACATGCATCAGATAATTTCTTGAGCAATTATGCAGTGTAGTGTGCACAGACAGAATCATATCTGAAAAGAATGTATAAAACTCGTTATTTTATCTATTGCAAGTGTCATTAAGTATTTAATCATTATAAGATAAGAAATGTCTTCATATATCCAAGAATAAATTTATGTCTTTACATATCCAAGAATAAATTTACACAGCTGTATTAATATAAGAGATTAACATACAATGCAATTATTTACAGGATATGCTCATATATTGTACAATATACAATATGAGATTGAATTTTAAGAATGTAATTTTAAAAATGTATATATTATTTTCAAACTTTATTTTCAAGATATCTTAAATGTTATTAAGATATCTTAAGCCTTGAAAGATAATGTACACTAGTAATGTACACTGTTAACATTAGATATGTACTATGTATTATGTGCTAAGGCATAGTCAATCAAACTCTACACAATGGATATATGTATAAAAAAATCATCCTTGAGACTTGTAATGTCAACATTAGATATATCTACATCACATGTGTTAATATTACATTAGTAATTCAATAATTTATTAAAAATAGACTTTAAACTATTTATCTTTTCTCTCAAAAGTTTCTCTCAAGATGTCAACGAACTTTTTTCATGAATATATACAGTCATTAGTATTGTTTTTAAAAATTGTATCATTAAAACTGTTATTTATATTCCGTCAAAATTTCTCATCGTACGTAGTAAAACAAAACTACTGTCAATCAAAACACTCGACGCCGATCAGTAAACACACACAAATGCCATAATAATTAATTATAAAACGTACGATGTATAAAAAAAAAAAACATTCGCGAACAACGTATGGGTATATTAATGCAGTGTGTCGAAGGACATTCTCGTGAAACGAGTTAGCATCGCGCGAGAAACGCAAGGCTTTCGACTCCTGATCAATTTGCAAATAAGCACAAATAAGAAAATGACACTCGCATACACTCTCGCGTATTAGCGTGTGCGTGCATACAATACACATACACGTGTGTCCATGAACTTTCCGCACCTATCGCGAGATGACGAGCGCAACATAACAAACCCCTCGGAAGGCCTGGCACTTTTCCTCGGGATTCCGGCAAAAACTCAAATAAATCCTGGGGACGGGGTCACGTCTTCGGCGACGAGACGGCGTCGCAGGACATCCTCCGATGACAGGGAAGCGGAAAAAGAGAGAGTACGGAAACGGCGAGCGTGATCAAAACATCACGGAAGAAAAGTCGCGAATTTTCCCTCGTCGTGGTTTGTTCGACGAAGCTGCCGATGGTAACCTTGTATTTTTATATATACGGTCGCGAAACTCGCGCGTCGAGCACGAAATGTCAAGCGGGCGTGACGTAAACGTCATACGAAACCTCCAGGCTGAACGGTGCCTCGCCTCGTCGTTGACACCTCGATCGCCTCGCTTTTTACGATCGTGCTTACTCAGGATCGGGAGGGGGAAAAACCAGTAAGGCCGCTAACAATACTCCGATACCTACTATCGATATTTACCGATTTTGCATCAAAACTTCCCAGCTGATCTTCACGATGGCGCACTTTCGATATTTTGACGTCACTACTTTTGAAATTTAAAACTATATCTTGTAGATGTATGCGAGATTCATTTTATTATAAAAAATATTCTATCTCTTGCCAAGTATTTGAAAAAGTAATCTTTCAATCTTGAATTGCTAACAAAATTAAAAATAATTAAAATAATTAGTACGCTTTGATATACATATAATACGTTAAAATTTAATTAGTTATTCATCGGAACATTTTCATTCGCAATTATTAACCAAATTATTTAATTTTCAGATAATAAAGATATAATATTTGTGATTACTTATTCGTGCTTTAATATAATCTGTAAAGTATTTCACCTTTAATAAATTTTAATAAATTTAAGAGTACAAAATAAGGAAAGAAAAGGATGATTAGGGCTTTTCTTGAGTTGCTATTAATCTGCGACAGGCATAATGAGGATACAAATATTTTATTATTTCGGCAAGAATAAATTATTTTAATCCTCTCAATTCCTGCGTATGTTTAACGTAACAAGATAAAAGTAGTAATATAGATAAACGCGTTGTTAAAAATCTTAACTATGATCGAAATTTATCGGCTAAACAGTTCGGAAACCGAAATACTTTAGCTGCAATAAATCAGCTTTGCAATACTTTTAAAGTTCGCATGGAGTTACTCAGTACTTATATCTCAGTACAATATATGTAATTAATAGAATAGAAAGAATAGAAGAAATAGATTTCTTCTGAAATATTATAATAATAAAGAAATTTTTAATATCTATTGTAAATATATAAATAGCTAAAAAGAAAAAACTAATGTTCGATTATATTTGTGTAAAATCAAATCGATTTTAAATTATGACTGAATTTCTTATTCGAGATTCTCATTTTACGAAAATTTCTCTTTTTCATTCTATCTCAGGCAAAATTTATTAATTTTATAAAAGAAAGCTCAATAAAATGAAGGATAATCTCTTAAAGACTTAATAACTTATATAAAATTATGGATTTATTGTAGTTTTAAGATATATATTGCATATTTAATATAAAAACATGAAATTTAAGTCCTGAGCTTCTTCCAAAGCGAATCTTTTGTTTATATTTATTATAAAGTTAATGATATACTATTATTAATGCAATAATTATATTTTTTGCCATTTTTTCTATAAAAAATAATCATATATCAACAATGTCCGAATTCTATCGATTTCTTCAACGTGCGTTAGTTTTCCAATTTAATTCTACCATCGGAGATTTGACTTATTGCAATATCGTTCGCGTTGGACGTGACATAGATTTAAAAATAGCTAGTCGACTGGAAAAGAAAATAAGATAGAGTACAATTAATCACACACCCCTACATAAAGCGCAATCTCTCGTAATAACGTACAGATCGTATATTTGCTATAATCCGTCAATGAATGTACTGTACATTATCTTAACGATTGATACAATCGTTCTATAGCCAGTATATAGCTTTTTACTACCTTATAATACGACTCGTACGCGTCATTTTTTTCCCTATAAAAATTTTAAAAAGATATTTACGCATACTCGTATGTGTACATATATGTACCTCTTCTATTGAATGTCCTTCAACCGATAAATCAACTCTTTGCGCTGTGAAATGTCGACTCAATCTCGCTATTATAATAATATAATATTATATTATTATAGTGTAATATTAACACAATAGGGGAGTGTTGTTATGTATTAAATTATTATAATAGTACAAGCGCATTATGTCACATATATTCGCGATATAATATTATTATAATATTTCTACAACAATTAGAATATATTCCTTTTCTTTATTTTTATATATAATTATTTTAAAAATCTGTATTCTCTCTATTTCCGCGAAATTAGAGAAACTGCTCCGCTGCTGTTTCTTTCTTGATATCTAGATTATATTAATTTTGTTTCAATATCAGAGAATTCAAGCAACAATCCAATTGGAATTCATTATCCAAAGATTTAAATATAATAATCTAATTTTATCAACTTTTATTTTTTTACGAGTCTTAATCTATATATATATATAAATTTGATATACATAAATTTTTAATCGCGTTATGCAGCAAACAAATATCACAATATTATATCTGCCCGATATAATTTTTGATATTAATTGTTACAAGAATGCATTCCGAGCGCAAAGTATCGACTTTCCACTTATTCTTGATGAAACATTTTGTCTATTTTGATAAAAAATGCGAATTATTATGATATCAACAATTGAAGCGGACAATGCAACGAATTTGGTTCATTAATATTATCAGTGGATGGGTAAAGCTATCGGTTGAAGGATTAACGTTACTTCCCTTTTTTGAGAAATATGTGCAGTCAGGAAACTGTTTCTAGAAAGCGAATGCTCTATATGCTCGACTATATGGTTTCGATCACACTTGCATTGAAGATACGAGAAGCTATTCCGATATTTTAAAGTTTGCTAAAACCGACACGACAAACCGCTCAGACAAAGTCGGTTTGAACATCGAATTGTATAAACGCGATTTACAGTACTAAAAGACTGTAAATTCCTGGTAATATCATAAAACTAATCAGAATGAGTACTCGTTATGCAAATGTGATACAACAAAATAAAAAAAATTTGACTTTTTTGCAATATTTTTCTTTATTTTCTTCGATCATGCTCACACTGATCGAATAACGCACGTTGTTCTGCGTTGTTGCATGATATAAATAAATGAATATGAACTAATACCTGTCTTTTATGTGACTACGATAAGTAGTTTACCTTACGATATTAAAACGTGAAATAGTTGTCAAAAAGGCAATTCGGAAAGATGAGACACTATCATTTTTCTCACCTTTGTATTTTTTTTTTCATTTAACAGCTCGTAAAAAAGGTATCAATTAATGCGCGTATTAATTAAAGGTATCAATTAAGTCGCTTATAAAATATAAGCGACTTGCTATTTTTTTTTCATTTTTTCTTTCGTATTATAATATTTGAATCGTGATAGAGCGGAAGAGATACAGGAGGAGTGAATGTTTTTTTTCCTGATTCTAAATAAAAATATATACCTGAAGATATTTGTACTAAATATAACTCCCATGCTCCTTGAGCATGAATTCACGGGAGTTAGAATCGTTTTCTACAGTCTGCGTCAGATTAGCATTTAGAAGATCCTTGTTAAAAAGTAGGATGTATACAGAATGTTTGGAGAATATAAGAATATAACGCCAGAACTTGCATTCTCGATTTTTATTATTAAAAAAATAAGAACCTGATAATTAGTTAATAAACTATATTAATAAAACTATATATTTTTAGATTTTTAATTTCCTATACTTTTAAGTATTCGGATCCTCGAATTGCTAAATTCTTAAACCTTAAATCTTTTCCTGATTATATCCTTGAAAATGTTTAAATTTAAATTTTTGAACAAAAAATTGAACTTTTAAATTTTTATGTCTAGAATTTTCAAAGTTCATCGTCAGTTTGTCATTAAGATTTCAAAATTGTTGAATATTTTATTGTTTAACTTGAGAATTCTAGACTTCTAAAGACGAATAAAATAACATCAGGGTTAGCAAAATTCTATATTATTTGAATAAAATGACAGTAATATTTTCCGGAAAAAACAGACAAAAACTAGTTTTTTCTATTAAAAAATATTAAAATAAATAAGAAATCTTTTTATATTTGTCAATTAAGAACATTTTTTGATAAGCTTTATTCAAAATAAAATCTATAATATATTAGGAATCAACATAACAAATAAATTATTTTTTGTTAGATGTAATGAATGATAATGCGAATTAAATTGTAATTAATAATTTTTGTAAATAATAATTTTTAATTGTTAGGTTACCATAAAATTTTTCTTATTAAATTTAAAATTAATATAAAATTTAATATTTAAATATTTAAAGTTTTTGTTTTAAACATTTCACATATCAATTTGATTTAAAAAATATTTTATTATTATATTGATTTCATTTTTTAAACTTATTTCTTTTTTTAACGATTAGTATTTATTAATTAAAGCAAAAATATTTTTTTGCAAGATCTTTTTTATAATATATAAATATATTTTAATGTTGCATATTAATCATATCTATATTTTTTGCCAGTTTATTCTACTGGAATAAAGGACAGAATATTAAAAAATTAATAGAATTTATCATAGCCTCACTCACTAGACTTTTTTGCTAACCTTGAATAAGAGAACTTCTTTTTCTCTAAATTATTCTCACTAAAAAATATAAATCTCAAATATTTAAGCTAATTTTTCCGATTAAAAAGCTTCCGACGCACGCTGTATAATACGTGAGAAAAATGGACCGATTGAAGAAATAGTATGTACGAGAGAAATAAATCGGACGATTTTTCTTCGCGTATCGCATATTATATTTTAAAGCAACAACGATTCTTGATAATACTTATCAACTATAAATATAGCGTAAGTTAGAAAACAAGTTTTTCCTGCTGTCGCATTACTAGATTCTTCCTCTCACTCTCCATCAAAACCATGAGAAGGATTTTTTAAAGGAAAAGCATCAAAGACAATCTTTCGCCGCTTCATCCTCCCCATAAATTTCAGATAGAGCGGTCGATTGTCCACATATCAGATTAGATACATTTTTCGTATTTGCCGCCAAGTTGCCGAAAGTATTCGCACAGGTACTGAAATCCTTGGTTATCTCGTTTATCTCCTTGTTTTCTTCGCAATTGGCTGATATCTTTAAGGTCGGTACGGAATATATATTTTCGCCGCCAATACTGTTTTTCGTGAACGATATGGTCGTCGACGGTCGGTCCAAGTAACATTCCTAAAATATTTTCAAGATTATTTCTCTCTCACTCTCTCTCTCTCTCTCTCTGAATCTATCTTTTTAATTATCAAAATCATTTTTAAATCTATATTTTTATGTCTCTTATAAAATCGCGAATTTTATTGTGTAAATTTAATTATATATTATATTTTGAAAAAGAAATATCTTTTGAATCTTTGGAATTGTGAAAAAGAAATATCTTTTGAATTATATAATTAAAAATTTAATTCATAAATGATTTAGAAAGTTATAAATTGTTTAAATCTAAGGATCGTTGAAAAAAAAAATTGTAGTCGACAAAGTTATTTATCGTATTTGTTTAAATCTGATAAATTTTGATGCAAAATGAAATACTTTTTCAGAAAAAGATTAAATCTTCAACATCTTTATATAGTTAATAATAATATTTTTTATAGTTACTATTATACTGAGAATCTGTTTCGAATGTTACATAATTTAAATATATCTTCGTACATATATATTATATGCATATTTATATCAAACACACACAATATCTATTAATTTTATAAAATAATTACCTTCTCTGTGTTCAAGGGAGTAGAGATTTGTGTCTGTGGTATTTGACTGCAATGTGCCAAGGCTATCAGCTCTTTCTGACTTTCTCTAGCATCCACTAAGAATATACTTTCCTTCACTTCTTTTGCGTTATACTCATCAATTCTAGAAACAGGTTAACAGATATTTTGAAATTTCTCAAATAAAATAACTATCATCTTATAATTTCCGATCTTATCAAAAAAAAAATCACAGACTCTCTTCTACTTTACTATTTTCTAACATATGCCGAGCTACTTACTTATCATATATAACTGCGTGTAAGCCAAGTTTCTTCAGATACTGGATAGTGGCCTTATCGTTGTTATCATCACCCCAACAAAACATGATTAATCCCGCATCCTTAACTAACTTGACTTGAGATGGATCTCGAAGAATGTCTTCTGTATGAACGTTAATCCCTAGAATGTCCGCAGCCAACGCATGTTTTATAGCCATCGGTATCGTCTGGCATCTTGGATCATGATAAGTAGGATACTTCAATGTAACGCCTTGTGTTAGAAATATTACTGGATATTTATTTTGCTTGAGACGAATCATCGCGCAAATGTCCGGATTGAACGCGGAAAATACGATTTTTCGATCACCTCCATATTCCAATACTACTTTCAAAATAATGTCTAGATATATATTGAGATCAAAGGGATGATTAAGTTCGAATGTGCCATCCTATATAACGATAAAAATAACTTTAATTTACATTTCGCTATTAAAAATAAATGTCGCATATCATCAAAAATATTCGCACCTTCAATTGCATGGTCCATTTAATTTCGATATTACATCCAACATGCTGCTCTAATTCCTGAAGTACGGTTTGTAGCGTAGGGAAAGGTTGATGATCTTCCAAATCCTCATCGAAGAATCTAGGATTCTTTTCACGGCCCTCGGCAGTATGATAAACCTGTAGAAAAAAATTCCCGCTAATAAAATAAATGCGTGCACGCATGATGACGATGTTGAATCGTAAGAGGATCAATGAAATCATAAAAATCAGATCATCGTTGACTGTAATAAACGTTTAAAGCAAGACAAAACAAACGATATTTTATGCGAATACATATCTTACAATTTTGTGCCATTTATGGACATTATTAGTCGCACATGCTATGATTGACAAAATTGTACAAGATGTTAGAAACATTATGGGATTGAGCTACAGGAGAATATTGAAGAAGAAAAGTTAATCTTGAATTATGAAGAAGAAAAGTTAATCTGTCTTTTGAAAGCGTCTAGTTTTCGAAGATTTATTTTTTAAAAATTCTGACCCATCAAAATTAATGACTTATCAAAATTATTATTGTCCTAAAATTCTTCCCATATTTTTAATGAAATCTTGAAATTACGAGCAATTGCATAAAATCGTAGGAGAGGGTGTGAAACTGGTGACTGACGATTTTAGTAATGATATAAAATGTTAGAAACGTAGAAAAGCAAGTCTGTGAACGTTACTTTAGTTGTATTTTGCTTTTGCATAATTTCAATTGCTACCAGTATTTAACAGAATGTTTATCAAATGTATTTTTAAATATATTTTTTTGAGGAAAAAAATTCGAGAAAAATAAAATTCGACAAAATGTAAAATTAATTGTGGTGCTCAATTTTAATTTATTCTCTTATTGAGTCACAAATTCTCAAATAGATAGTTATTGAAAACTAGATTAAATCTATTTAGATTTAAATATATCTTGGGAATTTAATTATGTCACTCAGAAAGAGAGAGGAATTTATTGAGATGAACATTCAGCTCTTCTAAGAAAAGCGAAATATTGGATTGTGATAATGAAAAAGAATCGTTTTTTCGCAGTAGCGAATAATAATCAATATATTGATGAATTCGATCATTTTGATTTTTACAAAGAAAGCATGCAAATCAGAGCATATTGATTATTATATATTTTTAGCTGGCGCAAGCAGTATGTAAGCTCACCAGTTTGTTAACCCTCTGCTCAGCTTTATCAACGAAATAGAGCACCTTACCCAACGAGTCCGCCGGGTAACAATAATCCTGTTAAATATTAAAAAATCCAGACAAAAGAGCATGTCATTTTCGAATATTTGAATGCATGAATTTATGAGCATCTATGCATGACATACTCTTATGTAGCAATTTACTATATTTTCCTTTATTAAAAAAAAAAAAACAATAAGGATTGCAAGAAGCAAAACATTGACTATGCGAAGCATTTTTGTAAAAATATATCCCATCACCTTATAGTATTATATGACATCAATTGTAATAAATACATTCCTTAATTAAATCAGCGTAAATTAATAAATAATACAAAAGTATAATTTTAAACTCTCAAGAATTCAAAGGTTAATATATAATAATTATAAATTCAAGAATCAAAGAATGTAATATGTTTTCTATCTAGTGCATGATTTTTAAAAATCGATTCTTTGTTAGTATTTGATGAATTCGATCGATATTTATAATGCATAAGAGATTTTTTAATATCAAAATAGTGTTCTCTTTTTTCGCTGTTTTCATTAATCATGATATTAATGTTTAAACGTATTTAGCAGATACATATTTTGTAAATATTAAATTCACATTGAAAAAATTACAATAGCGATTGATAATTGTTGAATATTGTATGAATTAGAAAGTTACATAAAATATATAAATGTAAAAAATATATATATAAATATACATAAATATTCAAAAATATGTAAGAAATGAAAAAAATGCATGACATAAGAGACATAAAAGAAATCACAAATTGTGACTAATTGATACCTTGAGTAAATGCAGTTGTTCTAAAGTAAGATCTTTAACAGGTATTTCTAGCATATCCATAGCCTCTATCTGTTTTTTACGTTTCATCGAGATAGATACGTAAAAGTCATGGTAGATTACAGGTATAAGATCCTTTGATAATTGAACATCAAACTCGACCATATCTGCACCGTGATATGAAGCAGTCTTCAAAGACGCGATTGTATTCTCGCGTACGTTAGCACAGCTGGAAAGAGATATTGAATTATATAGACAATTTATTCTAAAAAAAAATTTCTTATACAAAGTTATACATGATTCATGGGAATATTTTGAATTCTAGTTTTATATGGAACATGATGAAAAGAAATAGTTTTTAGATATATATCGACTAACTTTTTCATTTCAAACTTGAAAGATGTGCCAAGTCCTCTATGTCCTACGTCTAAACCTGACCACCGTTGTTCCCAGTGTTTCGCATACGAAATGCTGGTGTCCCACGGATAATCCGGAATAGGTTTTATGACGACATATTCCACTGTCAATTGCCCTACAATGTAAGGGTAAATGATACATATAAACATAATATAAACATAATATTACCACTATTCACATAAAAATGTAAATCAATCGATGTGATTTTTAATTTTAATCCTTTATTATTTAGTAAAATTTTATATGCAATCGACAATTTCCATATCTTGTGATTTAAAAGTAAATTCTGAATATTATGTATGTAAAATCTTTGAAAATCAATTTTAATTGCTCTTTTTCTTCTTTTTTAATTATACAATAATTTTTTAATTATATTCTAATTATATCATAAATATGATAACTGTTATTTGATTTCAAGAAATAATTAATAAAAAAACAGAATAGAATCTTCTATATATATTTTTCACATATTTACCAATCGGTCGATGCTTTGTACTAGTAATTGGTACAGTGACAAGTCCAACACTGGATTGTAAAGTACTAGGCAGGATATAGCTGAAACCAATGTGATTTGGTGGTTCTCCTGGGAAACACTTTGAGCTGTACACGTAGTAGTCCACTAAGTATGCCTGGAAAAAAAATCTACTTAATGCTTCATCGAAAAGACCTTGGCATATTTTAAACAACACCAAATATGTTTCTTTCAATTTTAGCTCATCCATTTTTCGTGCTTGCTCCAATATTAATATCATATGTCCTGTGATCAAGGACAATGAAAATAAGAACAATGTTTTAATTATTTATTATTCAAGTTAAGAATTTTGTTTTATTCCTTGCCACAACAAAAACGATTTGTATTTCTGAAATATTTGCAACAAAACGTTAGTTCGCGAATACTCCTTAATTAAGTAGTATTATATAAACTAAATTGTTTAAAGCTTCCGTTATTTCACGATAATTGAAAATTTTGAAGCTTATAGAATCGTTGGTAAGAGTAACAAATTTCTGGTAATAAATAAATTGGATCAATAAATTGCCGAATGTTGTACATCGCCATTGGTGACGCATGCAACGTTACCCCCGCAACACCTGCCGAGATTATTTAAATGTTAAATTTCGAGAGAATGAAATGAGATAGAAATAACAGATTAGAAAGAACGAGTCAGCAACGTTTGCAATTCGGATTCAGAAGAGATTCTGACAGCATAGATTCTGGCATTGGCCGCGCAGCAGTGGCACATACGGTACGTAGAAGTAGTCGATCAGAGCTAGAAAATATTAGTAATAATACTAAAAGGATATAGGAGTGATGGGAATCTCACCATTTTCGACGCACACAGATGGATATGAGATGTGATAGCGTTGATATCGCAACATTTTTTAGGACTTTAACGGAACGGCTGCGCATCTCGCGTAAATCGACGATTGCAAATGAATTGTCTTCAGCTCCAACAAACGAGCGCAACTCCATTTGTCGATATAATGTGCATGCATAAAATCTCGATTTCAGGCGAGAGAAAATGCGGGCGATTTACAAGAGATCAGCCAAAAGGATGGGTCTGGCAGGATGAACGACAATCAAAACCATCATATCTCTGTGTGATGTCATGTGACACAGATGTAAAGTGGTAGACGATGCTTTTTAGCATCAATACACCAGATTGTATGCTAGCATCATTTGCACCAGAGGTCTTGCTTTTGTACAAGTCGAACAGGTCGTCTTCGTGTTTCTTGTGACCAGACATCGCGCGCGAGCACATCGCTGCTGGCATTTCCAAAGAGGGAGATAGCTGCTGGACAAGTTTAATTATCGTTTACCAAATAATTCGAACAAATCGCGCGAGGAGACGTGGCCGGCCTACTCGTGGTCTACTGAAAACTCACATAGTATGGTCAATGCGTATTCTTACTTAGTGTACTCAATTCGTTTCATGAATCCGCTATTAACCAGTAATTTATTGCTCTGCCGTGCCAATGATTTTTTCGCTCTTTTTGTGAGCATAAGTTTCCCGAAAAATGGAATGCAAATAAATAAATTTTACACAAAGGATCGAATTGAAGGAACGTAGTGTATTTTTTATTTCGTTATAAAATTCGCGTATCCACAGTTGTTTCTTGAAGATATATTTGTGATATTTTTATTGTAATAATTATTGTAATGTTTTGAACGCGAAAACTATAAACTGATCGCTTAATGTTTATTAACGATAAACATTATCGAAATCGCAAGCAACGCAAGCAATAAATTCTAGCCAATGATTTTCACATAACTGTGTATATATGATGTCCTAATAAAAAATTTTTCTACATGGAAACTTACAATTGTGTCAGTATACCGAACTGCAACGTTGAAGATTACAAATTCATCTTCATTGTAAGGACGGCCGAATTGTTCCTGGGATTTGAATTTAGCTTCTTCATCATTCATTACCTGGGAAACATATGTATCTCCTGATTACAATTTTATTCATTAATAATAATAAAAGATATTTTTGAAAATTTATACATACAGCGATTTCCGTAATACTTGTAAAGGCAGGTTGATCAATAATATCTTGTGTATCCATAGAAAGACTATCATCTACACAGTCGCCCCCAAACTGTTGCAATTCTAAGGAATTGTGTCTAACTAGATTTACAGGTGTCATCTATAACACAGACATAAAATATTTAATCTGAAAAAATATCTGTTATTTTAATATATACATTTATATGTTAAAAATAATTTATTTTTCTTTAAAGTTATAAAATAAAAAAATGAAAAAATAGAAGATAAAATAAAGAAAGGAAAAAATAGAAGATAGAAATAGAAAATAGAAATATAAAGATAGGTAAAATTATAACATACCTTAATATAAACTTTTCTATTTTGAAGCCGATTCTTCCAGAGTTTAATAGGATTGTTAAAAAGTTTAAATTGTATCACAGTTTCATCTGTTAACCAACCTCGTTCAACCTTATAATAATTATTGTGATAGCCAAATTTATCAGGCTCTGGCAATATGTCATTATCAAAATTGCTTGGTACTGTAAAGAAATTGATTACATCCATAATTAATATGATTCAATATATAATTTAGTTATATATAAATTAAAAAAAATATTGATACATACTATTTTTATTAATTATTCTTGGTGTCATATGAGTTTCCCATCTACGAATAATCATAGTTTTAGCTGAATTTTTAGTGCTATTTGATTGACAGATGACAGCTATAAAGTATCGGAATTCGATATCAACATCGATAGGAAGAGCAACCTTTTGTGAGAATATTCGTCCATCTCTGAAATTTCTATTAAATGCATCCAAATATTTAATATATTTATCACATAATTTTAATATTTATTTTTTGTTTCCAAATTACAAGAACAAAATTGATTGCTTTTTAAATCATTGATATTACATTCAATATAAGCAAAAACTTGCAAAGATTCTTTTAATAAAAGAGAAATGATAAAAGATTAAAATTTGCAACAAAGAATATTAAATTGGAATATTTAATGTTTGCATACAATTAGAAGAAATATCTCATAACTGTATATATATACACTTACTTTTCACTATCAAATATGCTATCAGTTGCAGTGCCTTCACACCCATCATCATTATAGAAATCTCCACTGCTATTATCAAACAGTGCAGGAGACTCCCTGCGATTGTTATGCTCCTGTGACATTAGAATAGCCTGATTATGATTCCAAGCACCCAATTCAGGCAGATTTCCAACCACATAAACAACTTCATTTTTTTCCAGATTGGGCACCTTTAGATTTAAAGCAATTTATAATTACTATATGCAAGTCAAATGTCAATTCTTAATTTTTTTTCTTTAATTGGAAATGTTTAAAGATATAATAAAGAAAAAAACTACAACATTTGAATATTACCTGGACTCTAAAAATCCAATCTCTCTTAAATCCCTTCATGTCGGAATTTTGTGTAGTCGCCACTTTGGGGATGTTAAATTTATGGCGCCTGATATTCTCGTTTTTTCACTCTAAAAATTATAATCACAAGATCTTGCTTCTTCAATTGTTTTTCAATATTTTAACACAAAATTAAAAAATGAGATTAAGTTCTAAAATTAACTAAGCTACTCTAATATTTTCAATATTTTAACAGAATATCCTGACAATTTTTATGCATAAAAAGAAATTTAAAATTTATTTTTTAATTTTTATTATATACTTAATCATTTTTTACAGATGTCCAAGGAGGAATATATATAAATTTCTCTTATATATTTTTATATAGATTTCTAGATTTTTCATTCACTTTAAGACTGCTAAAGGATGCAACAAGTTATCATTGATGATCCATATGTGAACAGAACAAAAAAAAATACATGATTCACAAATATTAAAGAAAATGTCTAATCAATAAGAATCTATCAGTATAAAAAATAATATAATACTCAGATATGTCATTCTGAGAATTATCTTAATAAAAATCTTTATAGTATAAATCTCTATATATCAGCAAGTATATGATTAAATAATACATAAACATAAACATTTTATAATGCGTTGTTTAAATTATAACTATATCACATTTCAATTTGTATTCTATAGATTCTCTCTATTAATGTATACAAATTATTTAGCCAAATTGTAACTCTAACGTAATATAAAACTATATAGAGCTGAGTGTATTTTAAGAGAGAATAAAGATGTTATATTTAAAATGGTTCAAGATCACACACACAAATAGCACTTCCATATATACCTTCCAATATGTACTTCTAAAATATTATATTTATATGACCTTTAGAACATGAAATCTGTTTTGCAGGAGCTGTGAATTCGTTTCGTTCCTCATACATGGGGGAAGAAAAGTGTCATCGACACATCCTCACACATACTGACGTGGTTATAACATCAAGAGGATCTTGATATGTATACGTCCAACACAAATAGATCGTACACGCGCAGATCGATGCTGATGTTTTGACATTTTCAGCATGCGAAGGACGATTGTGCAAATACATACAAGAGATGAATAATTAGATTTTCGAGCGATGCTTCGCGAAAGGCACAAGTTAACGTTGAATGAAACATTCGTGTATCAAGATTTTGCTCCTCAACCAAGCACTTCTTTCGAGACTTCTTGAGAAGAATCATTCCGAGAGAGCGATTGCGAATACCGATGTCTATAAACAGCATAATTTCATGATAAGTTTCAAGTTTCGTAGACTGGACTCTCGACAAGCTCGCGAATCATCCCGCTTTCACTTCTATGGAAAGTGCTCTTCAAGAGAAGGATTCTCTTTTTCGCGAGTAAAACTCCCTTTCCCTTTTCGATCCTTCTTCACCGAAAATATTTTCTCCTCTAATAACACCAACGAAACTACTTACGATGCGAAGGCGTCTCGACTCGAACGATTCCTTTCAAAAAAGACTTGGAGTCCGCTGTCTCATCCAGTCCTCGTTGTCCGACTCGCGTTATTTAACGAACGACTGCGACGGCCGTTCCGGATTCTCCGTGGGACTCGACATAATCGCGACCGTAACTCTCACCTTGACGTAATGACAGACCGCGTGCACGCATGACGACGCGTTGACACGAAAATGCACTGGCTGCGATGACAAGTCGCTTCGTCCATAAAAAAAACTACTATTATAGAGACGACTACCTCGATATAATTTTTTATCCGCGCCAAAATTCATTTATGCGCCGCTAGAGTGCGCTTTTTGGCGCTAGGTTGAAAATGCAATATTCAAGCATACAAAATCAATAAAAATAAATCCAGATACTTATGAAAGATTATTATAGATAAAATTAAAAAATAAAAATAACAGCTTGCATAATATTAAATCAATCATTCAAAAATATGATTATATTTTTTAATCGAGTTATTGATATGCTTGGCGTTACAATATTCTAAATTATTTGATAATCATTCAGGATAAGAGAAATAAAGATTTCTTTGTTTTTTGATATTTTGAAATCTAATTTTCATTAAATATTGATTAAATATTGTATGAGTTATTATTTTTATTTCATCTTTGATCTTTCATAAATACTAAACTTCACATGAAAACCGTCAGACCATAAGAGCGTATAGTGCGACATCTAGATATGATGTTACGTTCGATGATTGTATAAACAGTTTGAATTCGTGGGTGCAGTTCGCAAAGACGGTAAATAAAATCACGAGCATCAATATATATAAATGAAAAATAAGATGAGACACAAAACAGGTAAGAAATATACAATTATATACTTTGATAAAAATGTTTAAGATTTAAGATGTATCGAATGTTTAAGATTTAAGATGTATCGAAAAATAATTGAACAATTAGATAGCCTCTAGATGTCGCGCGTTGTTTGGCAGTTTCGAGATTTTTGCATCGAAAGAAAAACGAAAATCAAACGAAATCAAACGTATGATTATACTCGGTTCTAATTCGCGTAGTAGTTAATATATTCGACAGGAAAACATTCGTTACAAAAACCATTGATGTCACAATATTCTAAATTATTTGAATGGTCATTCAGGATAAAAGAAATAAAGATTACTTTATTTTTTCATATTTTGAATTATAATTTTCACTAAATATTGATTAAATATTGTATGAGTTATTATTTTTATTTCATCTTTGATCTTTCATAAATATTAAACACGTCACATGAAAACTGCCAGACCATAAGAGCGTGTAGTGCGACATCTAGATGTGACGCGTTCGATGACTGTATAAATAGTTTGAATTCGAGGTGGGTGCAATTCGCAAAGACGATAAATAAAATCACAAGCATCAATGTATATAAATGAAAAATAAGATGAGACACAAAACAGGTAAGATATATACAATTATATACTCTAATAAAAATGATTTTTCAAACAATAAGGAAATTTGATGTATCGAAAAATAATTGGAAAATAATTGACATTAGATAGCCTCTAGATGCCGCGCGTTGTTTGGCAGTTTCGAGATTTTTGCATCGAGAAATAAACACAAAATCAAATGAAATAAAACGTGAGATTATACTCGGTTCTAATTCGCGTAGCAAGTTAATATATTCGACAGGAAAACATTCGTTACAAAAACCAGTCGTTAAGTGGCAGGGGAATCATGTTATGATAAGAGTTGCTGCATATTCGAATAGGAAAATATGGCCGATGTGCACTGTCGATGAACGATATCGAACGTGTAATATTACAAGTCATTTCACATTACAAAGTTACTTCACATATCTCTCTTCTCAGTTTGATTGCATAGTTCTATTATGATATTATAATATACGATTCATATTTATATTTTACATTTAGCGTTTAATATAAATGTCTGATTTTCAGATTCAAGATGGGTTACAAAATTGCATCATTTCCTTCCTAACTGCCCATTATTGTTGCCGACAGATGTAAGTAAAAGACAATATAATATAAATATATAATATATTTGTGAAAAACAAGAATAGAAATATGATCATGAGATATAAGTACTTCTCTACTTTTGCCTGAAATTGCTAAGTGTTTAATATACGATATTCAAATAAATAAGCGCTGAGATAATGAATTTTAATCATTCTCTCTATATATATATGTCTCTTTTTCTCTGAAAAAAAAACATCTCCAGCGACACTCGAATAATAGCATATGCAAAAAGCGATTGGTATAGTCGGTGTGTTTATGATGTAAATAAAAATTAGAGTGTAAAGCATACGAAATGTGAGTGAGGAATACATTAACCAAAGTTCATTTATTGTACATAAGCACAAAGCTCGTGATGTTACGAGCAGCATGTAAGATTCTAAATCATAAATACCGGATGAGAAATAAAGTTGAAGTGAGATATCGCTATAGAAGTAATATCGCATGTGCGTACAAGAGAGGGGTTTTAATCAAAAGTGACATGAGAAGAGACATGATGTTGGAGATGATACGATCTCGTAAAAGGATTTTCTGGAAAGATTAGAAATTCCTAGCGGAATCTTCATGCCCATCAACCAAAACAATTTTGAAGCTTTTTGTAAAGATTTTCTATAGAAATATTAATATTAAAATGCAATTTTGTATCCTAAATAATTTTAAAAATATCAAAATAATGTGCAAGATATATTTTTATTTATTTTTTCATTATGCATATATCATATAACATGTTTATTCCGAAAAAACAACCTTATCTAAATATTATAAATATTCTGATTTTATTTTTATAAAATTTCTAAAATATGAATATAAAAATATGTTATGAGAAAACACAATTTAAAAAAATAGATGTTGAAGGATATCTACGGATTTTCTATCGATATCCAAGAAAATTCTTTGCATATTCTTAGATTCTGTAAATATTAATTAATATCTGAGATATTTATCATATCACGATTGAGATCGATATTTAAAATATGATTTTTTCGTATTTTATATTAACTGCGTTGAAAATGGTGATAAATCGATTTCTTTGCAAGTCATTATTTCTGCTTTTTATACAGAATGCTGACGTTCTTTCAGAATGCTGACATATATATCATCATCATTATCATTAATTTATTATGACCGTTGGCAGCAAAACAATTTATCAAATTATCACAATTCACAAATTATCATGACATTTAATATCTTACTATCGGGCTGTTATGTATATCGACTTTACGTCAAGAGTTAAATGCAAAGACATGATGATCATGATGAAATCATATATTTTTTGCAAATATTATTAACAAGTATATAAATGTTATATTTCGTGATTTCGAATGCGGTAATCCGATACAAATAAACATGTTTAATTATATTTTTGATACGTTAACATTATTAATGACTTAAATAATTAGTAAGGAATGAAATCTCGTGAAAACATAATCCAAAATTCTTCATTCCAAAATTCTTTGGTTGCTTCAGCATTTTGATCAGATTTGTTGTCGTAAGATGTATTTTTATTATATGTGTTATTTATTTGTTTTTAAAAATTAAATATTTTTATTTAGCGTCTTCGTAACTATATGCGTTACATATAATCATTATAAAACATATTATATTATATTCTTGCAAACAGTATATTTTAAAACGGTTTATTACTATTTAATTTACATTTTTGTTAACTAGCTTTATATTGCAAACTATTAAATTATGAAAATATTATCCTGCTTTTCTTTCTACTAAACAATTTAAAACTTTAAAATCTTTAAAATTGAAAATTACAATATAAATTGCAACTTAATATCCGTGTAAAGAGAAAGAGAGAGAGAGTTCCTAATCTCTTTTGTATTGTTTAATTACATCCTAATATTATATCATATCTATATTATATTATATCTATTATTTTTTAAATCGAAACATATAAAATTAAAAATAACAGAAAAAAATAAAATTAAAAATAACAGAAGAAAATTTTTCAGCTATGATTTCATTTCAAACTCAAACAAGTTGTTTCTAGACATCATAATTACAACTCACATAAGAAAGTAATGCAAAAAAATTGCGAGTATAAATCTCGTCCAAAGACCTGAATATCTTTAAAAATCTTTCTTTGTTACAAGATATTCTATTACAAGTTATTTTGTCTACTTCCTACCATGCAGAGTTTGACATAGATTTACAATACCTTTTATTATTTAGCTAACCATAAATCTATTTTTTACGTTTTCTAATGCTTTTGACACCATAGAAACTTTTTTAAAAAGAATTTTATTTCGTCTTTTCTTAACAAAAATATTTCGAATATTTAGAACATTTCGAGATGAAATTTGAAGTGAATTCTTTTATGCTCACAATTTCTTTCTTCCAGTACTTAATCTTTTTAAGACTTTCTTCACATTCATCATGCTGTGATGGACGTGAGAAAATGCGAAGAAACAAATAATCTGATTCAAAAAAAAAACGAAAAGCTAAAATTAGATGAAAAAATATTAACATAAAAAAACAGAAAAAAATTATGCTTTTTTATATTATATTTTATATTTTAATTTATATTTATATTTATATTTATATTTATATTTATATTTTAATTTATATTTTAATATTATTTTATATTTTAAATATCAAATTTCTTATAAATATGGAATATATATTCGATGATTTTATTTAATCTTTTCAAGATTTACAAAATTTAATTTATTTATCAATAAAAAGAATATTTGTTTTTCGATTTAAATTTTAATTTATATTTTTAAACTACGATTCCATTTCATTATTATTTTATTATTTTATATTTTATAAAAATATTTTTTAAAATAAAGATTAAAATAGATTTATACCAACACCGAGAGAACCATAATTTAATTGGATTGATAGTAAAAAATATTTATTTTTATCATCCTTAATCGTATCTTAATAAACAATTAAATATTCATTTAAACATATGTATGTTTTATATAGGTAAATGAATTAATATTTTAATATCGTATTAATTATATATAAATTAATAATTTATCTCGATATTTTAGTTAAATTGATAAGTTATATATACATTATTAAAACAATTATTTCTTTAAATAAATATGTATTTACATAAAATATATATGTATTTTTCACACCTAAATCTAGAAATGTAGATCGAAGCAGGATAATCATTTTAAATGTGAAATAAATCTTGAATCTCTTTTGTATAATTTATTATTTTGAGAAGAAACGAGCGCGAATAATTATTTATTTATTGTATTCATTGTATTTAATTGTATCTCATGATATAGAGATAGGTATGACTCGTGCCAAGATTTTGCGAAACTCCAAGTCGCATCATTATCGTGACTGTCAGATGACGCGCAATCGGGAAAGTTGTTTATAACGGATCAGCTGCGGTCTATTTTCCCGTCGTTCTTGCGAAAGTTCAAAGTCTATCGACCGAGAAGTTTGTTCACTCTTTAAATATCTTATTTATGATACGTCATAGTCATATTGTTCGTTTGAAACATTGAGATACAAAACTCTTACAATAAACTTTTCTTTTGTACCAATATTTCGTGCAATTTTAAATAAATTGTTTTTTAATACAATTTCACACATTTCTAAATATAAAAGACTTATAAGTTTTTTATATTTTTTTAAATATGAAAAATTGATTGAAACAATACCTTTTAAATTTTTATTCTAGAAAAACACAAATTTTTGTTTTATTTCAGAATGTAGAATTGGAAAAATAGCGATATTTTTGAGACACTGTATATAAAATTTTAGTCAGTTTTTTTTGAATTGATCGAGACTTGCATATAGATAAAATGTTAATCAGAACCTTGATTTTACATGAGCGCTTAAATTAGCTTTAATGATATGAATAACAATATTTTATTCGATATTTTCTTCTTTTTAATATTATTAATTTTTGTTGAAAAAAAATATCGTAACAATAAATTAAATGTAATGTAATAAATCAATATAAATGCCTTTATGCAATCACTTATATAAGAAAAATTTTAAACAAATATTCATGTGCATTGAAATGTGTATAATAATAAAAAAAGTCAAATGCACAATAATTAACATTAATTTATAAAAATATATAAAAAGAATGTGTCGAAAATAAGATGCAATTTTTCAAACACTAACATATCTTGAATCGCATTTTTCTCAGGCATCAGTATTTTCTCTATTCGATCCACTCGTTCAATAGTTACGCTGCCAATTTTCCATTACTCACCCAAAAATGATTTCCCACACGTGTTAACTTCCGGTAAGTTGCATAGTGAACCGATCCGTGATGCTATCGATCATCGCCGCCTTTTGGATCGCGTCAATGCTGACAAAACGAGTTTTTATTTTCCAGGAACGGGTTTGTTTCAGTCAACCGGTTTGATCTCTGTTATTGGGAAAGTTGTAGATAACGAATGAAATAAAAAAAAAGAGAAACCGACAGAGAAAATAATCGATCGAACGTACGCTCCGACGCGCGCGAATGCTCGAGAGCTACTAGCTTCGCGTTTGTATTAGGCAGGTTTGAAACTTCTTGAGTTTCCCTTCTCTTCGACTACCCGTTATATACACGAGCGATGATGTCGACAGTTGTATTATGCAGAAATGAGTCGCACTATATATGCGGAGTATACAGGTACATTAAAAGTATAGTATCGCTACTAAGTATCAATATTTGCAACTGTGATAAGAAAGTTTCATTATTAAAATTATTCTGATAATATTTTTAATAATGAAATATAATTAATATCAGAAAATATCGATATATATCGAAAGAAGTGGAAAAAAGGAGACCTGACATCTTGGTAATATTGCGATATCTCAAGATATTGTTGATATATTGATAGTAGCATCAAAATGTTTATGTAACTGTTTAAAAATCTCGCGCACTCATTTTCTCTTTTTCCCTTTTGTAATTTGGCTTTAAAGATATGTTGATGAAATTATTGGAGTAATATAATTTTAAGATTTTATTTCATAGTCTGCATTGTGTTTTTAATGTGTTTTATCCTTCAACTTTAGCGCTATTACAATTAGCGCTTATCAAGACACGAGCCCGACACTTATCTTTTCTTTGCACATTCCGCCTGTGCGATAAATGTGGACACAAATGGTACCATGTCCTTCTATTGCATATTGCATCATTTATACTTGTTGGAAATTTAAGAAGTTGTTATGTCTCCAAACTAACATGAGTCATTCTTTTTTCTCGATCGTGTCTGTACATTATTATTGTCATTAGCATATCTAGCTTTTTTGTTATTTTTAAATACGGCTAAACAAAATAAAACATATTCCAAATTAGTAAAAAAATAATAAAAAGTTAGGCAAATGTATAAATTAGTTGAATTACTTTTTGTTTTGAAATGTTCTTGTCGCTGTGATTTTTTAAAGAAAATTCTGGCAAAATAAATTATTATTTTGAAATAATTAAGAAATTATTTTTACTGTTATTAAGAATGATGCTTATTCATAATATCTCACTGATTCATGAATAATATCAAGATAAGATAAGCGTATTTTACGTCTTAATAATGAAGAGAGTCGCGTATATAAAAATGGATCACAATTAAGCATATATATGATTTCAGTTGTCAATAGCAGCAAATAAATCGACGTATTCTAAAGTTTGATAAAAAAACTGCTTATCGTGCTTTCGGTAGACTTGGAGGGAAAACACGCGCTGAATCAGTAAGATTAATTTTCGTTACGATTATAGGATAGGAACTACATTTTATATTTTGTTTACTCTATATTTGTAGTGTGCGGAAAAAAATATTCAATTTTTTTAAATTTAATTAGAAAAACGAAAAAAAAAACTTTTGCGATAAGTTTATTTCTGTATTAAAGTGTCGTCAAAATATGTATGATTTAATTCTAGTTTTAAACTCTTTATTATTAAATCATCGATTTATTTCGTTTTTAAAATACTTTGGCATGAAAATCTTCCCTTCTTCGTAAATAAAATTTTGTTTCTAATTTATAATTGGAGATAAAATCTCATGATATTCTTCTTTTTAATTTTTGTTTAAATTTAAAATAACTTTTCGATTCTTTAATTTTTTATCTTAAATATTATGCCAATTAAGCTTATAAGCTTCGGTTGAGATTTTTGTAGAAAAAAAGTAAACTTTTTGAAATCTTTAAACAATATTCTTTCTTTTTCTCTCTTCTTCATTTTGTACATTTTGTCTGAAGCAAAGTTTTATATAAAAAGCAAAAAGTTTTACTTTATTTAATCTACCATCTGGCTTCTTTTCACGACTCAGACAGAAAAATTCGATATCGGCGTAATAAGCGCTCTAGAAATAAAATAACACCTGTCAAGGTCGATGGGGAGAAATTAATAATCAGATAAGCAGACGCGATCAAAATATCATCGTCTATTGACTTTATACTTGTTGCGATTGAATCGCGGAAGGAAGTGATTACACGATTATGCGGACGCATAAAGATAGACAGGAAGTCAAATTAGAATGTAACGAATATTGGTATGTTTAGAATCAGTCAATAAATTTGAGCGAATTTTATCTCTCTCGAATCTGTCTCTCTCTTTGATAAATTCTGTTAGTCTCTTTTGTAATTTGAATAACTTTGATCACTCTTTGAAATTTGAAAAAAAAGAAAAAAATAAAAGAGGTATTACATTTCACACGTTGAAAAAGTTTCGATTAGATCTCGATTAGATAACAAAAACGACAAAAAAGATGACAAATAAATGAAATCGTGATATCGTTTTTGCCTTCTCTCAATGTGTACATATGAGTCTGAAATACTCGAAAAATGTTAAATATTTGAAATTTTTGACGCAAAAATTTTGTAATGAATATCAAAATGTTAAATATTCTCGTTAAATGCTGAATACGTCGCTACTTGCGACATATAATTCATTCATGTTGCGTTAAAAGTGATGATAATTGCGTGTCATGATTTATTTGGTCCAGCCTCAGGTACAATTTTTTACATAATGACCCGGAGAATGTATGTACCGATAGCATTTGATATATATGAGATATTTGTATTAAATATTTGTGCATGTATGTATCCATTCAATATTTTTACAAAATAAGATTTTCTTAAATTTAATTTATACATATATGTATATGTATATCACATATTAAGTAATCAATTTTGAAGATTTTTGCTATATTTTGTATTATGATACATTAATTATATATTAATATATTAATAAATTTGTTTATGATAATTTTGTTTGTCAATTATTTTTCAAATAATTTTAAATTTAAAAAAGGATATTCTCACACTTCAGGCAAATAAATAAATCTGTTATTGGAACATACGTTTTTCCGGGGCATATTCTACATTACGGTAAAAAATACAAAAATATCTTTATATTTATACAAAATAATTTCTTTGTATGATTTTTTTCTCTAATCAAAGAGCATAATTCCGATGAAAAAAAAGGAATAAAATACATATTAACGATTAAACGAGATATATGCGATAAAGACAAGAATAATGAAAATAATGAACTCATTTCGGAAGCATGCTCTTGGATCATTTTTTTTTGTAATGCGACTTTAATCTTTCTCATAATATGCAGCATCTCTGATCAATCTCGTTCTTTTATTAAATTTAATTTTTTATTAAATAATCTTACTAGAAAAAAGTTTTTATAAATGTATTGAATGTTGCTTATTAAAAATCGGAAAAAATTGGTGAAAAATTTGTATTTAGCAATCGTTAAAAAAAATTAAATTTATGGAGAACTCTTTATGTGTGAAATAAAACGCAAAATTGCTGACTTAAGTATCACAGTCTAATTTTTCGTCATTTAACGATGTACAAAAAAAACTGTCGTATAAAAAAATACCAATCTATATTTTAATCAATGTAATATAACATTTACGAAATTATCTCATAAATGAGGTGACGCGATTCATTAGAGACAATCATGTATATTCTAAAAGCCGAGATATCGACACATGGTGTGCACGCATTGTTACAACATTGAAAGCACGAGATCGTCCGGCACATCCATTAGTATCACGTATTTATCGGCATTATCGTAATTTATCGTAAAAAAGTGTCACACGACATACGAATATATCATAAATTGTACTTGTACGTGTAAAATATAAAAGAGAATCTATGTACAATATAATTTCAGAAAATTAATACGTAAAATATAATTCTAAGCTTTAAAAAAGATATGTATGTGTGAAGCATGTGGTAAAAAAATTCGGAAGAGCGAATCGAGTATAATTAAGACTTAACTATGCAATAACGCAAGACAACTTAAAAGAAAATTCAGGCGAGAAATTTTCTAATAATGTTAAAAAAGGAAGAAAAAACTTAAAGATTATGAACGAATTTTGCCTTCAATCTCTTACTTTTACTTGGCCTGTTCTCTGCACAGTCGTTTCGCGTACGTTATAAAGTCGTTTTCGCGATAACGTAGCATCTTTCGCATATCTACCGTTATAAAGGAATAAAGCGAGCTTCGTGCAACGTAAAGAAGCGCGCGGGTCTCTTTATTTACACAGGGATTTGGTCGCGGTAAATTACAAAGTTACGGTATAAATCCTGCTCTGTTGCACGTTGGTTGCATGAAGAATCTCGCGACTTGTTATTACCGCGTCATTGTTATCAGTACGATCGATATCAATGCGATTGTGCGCGTTTGCGCTTGACGACGTTCCTCTCCGTCCCGCCGTATTCTATTAATTACGGCTTCCAATGTGATAATTAGACTACGAAGCTGCAATTATACATATATACTTCGCGTCGTCGCGAGCTATCCGAGATAAATTATTCCCGGTTATTGAATTGTTCGCCGGAATTAATCTATCGCCTTGCAATTTTCAAGCAAATAGCCTTACGTCGAGTTGTCAGATCGCAATTAAATATACTACGACGATAATATGAAAGCTTCTTCGAAGGATTTCCAATTTTATAAACAGGTCACTCTTTTAATCCTCACTCATCATTGAACCGCATTCGTTCTTTTGCATCTCTATCTTCTTTTTAACCTTGTCCTTCTCTTGTTAGGTCAGTAGATCCTCGTTTGCACTATAATTCGGTAGTAGCCACGCCCCAATATTGCTGCATCCTCGTGGCATCCTGCTCGAGCGAGTCCATGCCGCTCCTCTCCTGGATGACAGCAAAGTCGTACTCCAGATTATAAGGCATTAGCCTTTGCAGGCTGCCGAAATAGGCGGCATTCGGTCCGCCATTCAGCAATCTTCGTCCGCTGCCGAAACGGACGACCGGCGGTCGCGATAGCGTGGGATTGAAAGATCTCGCACTGCCGAATCTCTTTGATAAAAAGGGCAAGTTGCCGCCGTTCAACTGCGGTGTCGACCTCGCCTGGCGCAAAGGCGCTTTTGTCAGGGTGTCCAGCTCCTTGTCGAATAACAGCTGAGTGTTTTGCTCGAGCATGTATTCCCAGCAACGGAATTGCTCCTCGCTGAGGACACCGGACCTCTCCGAGACGGCGTCCTCCTGAGTAGGCATGCACGGTGATACCTGAAACAGAGCGATTTAAATTTTTAAATACAAGGGGCAGGTGTCATTAAGTATGTCGGAAATAATTATTGAAAAAAATTCGATTAATTCGTTAATTAATTAAGTCATAGATGGATATGTGGGGTAACTGTAAATGGAATAAGTCAGTTTTTGATTATGTGGCAGTTGCTGATATAATCTTGATAACAGTTCATATAACAGAATTTTTTTTAATAATCATTTGTAGCACACTAATTTTCTTCGCAGTATAAATTCAACATATTTCTTTTTTTACTTTATATTTCTTTTTTATATTCCTTGTAATCGTACTCTTGTATGTTTTGTGGGTCAATATTTCTTCTTCAATATTTCTTCTTCAATATTTCTTCTTCAATATTTGCTACTTCGACAGAAAGAATCGCGATTTTTACAGCGCTTTTTCGTTATGTCGCACATGTCGGTATATTTTTCGGCAAAGTTTTTCGAGAACAAATTAATGGGAGAGATTCGAGAGGTTTACCTTCCGCGTCTCCTGCACGAGAACGCTCTGGTGAGCTTTGTTCGTCGCTTTCGAAGCCGCGCTTCCCGTCCACATCCTTCCTGATGGATGGCGAGACTTAAAAGTACTGTCGCTAGCTTGATCGGACTGTCCACTCGGCGAGCTGCGATCATCTCTGTAGGGAGGGCTTTCGTTTTCTTGTGTTGATCTAGAATTCTTAAAGTATCTTCCGGAACCCCCATGAACCTTGTTGGATCTGCGAAAAATAAAATACATTTTACTATGAATCTTATTGAAAGGAATAAAATTTTTCAACGTTTTTCTGTAATTATTTTATATATTAAAAAAATGAAATATTCTAATCTTAATAAATAGGAAGAAATTTAGATATTTTCGATAGAGAAGTCTATTTTTGATCTTAAAAACTGATAATTAATATTGCAAAAAATATTCTGATCGAGTCTTCTTAATTAATTGATATTTATTATAATTAATATATATATATATATATATATATATATATATTACTTTTTTGAAATATAAATACATAATTTATTATTTAAATACCTAAAGATATAATAAAAATGATAAAATTGGTGGACGATACAAATATTGTTTCTTTGCATATTTAATATCTATATTTTAACGTCGCATAAACTCGCGATATATCGATTTATTCGCCACCAAGGTCTTTGTATAACGATATGTTGTATAACGATCCTATTTTTTACTCGTACCTGTTCACTATATTTTTTAACACGCCATTAAGATAATAGCCCTCGCTTGCGTGACAACAGCAGGCCGCTGGAGGTTTATGCGCCGCTGGTGGCACGCAACAAGGACAGGGACATGCGCCGTCACCGGTTTGGCCTCTATTTTTGCCAACAACGTGTCTGAGTTCGCGCATCAGCTGATCCATGTCACCTGGACTCGGCCCGGCCAATCTCACGACAATAACGCTTAAATTATCCTCGGCGCCGTAGGCTTGCGCCAGATCCTGCAGCCTCTTCGCGGCTAAAACGGGACTGGCCTCGGCTCTGGCCTCCCTCACGGCTTCTTGGATGCTCAAGACTTCCCATAATCTCCGATTAGCCACTATAACGAACTCGTCATCGTCTTCTAGAGTCACTTCTTCGTATGTCGGGTCGGGTACCACTAGCGGAAACATAGCAGCGTTGCCCAATTGATTTTTAACTGTTTCTCTAGCTTTCTTAGACGCAAGAGTCAAGGGACCGGCCGCTCGACAAAGAACGGCTTTTGCTTCCCCGGAGGAAGCCACTTTTAAAGAGTATTTGGTCGAGGCTTTTGGGTATCCCTGCTGTGATGATAGTTTCACAATATGAACGAGAGTCGCGTCCACACCGTACTTCTGACCCTTCTCCCTAAGCTCTCTGTGTGCCGACAGTAAGGTATACTTCAGGTACTCCTTCGACGTCTCCCGTATAGTTCGCTCTTCCAGCAAGAGACGCGGGATCATCTCTTGAAGCGCACTAGGTGTTTCTTGATTCGAACCTCCATCGAATATGCCGAATAGACCTTCGACGTTACAAAAGGATGGCATTCGTATCTGAGAAATGTATAGCCTGCGTGCAAACAATAAGATTTCTTTGAGCTTTTAGAGTAATACAATATATTGTCTGTTCTACGGGAGATAACGAGATTTCTTTCGTAAAAATGAATTAATCTTCTTAATAAAAATGAATAGCAAAAATAGAATAGATAGATAAATAAATAGAAGGATTAACATCTTTTTTTATCTATCGATTTCTTATCTTTTTCTCTATTTCTTTTCTATCTTTCTATCTATACATTTTTATAGGAGGAAATATCATATATATTGTATATTTATCATTAAATAATTACTTTTCGCGAGAACCCGTAGTTTCCGAAAAGCCTAACCGCCACGGTTGCTCGGCATTTTTTTCGGCTACGACAATTTCTTGTTGATGCGGATGAGATGGCAAACTGGGCCTGTTTTGTCCAGATACGTCCACTAGAGATATTGGTCTCTGAGATCTATAAACTTGGAATTGTCGTGGATCCACGTGCAATCGGGAATTGCAAGATATATCGAGAAACTGCAATTGTGGTGGCACTAGTGTAGCAAGATTTACCCTATCCAGTTGATTGTGCGCGAGATCCAGCACCTGGATAAAATAATAGATCGTATTTTCCGTTATACTCGTTATACCCGTTATACTCGTTTCATCTATTTATTTCGAATCATGTCATTAACATTTTTGTATTTTTCCTTATAAATTTTCTACGTTATAAACGAACATTTTGCAAGTATTATTTTTTTATGAAACATTTCACCGAATAAAAATATATTTTTATACATATCAATATTTGTCAATATTTATCAATATTTTTATACATACAATCTTTAAGAATATTATGTATCAATATATTAATATATAATTATTATAATATATAATTAATAATAATTATTATTTGATTGAATTAGAATTATTTTATTCAATTTATCAGAATTATTTTATTCAAAATATTGAGATATAATAAAAATCATTAATGGAAATTTTATAATGGAAAAAGATTATAATTTTGTAATTCATATACTTTACAAAATATTGCGTATTTCGGAATGTTATGTATAATTTAATTGAATTATTTATCCTCTTATACACATTTTTTAATCATAATTTATATCTTACATAAAAATATATGTGTAAAAAGATAATTACTACAGTCTTTTACTTTCTAGGCCAATTCCGAATAAATACGAAAAATTAAATAGCACTTTAATAAAGTTTCAATAAACGCGTTTGTATATTTTTTCCACTTAAGTGAAAAGAGAATATGTAATAGTCTTAAATTCGGATCTCGCGATTTCAGTCTCCGGTATTTCGTTTATCTCATATACATTGCAAATTGCTCGATTAACGTTTGCGCGCGTGTTCTAGTCTCACCTTCAAGGATGCCGTTTTACCAAAGGTGGGACACGTTAACAGCCGATTAGAATGCACGCGTAGCACGCGCAGGTGTTGCAAATTGGCCACGTTGTCCGGAAGATATTGCAATCGATTTCCGGACAGCACCAATTCCTCTAGGTCGCCCCACGCGGCTATGCAGCTGCAAGATTTTTCGGATTAATTATAAATAGCTTTACATTAATAAATATGTTATTTAACACATGCAACACACAAGCGATAAAATAATATCCTTATCAGTTCTAAAAGTCAGGATCCCTTTAAAAAGTCTGTAATTTAATTAAGAGTTCTAGAAAATCAATAATCGATAATGAATATTAATAAAGTTATTCGAAAGAGAGATAAAAGAACAGTTTACTGAAAAATTAATTCTTTTATTACACATCTTGTATTTCGTTCCGTCACGATACGGGATTAGATGATTTTCTCTTCGCATAAAATAGATATACGTTTACCTTTCCGGTAACGTATCCAGGGTGTTGTAAGCAATATGAAGAATTCTCAGGGACGTGAACTTCGCGAGAGCATCCAGAGCGGTATCGGTCAGACAATTCGCCGTGACATATAATTTCTCCAAGGTATGTGATCCCTGATGGCTCCTGCCTGCTTCCTCGCGATACGGTAGTTCAGAGAGCCGATTATTAGAGAGGTTCAAAACTTTCATCCTAGAAAGGAGTTCGTAAGTGCGAGGCGCAGTCTACGTCGTTTACGACGAAGGGAACGACGATAAGTTCACTTCGGATAGTTAAATACAATTTGCTAACAGGATACACATGTTGGAAACTTTAATTTTCTCTTAAGATCGATTCTCTTCAAAATTTATAATGCACACGTTTCGCCATTATTGTTGCATATAAATGAGATGTTATTATATAATGTTATTATTATTATTATTATTAGCGTCTTTATGATTATAATTTTTGATAGATGAGTTCATTTAAATCAGCGAGGAAGATTGATGTCTTACTTTTCAGTATTGGCGAAGAAGCTAGTCGGTAGAGTGGTTAACATATTGCCCTGGAGGGTCAAATGAACAATGTTCAATGGTCTTCGGGGCGGTGGTAGGGCTTGTAATCGATTGTGAGGCAAATGAAGAACTTCCAGTCTCGATGGCTGTGACAGCAATCTGTCTGGTAGGGCCGTCAATGCGTTGTGCGACGCGAAAAGAACGCGCAACGCTGGCAATTCAGTCGTCCATTCCGGCAATGCATCTAAATTGTTGCTGAAATGGTGTATAATCTTTACGTAAGACAAAAATTAATGAAATGATAAAAGAGAAATATATTAAATCTGATATTATTATTTATAATACATGTTATTGATGATTCACTAATACATATAATATTCGAAATACATATATTAGATTAAATATCGTGTTAAATAGATTTTTTAAATATTTTCGTATTTTTATAACAAATTATAATATAAATTAACAATATAAATTAATATAAAATTAATATAAAAAATATAATTAATAATATAATTAATATAAAAAATAAAGCAAAGCTCATAAATATATAGACAGAAATATATTTCAAATTATATTGATTAATTAATAATTTTTAAATATTCTGTCATTTTTTTAAATATCGATATGTGTATATATTATACACTATAATATGTATATTGTACACAGACATTTACTTACTAGGAAACATCCAGATGCTCCAAATTAGTTGGCACAGGTTCGACAGTTAGCTTTTTCAGTTCTGTACAAATTGCATTTATTTTATTATTTTTTTTTCATCTAATTCGTTTAATTCTGCTTTTTTCGGTATTTTTTCATTGACTTAATCGACTTAACTAAAAGCACATGCAAAAGCGTCTGCACTCACTATTGTTTCCAGCGATGAGTGATACGATATTTCGGCCGCAAAGAGTCAATTCTGTCAGATGATTTCGAGCGCAGCGTACACTTCTTAATTCTTGCAGGGCGCTAATGTCCAATTTTTCAATGCTATTTTCGCTGACATCCAGGTGCGTTAGATTCTTTGCGAACAGAAAAAATTATAGAGCCGTTTTATATCATTTTCTTTTTATATTGATTTTATATGATTTTTTTCTTAAAAGAACGCTTGTTTAGAATTGATAGATTTTGAAACAATAAATATAAGAAATAAAAAAAAACATCAAAAATAGAGTTTTATATAGCAGAGATAAACTTACGCCATAATTTCCCAAGATTATATTTCCTTTCAATTGATTGTTCCTCAGATTAATTTTGTGCAAATTGTTATGCATCGCTTTCTCCTCTTTATAAGACTTTCCATGATCTGTCTTTGACAGAACTTCCTGTGGAATAATATAAGGATAATAATACTTATCTTTGAAAAATTTGAAAGATTTAAAAGATAGAAAATTGAAACTTCTCTTCAGAACTTAAAATTTAAAATTAAAAATTTACAATAAATCGGTCAATTTATAAAGTTGACAAAATTAATTAATAAAAAAATTTTCAGAAATATCGCGAAAGTTTTTCTAAATTTTATTAAACACTACTTTTTGTTTCTTTGATAGGATTTATAAAGGCATCTCGTGGGCCTTAAGGCTCCGAGTTAAATACTGACAGCTTTTGGATAAGGCCACTAGATGTCTACGGAATCGAAATGTTTCTTGTAAGTGAAATGCGGTATGTAGTGTATATAAGAGGGTCATTACAAATTCGGATTGTGATTCATGTTTCCCTTCAATCACGCGAATAAATCTTTCGCCTTTTACTAAAGATTTCCGTGGAGGGGAACAACTTACTGAATATTACAGAATTTTTGGCAGTACCTGGCGAAAGCTGGGTCATAAATCAATCTAAAATTAATTCACACAGGAAATTACTTGACATAATTATTCTAATGTAAAATATCTTGTACAAATATAGCTAAGAAAATTTTTCTCGTACAGTTTCTTTCTGGTAGAGGATTAGATGTATCATCTTCTGATTAGATGTGCTATCAAATGTATTATCTTTTGATTAATGTATCATCGAGAGTGTTTATACGAAGACATTTTTCTCAATATTAAAAATCCTTGTATCTTTATTTACATCTAATCGTTGTTTTTAGGTAGTGATGTGTTTGATATATTCACGTGAGAGAGACAGGTTAAATTGGAGAAAAGTTGTATAATTAAATTTTTAAATTTATATTTATATTTATAATATTTTTCTTTAGAATATAGCAGTAATAGAAATAGAAAAAAGTAATTAATCTATAATTGTAATATATAATATTTTCGCATTAATTGATTTTATATATGTATATCATATATAATATAAATTATGTAGTTTATTAATATTCTGTAGACATGAGAAAGTTAAAATATTTTTAATTGAAATTTCCTACAATTTTTTTAAAGCATATTACAGATGAAACATATTTGTCGTATATCTTTGGAACATAAGTATAGAATAGAATGTTAGATAAGCACGTGTGAATAGTTGAGCTGAATTGCAACGGTCAAGGTCTAATAAAATGGATCAATAAAAACTGCTTAGAACTCATAAACTTGATATTACTAGAAATTTTTGCGTGTTTTATTGCATTCGTTATAATTTAACAAAGCATTAAGCTGGCTTTAGGTAATAATTAACAATGCATTCCTATTTTTCACAAATATTTTCGATATTACGTGGCACATGTGAAATTATAAAATATAATAGAATTTCTCGAAATTCTCCCTGATATTTTATTTCACGATTTACAGATAATTTAAAATGAGTTTTAACAATGCTATAAATATCGTGAATTTATTATTAACTTTTATTAACGCCATATATAATCACTCCATATATAATCATTAGACAATACGTAAAATATTTTCACATACCGTCAGGGCGAGAGCTCGCATGTTGAAAAAATACGGTGCAGTGCTGAGTAAATTTCCGACAATGGAAATATTCCTCAGATTTTTTAGCCGTATCACTTCGTCTGGTAGATCTTTGATGACATTACGATCAAGGATCAGCTCCTTCAGACTGTAACAATCATTATGTTTAATGAACAAAGATTATATCGTAGAAGTAGATGAGCGAAATATGTCGCATGCTATTTCATATAATATAAATGTTTAAAAAATTAATTTTTATTAAGAGAAAGAAAAACAGAGAGGGAGAGAGAGAGGGAGGGGGAGAGAGGGAGAGAGAGAGAGAGAAAATATAAGTATAATTAACGTTAGCAAAAAAGTAGTATTTTTTCTAATATTTAAAGGATTAATATAATTCTATAAATAAACATATATATTTTTTTTCTATAAATTTTCTATATAAATATATTTTTCTATATAAATATATTTTCTATATAAATATATTTTTTATAAGTTAATATTTTTATTTAAATAAATTTTTTGTGGGTTTTTTGCACTCCGTTATTTTTCTTAAATGTGAAGCATTTCGTGCAATATTTCTTGAAAACAATTTAGCATAAAAATATATATGGATTATCGAAAAAATCTATGGATATGAGACAGCAAGATATGAAGAGAATTGATTCTATTGATTTATAATAACGTAAAAGCATGTAAAGAATTTATCAATTAATTTTTTCATTGGATAACATTTTAATCAGTTATTTTAAGAACCTCTTCATTATATTTAATTAAAATATTAACGAAAGAGAAATTATGTATCTTTTGCAAAAGAGTTTGTTCGCCAATTATAATTTTTACAACGTAGCGTAGCGGTGTAACTTTTCGCAAAGCTTCGGACATGCGAATCGGTGAACCTAAACGAACGAGCCGCCCACAGGATGTGCACTTGAGTAGAAAGTTTCGAATTATAGTGAAAACTTCGTTGCAGTAAGCATCTGTGTCGTCGGACAAACTTTCGATTTTTGCAAAGTAATAGCGATTGTAGTAGTAAACGCAACAAAGCATAATCTGGCGAATAATTCGAAATTTTATTTCTTTTTTAAAATGTATATACGTTATATTTTGATTATTATTCATTATTATTCATAGATTTATCAATCACTTGAAAATTGATTATTTTTTTCAGCGGTAACAGCTTTTGCGTTTTAGGCAATTAAAAAATTAAAGACATTTATTAAGTTTCTAAGATATTTAATAATAAAGTAAAGAAGTAAAGATTGATAAATATTAAAGAAAAGAGTTTTATAAAAGGTTTAAACTAAAATTATAAAACACGATAAGATATGAATTGTTGTAATAAATAGATTGAGAAATAATTACAACAGAAATAATTACGGATTATAAATAAAAATAACCAAGAAAGCAGATAGATTAAAGAATTATGTGCGTGAATTTTCTTTTTTTATATATGGCAAATAGTAAATAAATGTGGCATTTAGTGATTAGTGATTATTTATTAATATTAGTGATTAGTTTATTTAACGAAGTCTATTGTCATTTTATTTTAGAAGGCGCATTCGTTATTTCTCACCTCTATCTCTCTCTCTACCTTGCCATTTCTCGTTATTTTATTGCTGCGTACACGCTCGTTTGTAAGAGCCAGGTAATGTTTATATTTGGAGTATATTCTTAGATGATTGTTGTCATAAGATGATATCGTTCAGAAAACACTCGTTTATATATTTTATAAATTTAATTTTTGCAAATATATTTTTTCTTCTGCTTTTTATAATTTTTATCGGTTATTGTTGCTTTAATTTTTCATATATGTAGCGCGTAGAAAAATATTTAAACATTTCAAATTTTTAAATTTCTCAAATTCTCACCACAAATATTAACTAGTAACTTTGTTTTTTAACTAGTAACTATGTTATTTTATTATATTAGCATCTTGCTGATATCAATAATAGTTTTATATTGTAAATTTGTTTTACACTGAACGAATATGTGTTATACAAATGTATAATGCACGCAAATAATATGTATATTGAGGATCTTTTAATATTAATGATTTATTTCCTTGACTACATCTCACAGTGTTGCATTTTTTCCAAATGCTACAAAGTCCTGGAGTATCCAAGTTCATCGCAATCGATATTATGTTTTCGCTATAAGTTACATTATAACTTGACAAGAAGTTTTTTCACAAATGGTACACTTTTTTAAAATTTTCAGCATCGATGACATAAAGTATTATATCCATTTCAATTTTCACGCAATATATATTTTTAAATTTTCACGATGATATTTTCTCGATTCTACGCGCGAATTTTCAGAATTGCCGAATATATTATCTTAATCATCGGCTGAAGAAAATCCATCGTAACTTTTCGCGACCGCGGGATTTCTTGCGGCGGGGTTTCCGCGACCGTAAAGATGTACGCTCGCGATCGTTCTTTCGAGGACTAAAGAGGTCGGTTGAAAGGCAAACTTATTCTCCTCTTAAGGATTTTCAAGTACCGTGGAAAGAAACGGGAGAGGGAGGTGGTATGAACGCGAGGATGGGTTGGCTGACCACTCTGATGTAACAGAACAGAAATTGTTCTCTGTCGGTGTACGAAGCGGGGCCGAGCGATAATGCGCCATGGCTCGATGCAAACATGCACCGACAGCGATGGCGGTTGGTACGAAATCCTTGTTACATGTAATGCCTTAAACCCCGGATGAATAACGTGTAACAAGTTATGCCGCTCGTAGAATAACGCGACGTTTCTGTCAAAATGTTCTGCCCGAATCTCCGGGGCGCGAGATAATTTTAGAAATATCCGCGCTTTACAGTGGGAAGATTACATGGAATTACCGCGGACATTTAAGTTACTCAGATAGCTGACAACGTCATCAGTGTTATTATCGCCAAAATGGCGAGATCTTCGCGCGGGAAAATTAATTACATTAGTGCGAATTAAAAATTGAGCAAATTTAATTATATCAGGGATATAAAGGTTTAAGTTTCTCCAAGATCCTCGTCTCTTAAGATCCTTTGTCTTTGAGATTCTTTGTTCTTACTAGGTATCTGGGTCAACCGAGAGGTATACCTGAGACAACAAAAGCTCTCTCTCTTCCATCCCCGCATTATCGTTGTATATAATCTTTAATTCAAATGACCTCTCGCGGTTTTCTTTCGTTCTTTAAACGCTTTGTTCGATTTCAAGTGATCGTCGAAAATGAATGAGTGCAAAATTGTTTTTAAGTGCCGAGTCTTTCTGTAGTAGAAACGGGGTTAAGCAATACCAGGAGTCGCCTCGTATGTCGATGCACTGGTGCGAGACGACTCGGGTGGAAATCTCCGCGTGCGACTTAAAAAGCGGCGAAATCGTATTTAGATTCTTCGATGAGTGATTTATCCCTCAGATAATGAGTTCTTGAAATATGTAAAGACTCGTAATCTAGGATATTATAATTAAAGATCATACAAGATCGAATAGTTGGGATTTATTTACGTAATCGACATTATTTTTTGGAGCACGTAAAGGCCCATTTTGAGATAAATGAGCCTGAAATTTTGTATAACAATAATTTAAAATTTTCGATTGTAATTTACTCAATTGTAATTTTCAATTGTAATTTACTCAATAATGAATCAGCAATGCTAAGGCTTCATCACGTAGGATTAACTATCTTATCTTTGATGACAGTGGAATGGAAATTTATTTATACATGCAAGTATCTTGAAAGGGAGGAAAAAAGGAGTTACTTGTCTCCAACGATTGTTTAGATTCGCCTTTAGATTCACCGATGGTGAACGATGTATGAAGTGGAATATGTATCTTGCGTGTGTAGGTGCACACGCGTGCAACGTCGTCATCGTCGTCGCCGTGTTCACACCCCGTAGTTCCTTCCCTCCCCTCTTCTCGCCAGAGTGCCGGGATCCCCATTTCCGGTCGATGGAAAGCGGTTTTCGAGAAATTTTACGTAATCTCCGTTTCGTTTGTGCGGTCCCCTATCTGCATGAGATTGGGACGATTTTCGCGTTGTCCAAAATCACATGACTGACTATCATATCTCGTTGCGATCTCTCTCTTTCTCTTTTCGAATAAATAACTCACTTGGTGTAAGTACAGAATAGATGACAAAGATATATTTGCAAGATCAGATGTGTAACACGATGAAATGAAGTACTCAATCATTACGTAATTCAATTTTTTTTCATTATTCTTATTTTGTGTTTGATGATATTAAATATTCTTATTTAATAAATTTCGAAAATTATTAAATTCATAGTTTTTTTGTAGAAAAAAGTAATGTAATTTAATAGATGATGAATGGATGTCTCATTAATTTTTTTATTAAAGTTCAAAACTATTATATTCCTCTCTTTTTCAGAATTAAAAATGGAGTATAAATTATATGTCAAAGATTATTTATCAGATTGATGAGAAGATTTATTACTCGTTTTAATTTCTCAGAATTTTTTCATACAGCTGAATGATAAATTCGAAATAATTATTTTATTTGTTACATATATAATACTTTTTAATTGATATTTTTTCTATATATTTCTCGAGTTTATTCCAATCATCGATAATTATCATGTGTTTTTTAACAAAACGGAGAATTAACAGTGTTACTCGATCATTATCGCGAGCGCTGATTTTCCACAGGAGCCCGTTATCAGAGCTGATCGACAATAGCGCGTGATTAATGTGTTGGTAATTAATTGTGCTCCTAGATTGACGCGTATAAATCAGGCAGCGTAGAGGGAAAATTTAGCTGTGCGCACATTAATGCAATATGTACGAATCGGCAGCAACCGATTGATAAAATAAATTTCGTAAATGTAAATATTCAATATATCAATGTTTAATATCAATTAATTTTAAATGTGCAATGCGCAATAAAATTGTTATCGAGGCATCGAGTATGACATATTATTGTAGTAATATTAATATCAATCAAGAGATAAATAAAATGTAGGGAAAAAATGAAAATTTTCGAGATCGATTTTGTCATGAGTATGTTTTTTAATATGCACTCGAGAATAAAAAACGAAATAAATTTTTAATCAAAATTCATTCAAATAAATTACTATATAGATTTTAGATAATTTTCACATGTATATGATTAATCTTTTCCGATAACAAAGCATAAAGTAAAAAGATCTCTTCAAGAGAAAAAATCATTACTTGCTTAACTGATTTAAATAAATAAGCAGTATGATTAAATAAACATACGTGAGCACATGAGAAATTATGTACATACTTGATCAGTTGGCAGATGTCAGCCGGAATTATTTCGATCTTGTTGTCCGAAAGATTAAGATAGGTCAGCGCCGGCAACTCCAGAAGTTCCCTCGGGATTCTGCGGAGATCGTTGCACTCCAGATGGACGGCACGAAGTTTGGGAAACCTACGTGAGGGAATAGAGAAAGAGAAATAGAGAAAGAGAAAAAGAGAGAAGAGAGAGAGAGAGAGAAAGAAAAAGACCGAAAGAGTTACGTATGAATTAAATACCAATTAAAGTTTCCACGTAGTTTCTTGCCGCATTTTGTTTCACTAGCGGATATGCACTCGCATTTTTCCTACTTTTATCAGATAGGGATTAATCTATTCGCTCTAATTATCTCGGAGTGAATTTCGCAAACAGTCGATTTAATTTCAGAAAGAAACTAAATTCAAAAGGAATCAAATGGGTCTTTGTATTAATCATTTGTATATAGAAATCATCATGTTTGAATGTAGACATGATAAAGATGTGTATGTACCTGTGCAGAAGTTTTAGATTGTTGTCGACATTATTGAACTGGTTCCATCCCAATGTGAGCTCTTCTATCGCTGGAAAAGCAATCGCACTTTCAGGGACCCTTGACAGGCCTCCCTTGCTCAAGTCTAATCGTTTCGGACATAGTGACAACTGCGTAGCCTGTAAAAATATAAAAAAGTCGATCTCTTAAATATATTTAAGATATATTTAAAATAATATATTTCTCTGATTTTTATTATAATAAATCATCGAGTTAAGTACATATGTTAATGGTACATTAAAATATAAATAATTGTTACGTTACGTTACATTGCATAATATTATCATTTCAAATAAAACAATTATTTTAAAATAAATAGAGAGATGAATTATCGCTGGATTATGTTAACTGAATTACAGCTGCAATTCATATGAATCAACATCGATATAAATGCCATTTACCTCGAACTCCAAAGAGTCCGTATCTATGGTGTCCTTGTCACAATTGTCCATGATCAAACAATCAAATTCCTAATATGCATCATCTTTTGTACAGCTGTCTATTTTTACGCGAATGTAAGTGTTTTTTCATTGAACGCACAATTAATTGTTTAGCATAAAAATTTTCGATACATCTTGATGCAATTATCATTTGCGATTTAATCCACATAATTTCGTTATGTGAAATATAATAGTACAATTTAAAACTTTTGTTTATAAAAATGTCCACTCTCGCTTCATTTTTGTGCATTTAATTTCACATCATTATATTTGTCTCTTTAAATTTTCCGATTCTTTAAAACGTAAATCGCATTATTTTAATTAATATTGATTTCGAAATAAATGACGTTTTATTTCCTCGAAATTCTTTAGATATTACAATATAATAATTATGTTTAAATCAATTCGTTCATTAGAGATGAGAAGAATCTCATTTAATAACGAATCAATGATTCAACAATATCGCACACGGTTCGATGATTAATCAAATGTGAAGGACTCGCACTCGCCGAAATAAAACGTTTAAACAAATTTTAACGTTATAATTTCGTCATGTTATTTCGATTTATTTTCTCTCGAACGCTTGCATATTCGTTATTATTATAAATGACCAATCAATGTGTGGTGCAATTATTGAAATGGCTACAACATAAAAGCGAACCACAGACAAATCTAAAATAGAGCAATGTATGCGTAGCGTAAAATAAAATAAAAAGATTTACATAAAATTACATATTTATACAGTATACATATATTTTATAAATTTTTTTATAATATATACGATAATATAAATTATATATCTCTATACAGAATACCAGATAATCATATTTTCTTTGATCAGAATTTTACAACAAATTTGAAATTGATAAATTCTAAATCAATTATTCGTTAATTAATCAATTAACAAATAATTGATTTAATTCCGTTAGGATTAAAAACACTGAGGGGAAAACACGATTAAATTATTTACTTATATCCTTTGCGAAATTTAAGTTCAAAAGACAATAAAATTTAGCTTGAAAAATAATTGAGAAGTCACATCGAATTAATTATTTCGCACCTGTTTATTTTATATACGTGCCCTAGTAATAATGCAGTCTGCGTTTCATTCTTTACACGCTATGTCTTTCGAAAACTGCAAGTTACCGCGTGTTTTATCGTCGGGGAAGTCAAAGATTCATAATACATTCAGTCTCGTTGAACTTCATTGTAAGAAACCGGCATAAAGTAGCGCCGGTGCACGAGCAATATTTGTGCCGACAAGTATTGTTCTGCTCGTTGCACCGGCTACGAATAGCCTCATTGTCCGCGCGGCGAACTTTCAACCGAACAATGAAGACGTCAGTCAGAGCTTTCTTATCGGCGTTAGATTCGGCCGCGATCGCGCGTGCGAAGCTCCCTAAAACAATACGATGGAAAAATTCGCTGCGGAAGTATCGCTAGAAAGCAGAACGCGCATCAAATCAAACTATAACGAAAAATGAAAATGCGAATAGGCTCATATTATTTCATCGCGCATCGACGATAACTCTACCAACAGTAATTTAATTTACATTCACGGATATACGTATAAAAAATTATTATTAGAAAAATTTTCCCGACTTTCTTTCAAGATCATGAAAAATAAAAATATGCAAAAGACATTTTAACTTTTTTAGTATTTTTATTTAACATGTTTTGAATTTTTTTATGAATTCTTATTCATCCCTATTTTCATTCTGATTGAAAATAAAATAATCGAGCAGAGAACGTGATTACATTTTACACTCTTGGATTTTTATATCCCTTCAGAAAGAATTACTCTTCTTCTTCAATTAAATTGATAAACTACCTTATATTCTTTATAGCTAGGAACTATTAGCCAGTTTATTAATAATTATTATTTTTAATTTGACAAATCTTTGAAATTTGATAGCTTCTTGTTAGGGATTTGCAGAAAATAAGAACTGCTTTAATGATAATGTAATTTGCCGTGGTAATCGCGATCCTTTTCTTTGCCATTAGGGAAAGTGCCACGTTGATGAAGGGGAAAATAGGATTATACGAGAAATAGCAACCAAGATACCGTGTTATATCGCAGGAAAGTCTCGAGTGAGCGAACGCGATCGTCGCGTGATGACAATCTGTTAATTTCCGGTCGTGCGACACATCAGATCCAGGGGAAAAAATGCTCTTACGTTCTACTTATTTAATATTTATATAAGTATCATACGTATTGTTCTCGTAATCTCGGAGCCAATTATTTTTTCAAAGCATTTATAGTCTCGAGACTCGAAATAATGAAATTTATTCAACACGTTTATTCTTGTGCACTTCTTAAAATTTGAATTCTACTTTTTCATCTCGATTTCATTAATTTCCTGATGATAATTTTCCATTGGAACTCGAGCTTGATTCTATTTTCCAATCGCGATTCGAATTTGCTTCACCTCCTCGAGTTTTTCATTCGATCCGGAATTTCTTCCCAAGGAGGAGAATGAAAAGGGTCGAATGAAAAGGGAGGCGAAGAAAATCACGCCGGTATCGGCCGGTCGACACGATGGCGATGGCGTGAAAACGAGAAGGAAACGAGACGAAACGACGTTCCCAGCTAACGGACGCGCTTAGCTCACCGTGAAGAGACATGGAGGTAAAGAAGATAGCGAAGGTACGATAAAGATGGAGAAGAAGGAGGGAAGAAGTTGTCTTCGTATCTTCTCCATCGTCCACGCTCGTCGATGGTGGTTAACGAGGAAGGTAACTTTCCCGATGATGTCGGAAAAGTTCACGGCCAGTCGACGATACTGATGCGTCGTCAAGCGAGAACCTACGATAATTCACTGCGCGAAAGAAGATGAAGCGATCTCCTCTCGACGAAAGAATCACTTATTTAATATTTTTAATATTATTTAATATTTTTTAATTCCTTTTTTTATTTTTTTTTTTTCATCAGAGAGTGCGGATCCAAAAATATGTCCAAAAATGCGTTTTTTCATCTCAATAATCTCAGTGATATTATCGACGCTCTTGTAAGAGCAAATAAGTCATCTCTGTGCACGAAAGGAATCGAAGGTATAAATAATGAACTGTAAAATAGATAGGCGTGACGCGCGCGAAGATTATTATGAGATATAATTAGCGAGTACTGTTATTAGATCGGACGCGCGAATTCGCTTAATACGGTGTACCGTTCGACACGTGCGGAATAAATTTATTGTGAGAATTATGTAAACCGTTAAACGAAGCTTCCCAATGTGAGAAGAGAAATAATCGTGCCAATTACGAAGAAAAGATGAAGATTAAAATTGTAGCTATCTTTAAAGCGCGAACGTACTAATTTTAATCAATAATACAGAATCGATTGTCACAATCGCAAAATTATAGTTGGATAAACAATATACCGATGTGTTATAAATTAAATAAATTTATTAATTTTAAAATTAAAATCGATTAATTTTTAAATTAAAAGATTAATTCATAAAATAAACTTGACACTTTTTTATAATGGCACATATAATTTTAAATAAAAAAATTTTTTGAATAAAGATATATTAAAAAGATATAAATGTTAAAAGTAAATATAATATTTATTTAAAAAATCTTTTATATGCATATAAATTTACGTGAGTCTTTTTAATGATAAAATATCAACGTGTGTATTATATAAATTGCTAAAATATGTTATTATTTTATATGATTTAGTAGAAAATTTATAATAATTTAGTTGAAAATCTTAATTATATATTAAACTATTATAAAATAATGCAATTATCAAATATGACAGAGAAATGTTTCGTGATATCCCCGCAAATTTTCACTCGATTACAATATTTTTTTTAAATTAATGCGAGACAGATTACGGTTTGTTTAATAATACGTCTACACACAAAGTCGGATTAATCTCGCTTAATCGATTATTGGACAACTGCGTATCAGTGGTTTCCAAGCGGACAGTTAAAAATTTTTGACCACAACCGAACTATTCCGATTAATTTCCCCGGGATAGCGCCGAGAGAGAAACGTGACATTTGAAATGCGCTCTCGAAAATTTCTTTGTCGTTTCGAGCTTTTAATTAATTGCGCACCCGCGGCGATTGTTGCTCGAATTAACAGATAAAATTCGAAAACGCATGATTTGTTCGAGTCGAAAACATGCAAAGTGACTAATCGGAAATCGATGTAACGGCCTTATCTATTTGATGTCATATCTTCTTTTTCTCTTTTTAGTAAGTTTGAGATAATCTTTGTCAGTAAAAATTATTCACGTTTATATAGTTTTCGTAAAGTTTGAAAATTTGTAAAAATTGTTCTTGCAAGTTATAACTGAGATTAAATTTAATCTTTGGTATTAAGCAGCTTTTGATTACGCTACGCCGTGAATCCTTTGACGGACTGGAAATTTGCGAAAATACGTACTCCTCGAGCTCAATGAAAACTTTACGGAATACCGCCATAGCATCCGGAATGAACGTCGCTTTTTGGCGTCTTAATTCCACCAATTTCCCGGAGATAATTTCTCCTTGTCGAAGCTGGACACGATCGCGAAGTAACGTTCCAGTGCGCCGAGTGTCCAAGAGACACGTTTGCGTTTCGTGAACGGAATTTTTTTCGACCGAAAAGATGGTCGAAAAACACTGGTTCGCGCGCAATCTCCGTTTTTGCTCGCCGGATACGAAGCATTATTCGCTACTACCGCTAGC